CTACCCTCGGGGCCGCGAAGGCCACTCTTGGCTTGCGGACCACCATCCTACATGCACTCTTTCACGCCAAAAAAATAGTCAACATGTGGGAAATCTCTACAGGAGGCTTGGCCAGATGGCCTTCAGCCCCATTTTGGCTGGCGGCGGCATGCGGGGCACTCAGCAGAACTGACTGGCAGATTTGAGAAGTGAGCTTGCTGAACTGGCCTCTGTTCAGAGGCTGCTACCCTGAGCGCAGCTCATGTTGCGTGGCATTTGGGCACCTCCATCTGGGGCACGGGCCTCAGTTTTTTCTTTCCAGTGGACGTGACTTGCGCTTTGTGCGTAGGACCTACAGCCTCGGTGTGGTTGATGGATTTCCGCCCAAGACTGAGCAACATTGGCCTGATCACGGTTTTGCAAGATTTGAAGAAACCAAAGCAGATCTCCAAGGCCCAGAATCAGCCTGTCCAGGGCTCACTTTGGCAGCCGCCGTTGAAAGCGTGGCGTCCACAAGGCAGAGGGATTCTTCTCAGAGCACCTTAGTGGTCCATGATGCGCTGATGCCTGACAACGTGGCTTCGCCATGCTTCGCACTCGGAGGCTACAGATCGTGAAAGATCCGGATGTCCTGTTTGGTATGGATCCTCAGTCGGTCGGAGCCCAAGAACTGTGAAGCCTCCAAGTGTGGCTACTGGGTGCTACTTATTCCATGCTTTCCGAACATCTGCAAAGGGTTCCAGGGTATCCAGCAAGCCACACCCTTGGCATCGAAAGCTGGAGGGCCTGTATGCACGAGAGAGGAGGAGCATGACAGTTACGAGCGGGGGTGCGGTCAAGCTCGCAAATCTCGCAGACCACACTCCTAAACTGCAAGACGGCGCTCTAAGTCTGAGAACCTCGGCGCAATCTCAAGCCAACTTCTTGTAACAATAACTAGACATTCGCGCTCGATCATACCAGGCCTTCCTACCAGGCTTTCTCAATGAAATCAGTGCAATCAACTACAATCCACAACTCTCCTCAGAATGCGGTTTTATGTCTAGGGTGCTCGCAAAGGACCCGAGTCAGGAGAGCTTACAGCATAAGAGGCGCTGTGCTTGGGGCAGGTGCAACCACGGGCTTCAGGTCAACTGCAGCAGAAAGCCGCTTGGGTGCAAGTAGGGGTGTATAGGGGCTTAAACTATAATTCCAAAGCCTGATATTGTATTCATATACTAAAACCAGAATGCAAGTTATATACTACTATAAGAACATGCAGATACTACTAGAAGAACATGCTAGTTTAACGGTATCACGGTATCATACTAGAAGTCTATACTGCGCAGAACAACAAATGATGTAACAGTATAACGATGAATGTTGTAAAAGATCAGTGCAATAGTACCAGTACAGCAATATAGGAATACCAATAGCATCTTATAATCACATAACCATTTAATCACATCATCAGTCTCGGGATGCGGAGGATCCGGAAACGTTCCCTCCGAGAACTCCTCTTGCCAGAAGCTCAGCTGGGGGTACTTAGGGTTTAGGATGGAGGGTTTGGGGTGGAGGGGTTGTTTGTAAAAAGTCTAAGCATTCTTGTCCACTCACGCCCTTCAAGGCAGTGCGCCTCTCCAAATATGTGGCATTGCATCAAGCGGCGGTTGCAAAGCTCGGCCTTCGCGCGCCTGGACAGCGAGAGCATCTTGGAAATGAGGACCAGCACGAAGCAGACTAGACAAGGGTGGTGGTTGCTTAACTGGTTGAATCATGACTTCATGAGATTCATGAGTCTGAATGCGGTCCCTCCTGGCTTGCCTACGGCATCCCGAAGGATACGGGCAAGACCAAGGTGCTGGTGGCGAGCTTGGTGCCGGGTTTTGCTGGGTCTTTTCCATTTTTCGACCTGTTGGGATGAGCAAGTCTCTGTTTCCTTGCTAGTGCTACTGTTACAGCAGGAAAGCTCGGAAGCCATCAAGCAAGGTAGCAGGCTCGAAGTCTAGCTCTGGGCGCCGGTGTTACGAGGTCTACAGCTGCCAGCCCTTTGCTCAATGTGGTGGGCATGGCGATCGCCTAAATGGCATCATCACCGTTTTCCTGCTTGCAGCGCCTGAGCCAATGGAGAATTCAACTTTGCAGTGTCACAGGGAGGTTCAGAGCCACCCAGGGCCACTTAGGACTACCGAGGGGGCCACCCAGAGTTTGCCGGGAGGTGCTCACAGGCCGCGCGTTCTTCATCGACTCCGAAAGCCCGCTGCCTTTGCAGCTACTGCTCGAGCCACGCAGCATTGACTGGCGAGCCGGCGCCCTGGAAAGCGTGTGAGTGACTCTTTGACAGAGTAGAGTCGTGACATGCATTCACGGAGCAGTTAGGACAGCGGTAGGATGTCCCTCGAAATGACAAAGGTATATGGCGGCTTGAAGGCAACGGTGTGCTTCTTAGAGACTCTCAAAGCGCAAGTTCAGTCCTTTGTCCTTCGTCCTCCTATCGTAGTGACTACGCTACGCTGCACCAGTGCCACAGTGCTGAGCTGCGAAAACGGCCCGAGGCGGGGCTTCGGCACGTCTCCTACCACGACAAGCGCTGGCAGTTCGAGGCCATATGAGAGGCTTGCCAACCAGGCTCACTTGCGCAGCCTCGCGTGTAGGCTGACCTTGAGAAGCTTGCCTCCTCTGAAGAGGAGGTGCTGGTCATCAATATGCCACTTCCATGCACGCAGTTTCCAAAAGACACAAAGCCATGCTTCCACGATCGTCCACGATTCTTGCAAATTGTTCTGTGGACCGTCTGTCTCAAGGAACTATCGAATGATACGATCACTCTTCGAGGCTAGAATGGGCGGGACTGAAGCCGGAGACTTTCGAGTGGCTTCGGATGAGGTGACACGTACGACATGCAGTTAAGTAGCCCAGCATGCCGATGCTTCTTGTGCGGCAGGCTCCGGCACTTGGCAAAGCAGCTCGGGAGCTAGGTGCGGGATTTCGGAGAGAGATCCCGACCGAGCCCAGACAGAGTGCAATTTTGCAGGCCTTCCAAACGGCGCGCCGCCGTTTCTTGCAGCAGAAATCTTCGATCTGTGCGCTTCTCGGTCTGCCATCTGCCGTTCCTCCCCAGTACTCCACATCGGGTGCACCTTGACAGGCTCTTTGCGCCCACGCAGCTGCTCCGTCAAGAGCTTCGCTCACTTCGATCGGAGTGAGAGTCCAAGCAACAGGAGCATTTTGACATTCGCCGCCTGCTCATATGTTGAAGCAAAGGCTTTCCTTGCATGGAAACACGAGCTTTATCGCCATCCACTTACGCTCAGACCTTAGCCTTAAACTCTTAAATAGACTCTTTAGACATTTGAGCAAAGCAGGAGCGAGAGCGTGGATGCACGCCGGCTGCAGCAGGTACCGGGCAAATTGCATGGGATCCAGCACGTCATGATGGGCCAGACGAGCTGCAGGCTTCACGCGTTTGCGTGGATTTGTTCGGGTTTCAGTAGTCGCTCTCTCTTTCTCTTTCTCTCTCCGTCTCTCTCTCTCTCTCTCCCATCGCCAGCCACGTCTGCCCGAAAGGTCTTCCTGGACTGTGCGCGGAAGGCGGAGCGAGACCTGGGCAGAGCCCTCACAACATCACTGATGTGGTGTGTGAAGCATGTTTAAAGCTATTTTGTGCTCAGATTCATGTGCTGCAGGTTTGCCATCGGAGGTTCCTTGGCTGCTGGCCACGGACTCAAGTGGCATCATCGACCTGGCATCAGAGCTGCCCGAGGCCAGTCGTTTTGGGAAGCATTACGAAAAACCTGTGCCATGCATTCTTTGCATCCTTTGCATCCCGTGCAATTGGGATAGGCGAAGTCTGGCAAGCTGCGAATGCCGGAGGTTCGGGCACCTGCCGTCGAGCGTCTGTAATCCCACTGTTTGGCTGCTTGAAGAGGCGATAGGACGTGTGCACATCGACCGGTCCGATCTTGAAGAAACGCGGGGGGCCCTAAGATCGTCCGAGCTCTAGGCAAAAGAATGTCAAGATATACCGAGATATGCCGAGTGCCTGCCGAGGCTCAGCGGCGCTGCTGCAAACTACGCAGAATGGCTATTGTTCGGCCGCGCTGCTGCTGCAGCATCCTCGGTGAGTGAGGACTCTTCGGAGATTTATCTCTTTTGACGTACCAATTGGTCAAGGTCGTGCTGTCAAGAAGCTACTTCGGTGAAACAGCTGCCGAAGTTGGGCGCGTACGAGCCACCAGCGAGTTTGGCAATTGGGGTGGCCAAGTTGCTAGCATTGATGATTGCTGATAGGTTACGATCCGTGATGCACAATGTGCACGTTGTCACACGGGAAACCCTGTCCTACATCTCATGGGCTTGTGCCCGCCAGGACATGCATATTTTGGACCAGGAGGTGGCTGCGTGCGAATGGATCTGAGCTCCTCGTAGCGGCCGGAATTTTCTAGGCTCCATTCCGTGGCCGCCAGAAAGGTGTGCCTGGAAGTGCCTCTGGTTATCTGCCTCTCCGTCTCCAGCGCAAGCCGTCGCAAGCTCCAACTGAGTTGGCTGCCTTGCAATGCGTAGCTTGTGCAGCTCGCGGCATGCGCGACGAGAAGGCCTTCAGCCACATGCTCAACGAATGAAGCTTGTGGCGTGTGTCAACGAGCTTCCTGCAGATGATGATAGTGATGTTGATGCACGACAACTTGGCCAGAAGGATTGTGGCCGGCGGTGGGACGCGACTCAGATTGGCAGATCGGGAAGACAAAGCATGGGATTCTGGGGTCAATCTACGATTGCTAGAACTTGCTGGCAGCCTTGCATCGTCCTTTCGACATGTTTCTGTAGCCTACTGGGGTGATGCACAATGAGATGTATGCAAGTCGCAACCGGCTTTCCAACCATAGGACCATAGTGCAAAGTTGTAAATTACTAAAAACAATCCACTCCTTGTATTGCTCGTACTTGCTCTGCCTGATTTCCTGCAAATTACGTGGCTCTTTTGCATCTCTCTGCGCAGGCTGACTTGTTTCTACTCCTATTGGCTGCACAATGAATCGCAGGCCTATGAGAAGCTGATCCACGATGTGATCCAGGGCGAGCCCGGTCTGAACTTCCAACGCTTACGCTCCACTTTTCCAACCCAGCTGTTTATCGTCTTGCCGCGCCGGTTTGCTCTCCTTCTGTAGTCTCCCAGTGTCTCCTGTCGTCTCAGAGTTCCTTCAACAATGGCGATCAGGAAAGCCACAACTTCGTGAGGCGGGATGAGCTTGAGCAGGCCTTGCTGGCATTCCTGTCAGCCTACGCACGCGCGTGCGCGCGCGCACAGTCAAATACTTGTGCAAGAATGCGAGAATGCGTGGGGTCACGATAGTGCTTGCAGCTAGAGAAAGTGTGCATGTGCATGCTGTTGACCTGCTTTCCATCCTGCAATGACAGTGATGACAGGGTGACCGCATCCGAACAGCATGACTGCATCCAGAGGCCTGGCGAATATTCGATCCGTTGCTGACAACTCTCGAGAAAGAGGAGGCCATTCAAAAGTTGGCAACGGGTGACATGCTTTTGAAGTCTACACTTGCGGCAGAATGGCCGGAGACGACTCCAAGCATGGTTGCGCGTGCATGTCAGGGAGCCAGTCTTGAGACATATCCTGACATGCCTGACAGAAGCGAGAGCCAGAACGCTACACTTTGGGCAGCCGGGGTCCGCTCAAGGTGCCGTGACTTGCTTGCTTTGTGCTGCGTCGATGTGCGTGCGCTTCATCTCATCTTGCAAGCGGTGTCTGTCCTCAAGGCGGCAACAATATCAGTAGTTATACAGTGCACAGCTCCAGAATGTAAACGAGTCAAGGGGGGAGCAGACGTGTCAAAGATGGAACTACGCAACACTCAGCCAAGGCCCATCGAAACCCAAGGAGTTTACCCCTTCCAACTAAAGGCTGTCCTGTCGGTCTGTCGCCGGTCTCCGGCAAAACATCTATGTAAGTTGGGGCATGATGCCACCGTCAACTCCAGCAGCACGAGCAGTTTCAGAAGCAGCGTTGGCAGAAGTTGTCAGTAGAAGCGGATAAAGTCACGGAGGTGTGAAGCGAAGCTCCCTGTCAACCTGTCAAACTGGGGAGTTTTTCAGGGATCTCCACGAGCCTCTACACCCGTTCATTGTGCAACCATGAACATTTTATCCTGAGGCTCCTAGGGACCTAGGCATGCTACACAAGAGCGTGGAGCAGCGCCCCAGCATTCCAAGCTCTGAGAACAGCGTCAAGTTTGTGCAAAGATGCCAAATTCTTGCTATGGCCTGACTGAACTTTGTGGGCTTTTTTGCCGACCATTCAGAGCACGCGGGCATGACAGGGAACGAATTATCAAGACTAGCTGAACTGCATCTCTGCCAAGCTCTTGCAGGGGCGATGCTGTTTCTGTCCTTGTGACATTGTGTTTACGAGACCCCTGTCCTAGTACCGTCACTGATGGGGTTGACTGCATGATGCCTTGTGGCACTCCTTCACACTTACACAGACACTGTATGCCTGGTTTGCGAGGCTGACATGCTCATTGACCGAATGGGCTTTAGGCGCGTCGCAGCCAGAGCTCTGCGTGCTATTGAACTCGATTGGCTCGGATGCACCAGGCGATACACAGTCACTGGAGTACCCGGCTTCGCGGAGGATGATTTCGATTGATCAAGGACCGCGAACGCATACTTTGCCGCTTATGACTCGAAGCACAAGCTGTGTGCCAGATTGAAGGAACTTGAAGGCAATCCGGGGGGCAATCCCTGAACGACCTCGTGTGCTTGGAATGTTGCAGGCCCTAATCCGAGTACCGCATGGACAGAACAATGTAACTTCGAGATCTGTTGGGCTTGGCAGCAACAACTGCAATCCAAAAAGGTAGTTTAAACATTGAGGAACGAAGTTGACTTCCCAGTTCCACCGGATGCAAGTGGAGGTCCAGCGGCCACCTTGGAGCGCGGAGACCTCGCACGCAGACCCAGCGGGCGCCAGTGAATCCCGTTGCAACATCCACGTCCGGCAGCGGCAATTTCATGGGTAGCGAGCTCAGATGAGCTCAGATGAGCTCAAGCTCTCAACTCCCTTGATCCTGCATCTCCTGTGCATCTTCGTCTCACTTTCTCACGGTCGCGGTGGCCTTCAGCACCACGAAGCGCTGCCGCGCTGCCCTCCCAAAGGCTCTTGAGGTGAGATACCTGAGAACCTTGAAGACAAAAGGCCACTTGAGGGCCATGCGCCTTTAAAAGCGTGCTCTGCAGATGCTTGTTGCATCCTTTTCTGGTGTCTTGCAGCACGTCGTGCATGTCAGATCCACAGCGAAGCTCCAGTGTTGAGCCCCTCCGCCCCCTCCCCCTCGAGCGTTTTAGGCTTCGAGCGGCACCTGCAGTCCACATTGACAGCATAACCTGACAACATTTGACAACCCGTGATAGTGCTTATGAGGCCTAAGCCCGAGTAATGCCTAAGAGCGCTTCTGCATGTCTGTACCATCTGATGCCAAGCTTCTTAGCACCGACTGTGACGATGTAGCAGGGCTCGGCAGGCGGGGAACCGCGCCTCGGCAACGAGGGACGCGACACCAAGACAGCCGGGATCGTATAGTTCATGGCTCCCACTGCAAGCAATGCTGCCAGCCAATGGGCGGAAAAGCGCAAAGCGCAGGCAGCATGCTGTTGCAAGTCGATCTGAGCCTGTGGAGCCTGCAGAGTCTGTGCTGACATGAGGTCGATGCTGCCAACGCAAGGAAGGCGGCCAAGGAGCAGGGAGAAGTGACGAGCGACCATACCTTCAAACCCAAGATCAGGCCAGAGCCCTGTGACCTCGTTGACACCTTGCGCAACTGATATGCCTGGTGGTGATGAGGGTGTTTGAATGACTTTCACTTGCACTTCACCATACCCTACCTGAACTTATCTGGTCTTGAATCGAAGCCTCAGAAGCTCAAAAGTTCCGTTTAGTCTAGGAAGGCTGTGACGGGAGCGACGCAGAGCCATGGCGGGCCGCCCGATCCCAAACTCCCTGAAGAAGCAGATGCAGAAAGCCACGGCCTCCCAGCTGGAAAGGGTGGCATTGTTCGATGTCACTCTGTCAGTAGTCTAGAGATGTCTAGAGTTTAGACATGTGTAGGCTGATTTGCGTGGAGTTCGTTGGTCAAGCACTTTGGGAATCTGGTGCCAGCTTTTGATGATGATGTTTGTAGCACATGTCACAACTGGATCCAAGGTGAAGCACACCGACATGCCCAATGACATGAAGACAGAGGTAGTCGACATCATTGCAGGCAGGTTGTGTGCGACAGAAGCGCGCAAGCGACGGGGACGGAGGTTGCTCTGTGCGAGCAAACGACAGGTTCAATCGACAAGTTCACGCTGCCAACAGGCGTGAACTTTGAAGGAGCCACGCGGGCGATCAAGGCCTTGTGCTGCTAGTGGGAGCAGCTTCACAGAGGGCCGTGCAGATGGTCATAGATCGTTGCACACATGCAGGATGCCTTGGACAAGAGTTATGGCTTCAATTGGCATTGTGCAATGGGGAAGGGGTGGCCAGGCTGCGCAGTGGTGATGTTCAGTCGATGAAATGTTCATTTGAGTACCCTGCCTGCGCATGCCACATCTCAGGTTCTGCTTTGACGTCACAGCACAGAATGGAACTTTGATGCACTGCTCTTCAGCTGGAGTGAGAAAACTGTGATTACGCTCTAAAGCGTTTCGATCATCACAGTATACAGTGGATGAGGCACCAGGTGACAGATCTCAGTATTTGTTCTTGGGCTTCTCAGGTTACTACCAGGGTGAGCTGGCCATTCTGGTGTACAAATGTTGACAGGGCTACGTTTTGTAGTCTCGGTCCGATGTATGTTGATCTCTCTCCCCACCGAGCGGCGGCATCCGAACAGCTATGGATGGGTGTACAGACTCGCAGCATGCAGCCGATTGTGTGCTCCAGTGCGATGGACAGTTTACAGTACATGACAGTGCATCGAAAGGAAGTCAAGCATCAACTCGTCCACAGCGTGGTCAGCAGCTGGGCACCTCTCAGTTTGTGGCGTCAAATCTGGCAGCTAGGATCATAGTCGGCAAGTCACTTTATGCACCCCCCGAGAATTCAGACTTCCGTTTCACCTCACCGGATCGAGAATATCGGTCGAAGACTTGTCCAGGTAGAAATTGACCACCTCAAGCCCAAGACCATGTCACGCTGTTCAAAGCAGGGAAGTGGCTGCGGAGTTGTTGCTGCGCTTCCTCGGACGTGTCAGGCCTGGGAAGTCAGGTCGCTTGAGCTCCTCCGGAAGCGGCAAGGCTTCGTGACTTTGTGAGGGTTCTGTAAATGAGCAACTCCCATGTGCAGCTTTCATCCCGCGCCTCTGCAACTGGGGTCAGGTTGCGCCGGTTTCGAAGGCTGACTTGATAGCGCCGGTCCTGAAGCGGCACTACTGGCGAGTTCATGCTCTTGAAGTGCGAACATCAACACTTCAGGATGACTTGGAGGGACAAGCCTTGCAGGATTCAGTTAAACCCTGGTCGCCGATTTTTTTCGTGACATTCGTAGTTGGCAGGTTGAAGGTGCGAGTGCCACATGCAGGTCCGTGCAATTCACCTGGCTACAGCTTGCGTGGCTTGGCAGGCGTCCAGGAGACTCCGTGGTGACACCTCCAGAAACGCCGGAGGCTCCTTGCACCGCTAAGCCGAGGGGTCGTCCTCAGCCAACCACAATCATGGCTGCAGGAGAGTGAGCATGATAAAATGTTGCAAGTTACAAGCTGCTGCTGCCTGCAGGCAGCAAAAAAGGCCCAAGCGGGCGCAACCTCTTTGCGGAGGTGGGTTTGGCTCACGAATCGCGACATATCTTGGTGACAGCAGCAAGCGAGCACAGGATCTGGTGTGTTATGGCTGCTGACAGGTCAGCTGACCACACGCAGCCCTCCACGAGCAAGTCGCCTGCAGCCCCACACTCGGAGCCAAGAAACTATAGAGCTGCAGGCAGAGAGGCATGCAAAGGAGCAGCTGCTTTTTATCCAAAGCGCGCGTGAAGGAAGCCTGGAAAAGAACGCAGGCCCTGCCAGCTCCGATTGCCTTGCCTGAACCGAAGAAGCGAAAGACACGCGCACACACGCACACACACACACACACACACACACACACACACACACACACACACACACACACACACACACACACACACACACACACACACACACACACACACACACACACACACACACACACACACACACACACACACACACACACACACACACACACACACACACACACACACACACACACACACACACACACACACACACACACACACACACACACACAAACACACAACACACACACACACACACCAACACAACACAACACAACACAACACAACACAACACAACACAACACAGCACAGCACAGCACAGCACAGCACAGCACAACACACACACACACACACACCAACACAACACAACACAACACAACACACCACAGCACAGCACAGCACAGCACAACGCAACGCAACGCAACGCAACGCAACACAACACAACACAACACAACACACAACACAACACACAACACAACACACAACACAACACACCACACAACACACCACACAACACAACACACAACACAACACACAACACAACACACAACACAACACACAACACAACACACAACACAACACACAACACAACACACAACACACAACACAACACACAACACAACACACACACACACACACAACACACACACACACACAACACACAACACACACAACACACACCACACACCACACACCACACACCACACACCACACAACACACAACACACCCCACACACACACACAGCCCACGCATTCTGCACCTAGAACCTCAGGCCTGCAACCTAAAGCTTGCAGCCGGTGGTAGAGAACAAGGTCGCGCCAAAGTAGAGAGTCTTAGAGAAGCGCCTCCATCAAATTTCTGCGAGCTCTAGTCTTCATAGGGCGGCGAGAAGCCTTCGCCTTGGAAAGTCATCTGTAGGACTACGACGCGCTACGACTTCAGCATATGGAGTGCTAATATATTGGGGTCATCCGGTGTCCAAGGCCCATGAGAGGCCCAAGCGGTCTCCGGTTCGGCCCCCATTTTGTCATCAAAGACAGAGTGACAGAGAGGGGGAGCAGAATGAACAGAGTGAGTTAGAGTCAGCAGAACGAGGAGCTTGATCTGTTCGCGAAGCTTGAGGTCCGATCAACATCCCCGACCTTGAGCTCCGAAGGACTTCCTAAGGGTATCACATGGCAGTTGGCAGTTGAGGTGGCAAAGGTGCTTCCCGCGGCTCGAACCTGGGCAGGGGAATCTCGACTGCCACCGGCCTCAAAGACTTCCGGGCCGCCGCGGAAGAAGGCGCATGGGTTACAGCTGACGTTCATCGCCGCACCATGAGACAGGCTGAAACCACAGCTTAAATATGCCAGAGCAGGGTTGAATGATTGTGCTGATCTAGACCGCAAGACAGCGGATGACTGTGAGCTGCAAACGGCTCCCTCGAGGTACCTACTCGGCCCAGGACGGAAGGCCCATCTCCAGCTTTTTCTTGCTGAGTGCAAAGTCGGCCGAAAGTGTGGGTGCCTTCGTCGACAGAATGCAGCAGTTTGGCCAGGTGTCCCATCCACTGCAAATCTCTCCAGCAGCTCCAGCATGCACCAGGTGTGAAGACCACAGCGTTCCCATGATGGTGCATATTAAGGAGGTGTTAAAAAAGGTCCGTGTCTTCCGGTTATACTTCAGGCAACCTTATGATGTTGTTGTTGCAGGGGTTCGCGAAAGTCCCGCCAAAGAAGGCAAGAAATGAAAGCGCTTTTTTGCGAAAGATCAACGACAAGCCGTATGATGAAGTCTTCTGGTGCTGTGCAAGCTCTGAGGTTGCCAGCTGCTGGTGGGATTGGTAGGAGGGCGCAAGGACGCCGTGGAAATGCAAAACAAAAGCCTAGTCGACCTACTCGTAGTAGCCTGGATGAGCCACGCGCACCTCTTTTCGTTTGCGAGCACCGAAGCCCTCGACCCAAGCCCGTGAACCATCGAAGCCAAAAGCTTTGTCGCATGGCCGTCTCTTGGAAGAAATTGTGCGAAATGCCATGGAAGCTGTGCGAAAGCACTCGTGCAAGTTAAGTGAAGAGGCAGCAGCGAGCACAACTCTTTTCCGAATGCAGTGCCCAGGCTGCGCAGAAACTTGGCAGAGACGACGTCAGCAGCCAAAGACCAACAGCAACAAGGTAAACCGCACCTCAAGTCCTTATCGTCCGTCTCGAAGTTGATATCTGTGTTACAATGCCATATCAATATCTGCAGAGGGGCTCCGCGAAAGAAGGCGCGAACGGAGGACACGCTCAAAGTTGGCCATTTCACATAGAAGGAGTTCGAACAATACCACATGGTGCAACACAGCCGGATCAACCGGATATCGCATGTCATGTGAAGCCTATACGCAAGCCGCATCAGCTTAGTTTGAGCTTGCTCCTTCGGCTCATGCAGGCTGCCTCATCCCACACGTCTCTGCCCGTCGAAGGCGCGGCAGTTCGTTGATGGTCCCGGGACTACGCCAGCGCAATGCCATCCGACAAGATCCCAAAGGCCCAAGATGTCCCGAGCGCAGGCTTGGGCTCCCATCCCATTGCCAAAGCCGAGGCAACTCGACATGGACCAGTCCTGACATAGTCTTAGGCCGTGGAGAGTTCTCAGGTTCGGGATCTCACTCCCACGAGCGACCTCCCATCGTGGCCGCGGACGCCAGGCACCTGGAGAATTGTATTGGCCAGAACTGACCCACACAATCAGCTGAAGAAAAACATGGCTGCGCCAGCTGAAGCTTAGCTAAAGCAGCATCTGGTAGCCGGAGACTGCTTTTGGAGCCATGGGCTTTTGACCTGGGCATGACTTCCGCCTCCCCTGAAGTGGGACACGGATCTTTCTGGAAGATTGTGGGAGGCATTGACAAGGGAGGTGTCTTGGTCCGTGAAGGCACGCTCTGCAACCTCTCGGGTCAAAAACTATGACTATAAAATAGATCTTCAATAGCTACACCTCTTCTATGCACAATTTGTGTAGAATGTTTTTCCAAAGGTGGCTGCAGGTGTGGCATCTTGTGTGTTTTTTCCAAAGGTGGCTGTAGGTGTGGCATCTTGCTACGCTGAGATTTATTACACTTCCTCTGCCAGGTGCGGGCCTGAACTCCCCGGCGCTGGAGCAGCGCCTGTCGACCGGGGCGGTGGTCGAAGAGGTCGCCCTGCAGGAAAACCGTCTGCAGTTCAGGCGCGGGTGCGCATGGGGCGAAGAGTGAAGTCCGTGAGTGGTAGAGGCCATGCTCCGAGTTGTTTTGGGCTTCCTGCCCAGGCTGGTTTCTGGCTGCGGTCCACCGCACGGATGGATCAGCGCACAGCTGTCCAACCGGCCTTTGGCTGTCCGGATGCCAACTGATCCGACTCCAGATGGGGAGTCTGTCGAGGCCTCACTGGACACCACCAGATCCTGTCAAGTTCTCAGTCACCCATTTGGTCAGTCCAGTGGCCACACCGCGCCCACGGCGCGTCAAGAAGAGCGGGCATCGCAGATCTTGGAGAAAGGTACGAAGCACATCTCGAGCTGCATGTGCGACGCGGGCAACCTGGATTTTTTCTACATGCTGAAGGAGGAGCTCGCGCAAGGCCAGAGGCTTTTCAGTGGGAATTGGAAGCCAGGCAATGATGGTAAGTGGAAGACTCCCTGGAGAAATGGCCTGGGAAGTGAGCAAGTGGAGGATTCCAACGGCCACAAGCTGCCTGGATTGGCGAAGACGCTGCAGCGATTGTGCGAGCTGGCCAACGCAGACATGCTCCAGTGGTGGGCGAACTACTACGAAGATGGCTCCGTGGGTTGCGAGTTCCATCACGATGGACATGCCGAATTCAACATCACAGCTGGGGCTTCTTTTGGAGCACCTCGATATCTCACTTTTCAACATGAGCATTCCGAGCTAGAGCGCTCGTATCTGCAAAATAATGGTGATGTCTTTGCCTTTGACGCCCATGTTGATGAGGATTTCTTACATGGTGTCTACCCAGTGGATGCCAAGATCGGGCCGCGGATATCCATCATCATCATGGGCCGCTGTCGGGGTCAAGGCATCAACAGCAACTTCTTTCAGGACCAAGCCTCTAATCGCCTTGACTTCGTGAACAGCTGCCGGCAACGGCTTCTGCAACTCCAAAAGCAGATCGCTGCACAGGACCGGACTTCGCCAAAACATCTAGAAAGTCCTGCTTAAGCTGCAAAAGCTTTTCCAAATGTACCGGTGGTGAATGAACTTCTCCAGGAGGCAAACCTCAAGGCCAAGGACCGCCCAGTGATTTGACTGCTTCGTGCTCTTTTGCAGACTCATTTGAGTCAGAAGATAATACCTGTTCAGGGCAGGTCTCATTGGAAGTCCGCTGATGCCTTTTTTGACATCCTATCCAAGTGGTCGAGAGAGAGCGAGAGAGAGAGAGAGAGAGAGAGAGACAGAAAAAGCTATACCAGTACTGAAGCTCACTTGAAGCTCTATGGAAGCTCTCACTGTAGCTCTGTTGACTCTGTGGGTCTGCGGAGGAGGCCGCCGTAGAGGCTGCCGGTGAAGCGGGTGAGGCGCGCGGCACCGGCAGCGTGTCCAAGAAGAGTAATTAGGCGTACTCGCAATGATCGTGGTCATATTCAGCCCAAGCACCAATTAAAGCACAGCACGCCCCGCTCCCTGGATCTTCAGAAAGCGCCGTGGAGACTCTGCAGGATCTCTTGGACGCGGCATACGAGGTCTCCTCGGACCATGTGGCTTTCAGCCTTACAAATGGCCTGCTTTGGTGCTGTCTGAGTGCAGTCACAAGCCCTTTTGACGCGCATCTTGAGTTTAGTGCCACTTGTCTAAGGTGTTCACCAACCGTGTGGTTGACTTGCTGGCAACTGAGCTGCAAAGAGTGTGCTGGGAAAACATTCGCGGTCCTGGGCTAAGTGTGTGTAACAAGCGTTTGGTGCGTCAATTTTACAGGATCAGCTGGCAGAAGCAGCATCCTTGCGCACAAGGTCCGGACTTTGTTGAGCGCAAAGTGATTGCAAAGTTGTGTGCCAGGCAGTTCCAGCATGTTCGGGCTGCAGGTCTTGGGATCAGAGCCAGCTGGCCAGACTTCAGAACGACGCCCTTCTTGCAATGAAGCAGCAGTCTGCAGCCTAGTCCTAGACTGGTCTCTTTCCAGGACCCGAAACTGTCGAATTCCGACACTCAGCCGTGCACCAGGCGGTCCACGCTGACAGCGCTGAAAGAGATCTTCAACAAGGAGGCGGAACATGTCCTTGCTGCATTTCGAAGGGTTTGGCGTTGCCCAGAGAAGGTGAAGCTCTTGAAGAAGTCCAAAGTGCGTTCCAGATGAGACGTCGAAGCGAGCTGATGAGCTGATGCTTGAGCACTACGTGTCCCTTGGATCCCGCGAGCTTCTGGCTTCGTGCGAGGTGTCTACATGGGAAGGGAACGGACAAGACGCGGTGTTGCGCGTGGAAGGCAAAAACATGCAAGAACCACAGCTGCTGCGAGAATAATTCTTGGCGGTGCGGGCGCGGGCTCCAAACTTGATGAGCAGACGGATGCGAGTAGAATTGAGCAGACGCCTGTGCGCTTCAGCTTGACGTCTTCAGACGATTCCCCCTCGACGGCTTCTTCGTCTCCTCGGTCATGGTCGATGTGCTTTGCGATCTTTGCCGGCTGACGTTGGTGCTCATCTCACCAGACATAGCGCAACTAGGCCAGTGCCTCCTGCAATTACGTGTAGCAGGAATGATCCCGGCACTGCGTGTGTCTGATGGATGCTCACTATCAACACTTCAACGTGACGCGCTGTAGCTGAACGGATTCTGCGCTGCCAATGGGCGGCATGTGAGAAACAAGTGCGGCATGGTGGCATGCGAGCATATGCGAACATATGCGAACTGTTTCGAGCTCCAGAGTGGCAAGATGTGTGGACTGTGTGGCGTAAGCATCCTCGAAGTGCTACTGAGGCCAGCATCTTCAATACCTTCACCAGCTCACGGGGAAGGCCTGTAGGCCTGTAGGACCAGCGATTTGCACACCTGCTGTAAAAGACGAAGATTGGCATGACAGCCAAGAGACAACCGTCGGTCGAGCAGACTGACAACATTTGATTGGGTGCTGGGCAGGTTCCCTCTTCTGCTGGAGAGACATGGCTGCCGGGCTAGGGGCTTTGCAGGAACCAGGCGAGTGAAAAGCTGGCATGGTCCGATCATGGGCTGACCGCCGCAAAAGTGCGCAGACTTGCGCGCCAGGATCAGAGGGCGTCACTTCGGACAGATATGACGACGAGGGCAACGACCAGGAAATTGCAGTGCTCAGGAAATTCAACGTGCCAGTAGCGGTGTGACTTTGATCCCTTTTGGGTGCAGGAAGTGCAACTCGAGGGTCCTCCGAGCCCTTCGAGTCTTCCCCTGTATCTCGACTTAATCTCGCACGAAGACAGTGAGGGGTGTGCTGCATGGCGTTGCTTCCTGGACATCCGAGGACCCTGGCAGTTCCAGATCCTCGGAAGGTGGGCAAAACGAAGAGAAGCACCAGCAGAAACACGAAGAGAAACACCAGCATAAGCAGCAACCGAGAATTCTTCTTCGCACGCAGAGCCCTGTCTCAGCCCGGACTCCAGGAACAAGTCGAGCAACTGGACGACGAGCTGCAAAAGCGCATGCGACTGGAATGGATGCGACAGCACTTGGAGGCGCTTGATTCTTCCGGCGGAGGGCACGTGTTCTTCTTGTACTTTTGGTACCGTATCGCAGACGACATCTCATGCCTCCTGGTGCAACGCCACGCACGTCATGAGTTCAGGAGGTAGGAGGGCTTCAGGAATTTTAGGGTGGCCCCAGAGCGTCGCAGTCAAGGATCTGAGGGCAGGTCCCAAGAAACGGTCCTAGGGGGGGTCCCAGGAATGGTCCCAAAAGCAGGTCCCAAGGGGGGTCCTAGAAAATTCCACCTCTGGCCTGCTTGTTCCAGACGCTCTCGGCCGGAGCCCAAGGCGAATTTTATTGTCCTTTTTGTTGCCGGGAGGTGGGTGGGGGCTGATGATATTTAAGGCCAAAACCAGGGCGTGAAGGCACTGGCTGGCGAAAAGTCATGCATGTGAGGCCAACGCACGGTCTCCGCTCCGACACAGAACATGCTGCCTGCATAAGCCTACGCCTTGAACCTTGCACGCTAAACACTCAGAGCCGAAGAAGGCTCCGAAGCACACAGCCCTCCATAATCCCGAAAACCCTAAACCGTGCCTCGAAAGCCCTACGCGTACACGAGGCCTAATCCCTCCGCCCTCAACCTTACACCCTTAACCCTCACACCAAGGACTACGCAAGCCGTTCTGCTTTCAAATGTGAGAGCCGCATTCATCGAAACCCAAAACTCTGATCTCAGAAGCTTTGATTTTGTGACCTTTGGACCTTGACCCAAAACCCCGCACGAAAACACTTGTTTAGCCCAAGCCCTGCAGACACGAATCGCTTTTTGTCAAGAAGGCCCAGTGAACCTCCTCCCCTCCCAACCCTCTGAGTTTGTGTCTGGAGTCAAGGCAAGTGCCTCCCTCCCCCCCCAATCCCAAGTGTTGCGTAGCCTTGAAGACAAGCCAGCAACACGAGCAACAAACAGCAAACAAGCAACAACCAACAGCCAGCAACAAACAACCAACAACAAAAAGCAGCAACCAAGAACCAACAGCAATCAACAACCATCAACCAAACATCAACCATCAACCAACCATCAACATCAACCAACAACCAACCAGCAACCAACAGCCATCAGCCAACAACCAACCAACCAACCGCCAACCATCGACAGCCAATAACCAACAATCAACAGCCAACACCGAACAGAAGCAGGAGCAGGAGCAGGAGCAGGAGCAGGAGCAGGAGCAGGAGCAGGAGCAGGAGCAGGAGCAGGAGCAGGAGCAGGAGCAGGAAGCGGAACAACAATGGGAACACGAACAGGAACCACAACGGGAACAGGATCAAAGCAACAACGGGAACAACAACGGGAACAACAACGGGCACAACAACGGGCAACAGGAGCACCAAGAACAACAGAAGCAGCAACGGCAGAAGTGGCGACAGTAGCAGCAGCAACACCAGCAAAGCAAAAAACAAGTTAATGATTTCAACACATTTCCCCTTCGCTTCACACAAGTGGCCTTTGAATCCCATGAAACACGAGGCACACTGTTGCAAAGGGGGCTGCCCTCTGTTCAACCCCCTGCTACAGCAGGGTGTTTGAATCAGCCGAGGACAAAGCGAAAGGCAAATCGAAAGGCAAAGGCAACAGCAAGGGCAAAGGCAAAGCCAAAGCCAAAATCAAAACTTACCAGGACCTACCAGAACGTGGAATATTCCGCTGTGCTTTACACATGGGAGCCTTAATTTAGAATCCGCTAGAGCCCTTGGCAAGGCAAAAGGCTTGGTGCAAATGTGAGGGCACGAGGGCTGCGCCTCTCCCAACCCGCACAAGGCCAAGCCAAAGTCAAACCATACTTGCTTTTAGAGGTCGGGGACCGACCAAAGCCAACACAGCCAAAGCTTGCATTGCTTTGAAGCATTTCCCCTTCGCTTGATATGCAAGACCTCTGAATGCAAAAATGCAAGAACAAAAACTTGCCAATGCGAAAAGGCCTGTGCTGACACTGGTGCAAATGGGGGGGGGCCCCCCTGTGCTTCTTGACTACGCACATCCAAACCCAGCCCAACCAAGCTACGGAGATTCAAACACGTTTGGCAAGCTTAAAGGTCTGCACTGGCACTTCCGCAAAAAGCGGGGATCGGCCTTTCAGATTGATCAAATGTGCGAGCTTCCATTTTTATCTATGTTTTGTCAATGCCCCACCCAAGCCCCCGTAAACTAATGCAACGCTAAATGATTTTAGGACAAGTTAGTTCGGGCGCTTGAGCCTTATGTCTTCAGCCGGCGTTTCACCCAGCCCGCCCGCCCGGGGCGATCATGTCTTTGCCTTCGTATATCTTGTTCTTGGGGCAAAACAGATTCCATTCCGCGGCAGCTGCGCATCTTCATTCAAGTAGGGCTAACAAGACAAAGAAACGCCTGGCCAGCTTTGTTGAAACTTAGCAAAGCCTACCACAACCCTCCCAGCCCCAGCCCCTCTGCCCCCCCCCCCCCCCCCCAATTGTTTTGTCGGCAATTCTGGAGACGCCATCTTGCCAAGTTTCGCCATAGTTGGAGCTTGAATGTCAGTGATGACATTGCTGGGGTCGGAGTCCTCATAAGTGTCGTTGTTGGAGTCTGGACTTGTCGTTGTGTGTCACAAGTGCCGATGCTTACAGGCATGCATGCACTATGGGGACAAAACAGGGACAAAACCAGGACGAACAACAACAACTCCGCGCAGTTTCTGCCAGCCCTGTCCAAAGGAGCAGCAGCGGCAGCTCGAAGAACAGGCTGAGAAGTCAGGGCATATGTTGGCAAGTGAAACGCGGGCAGCCCCCTTGAAGGATCCACTGTAAGATGGTCATCGATCTCATGTTGATAGGATAAGCCGAGGTTTGTCGCCTGTCCACTTCTGAAGGTAAGTCAGACAGTAATGGTTCTTTCTGACTGCTTGACGATTGACGGCTGGCTTTGAGAAGGACTAGGCGTATCTTGTTTGGACGGAAGGCTAGAGGTTTTAATCCCATCGCTGAGGGCTTCAAACAAGCAAATAGCCGATAGACAATCACCAAACATTGCTGCCTTCACCATCAGCTTTGCACTTGCTGCTTGAGTGGATGGCGTCTGGTCCAGGCCCTGCAGCTTCAATCTGGTCGGCGATTGGATCAGGAGTTTTGTGGTTTGAGGTTTTAGTTTTGTCATGTCTTGGAACGTTCGGTTGCCTTACAACAGGAAGACCTGCAGCGCTTGGAGACTCATCAACGACAGCAGCTGCAAAAGTCGATCAGCTGCACTTCAGAACTATGTCCGAGCCACAGACCCGCTGTGCAATGGTCAAAGGAAGTCCATGGAATCCATTACATCGGGGGGTTTCGAAGCCTGACCAGGTAAAGTTCAAGCCTGTCAAGGTTGCCCGTCCAATCCACTGCGCTCAGAAAAGTCCCACAACCAAGAAGGTCGAAGCACCCTGAACCCTAAACCCTGACTCACATTGCACAGAGACTCCCTCGGCTTTGGAAGCTGCTGCTGGTGGTGTCTCATTGCCCAGCATCCGAGGTTTGATAAGCACCAGGAGGAGGAGATGCGACAGCTCCGGCCTGGGGACACGGCGAAAGCGCACGGCGATCCACCGTTTAAGGCGATGGACGCTGCAGGGCAGGAGTTGGCACCCGCGATAGCACCTTTGGAGCCGCCAAGAACTTCATTGTGCGATTCGCTGCCGGTGATCTCGGAGCACCCAGAGCTGTCTCTGTTTCTTTTCAGCATAAGAAGGGACGCACGTGCCATGTCGGCAGAATTTGCGCAAATCAGCTTTGGCAGCCAATCGTACTCTTGCAATTGCCAAGAGCGTCAGAGGATAGATGAGATGCAGCAACAGCAGATGGAGGAGCTGCAGAGGCTTCAGCACCAATGGCAGTCCTTTGGCTCAGAGGGCAGTGTCGATTCTTTCGGGTGGATCAAAGTAGCTCTGACATGCTCTGAGCATAGCCGAGGCAGGAGCAGGAACAACTGCAGCAAAAGCTGCAGGAAACCCTTCGGCTGCCGGAGGCAGGGTTTAGGGTTTAGGGTTTCGGGTTGAGGGTTTAGGGTTTAGGGTTTAGGGTTTAGGCTGTCTAGGTGGTGCTTGTGTTGTGCCGCTTGTCAGCAAGTCCAGGAGAGAGGCCATGAAAGGCAAGTGGACACTGACGATGAGGATTCCTAGATGCTGTCAGGGGATGCATGGGGTGGGGAGTTGGCATGATTATAGTGGACTGAGAGACCTCAGCCCCTGTGGCACAACCCCCGATCATACTAGAGACAACACGGAGCTGATGAACACTTCTGGGTGCTACTGGAGGTTCAGGATATGGCATTCTGTCTCTTGCGGCTTAATGTTCGCGCAGAAACCGTGAATCTGTGCTCATGGCTCTTCGACAAACCGGGCAAATATTGAAAAAAAACACCTAACCTCGCAGAAAGTCCCTCAAGATTACCGCGCAACCATTAATTGCTTCAAAAGGCTCCCGTGACAGCAAAGTAGTTCATCAGCTCATTCAAGAGGATTGCCTGCTTGTGTGGTACAGATGCAGGAGTCGCACGAACTCCCAGCGGAGACTTGCCTCCAGCTTGCCCCCTCTCTACAGGCAGCGCAGTTGCTTTCCATGGGGCAAAACGGTTTTGTTCCCGTTCCTGAGACTACGCTCCAGGAGCAGAGCGACTACTTCGAAGCCCGTGAGCAGCCGCAGCAGCAATCACAGCCTGCACTGGAGGAGCATCTTTAATTTGCAGTCTTGTCCAACATGTTGACTGGCAAGCTGTGACATTTTCGGTCGATTGCGATCGCCATTTTCTTCACTCCCACAGCTGCGCCTGCGCCCGCACCGGGGCATGCCCGTGCAGTCGGCGCAATCGTCGCAGTCACCCGCAATCAACGTAATCGCGCAGGGCTCGACGCGTGCCGGCACAGTCAGGGTAATCGGCGTAATCGGTGCAGTCGGGGCATGCCCGCGCAGTCGGCGTAGTCGGTGCAATCGGCGTAGTCGGCAAAGCCATACGTCGCCAGTGAAGTCGGCATGGCCGGCACTGTCGGCGCAACCGTGGGGGGGGGGGCCGAACGCGACGGGTTTGGCGCAGTCAGCGCGAGATAGCTCAGCCCGTACTTCGGCGACGCCTTCCGCCCGCACCCCAAATTGGCATGTTTGGTGAAATCAAATCGATCGTGCTTGCCGCTGCCTCGTAGTCTCCCCTGTATAGTATTCCATTTACTGTATTCTACGGCGTGCAGAAGATTCAGTATAAGTAAACGAAGGTGTATGCATGAACGGGTGTATACCGTATCATACTTTATGTATTCAGGAGTTTCCCACAAAGAATTACGTATTCAGAATGCTCCCACAAATCAACTCATGTAGCAGAATGGGTGCTAAGTATGCTGCAACATTGCTGGCCCCCGTCGCCCCAACTCCCATGCTCCGGGGCAAGGTTTCTGAAGGTTTTGTGGGTTTTCCCTAGGTTGCAGCTCTGAGGGTTTGAGGGTTTTAGGGTTTAGGGCCTGGGGTTTTAGGGCTGTTTGAGCCACAACGCCTAAACTCCAGCTGCAAACCCGGACTCCTTGGAGCCCTCGCACAACCTGAACTGTACTTCCTAAGCCTGCAAATCTTGAACACCCCCCCACAGCCCAAAACTAAGCCCGTTTCGCACTTGTTAGTTGATGTTCCTGGGGTCCTCGAGCTTCAAGAATTCGAGTTGTTCACGACGGAATGCGCATCACTCTGACAACATCGAACGACCATCAACCTTTTGCTGTTCCGCTTCTGGCCTTTGCTTGAATCAAGTCAGCAATAAAGGGATCCCTTTCCTGCGAATGACTAACTTGGGAATCAACATGTCTGGAGGAGAGCAAAGGAACACCGACGGCGCCAGATCAGCTAGATGCAGGGAGCGGTGCAGCTGATGCTGTCCAAGAGGATGGCACCACGGAGGCCGAGACGATGGATGCCAACCAGGCAAAAGAACGGCAAGAGTCTTTCGCCCGCTTGGATGCTGCACTTGTGGAATCTCGATGTAAATTAGCAATCATTGCTGGAGGACGCCGGTGTCACTTTAAGTTTCGATCTGACACTAGCCTTGCAAGCTTGTGACTCCAGCCTTGAAAGCCTTTGCCGCTGAGGCCCTGCAGCAAGCTTATCGATCTTCGTACCACTCTGCATATGAGCAGCACACGGGCTTTCTGGACAAGATGCTCGGCGCAGCGAGAGGAAGTAAGGTGCTTGAATTTGGTGAAAGAGGAAGGGTTTCGTGTTGAGGATGGAGGGTTTGTCACGAAACAGAACTCCATCGGAGCTCTAGCGCTTGTTTTTGTTGGTAAACTAAGCCTCCAGTGGTTGAGTTCACAGGAATTCAGAAACAATGGGTGCGTCTTTGGGGCCCATGTCAGAGATCAGAGAGGTGCACACATCACCGCACGAAGGATCTGCGCACTGGACACTGCAGAGCTATGAATCTTGTGTGCACGATAATTAGAACATTGCTCTTGCATTGTTCTGCGGGTTTTGCATCAGTTCTGCCTGCCATCCGAGGGTCAGCCTGCTGCTCTGCTGAACATTATGTACATGAGCATGGCTTAGTCTGCTGTAGGGATCTTGCTGACCGCATGGGCCAAGGTTCGATCAGCGCTGCCTTGATCTTGCTGCTTTGACTGGAACCACAGATGGCACACTTTTCTGGATGTTCGCGCGACCCTGTTGTCAGGTCCCACCTGCAGCCGAACTCAGCACCATGCCGCAGGAAGCGCCTTCAGGAGCAACCTTTGAGGAAGGCGGACTGGGGCGGGCTCGCGCAAGCGGAGATGTGGGGTTGTTTTGCTGCATCCTCCCACCATAATTTCTCCTCATTCCTCCACTGAAGGTCGACTACTGCAACTAAGCATGACCAAGCCAGCGCGAGGTGGCTTCTCCTCAGACATGTTCCAGCTTGGCTCGCTGGTGAAGAAGCTGAGCGAGTTCATTGCAGCTTGGCGGGCCATAATGCATCACAGGTATCACAGAGTGCCATGGGGACTTGCGGAGAAGCTAGTTGCCCACATTCCGATGCTTGTCCAAGGGAGCAGACTCATCGAGGCTGGGGGCAGCTGTGGACATGGGCATGCCGACAGCTCCCTATGCCACCTTTATCCATTGTCCAGGCCAGAGAAGGATGTACCCAGTCCTCATGGTCCACTTTCTCCTTCGCCGCAGGCGCCGCGTTGCACGTAGTTTCTTGCAAACTGCTCTCTGTTGCTCTTGGCTCCCCGTTTGTGAAGGAGCGTGTGATCCTTTCTGGCGGGAGTCGGCATCTCAGCCATGGTGGCAAGTTGCATGTCATCGCATCGCACATTCCCACACGTTGTGATGTTGCACCTTCGTGAAGCTGCGTGAAACCCTGGTCATGAGTGAGGAAGATGGCCTCCAGGCCCACAGGTTCGACCAGGCCGGATTGACATGTTGCTGTCGGCTGCGATGACAACGCGTTGAAAGCCGTCCTCATGATGCTTTGGGACTGTTGGAGGTCCTCCAGCCTCGGTGCCGGACCCGGCAGATCAGCCCATGAGCGGATGAATGGATGAACGCGCGGGCGTCGTTTGGAGCCATCCTGTACAAATCTTCGAGAGCCCAAGAGGGCCACAGGTGCGAGCCGAATTGCCTGTCGTGCAGCCGGCTCCCTTACGTTAATGATCCCCTGATCTAGCTGCAAAGTCCGGCAGAAAACGGGCGGGCACAATGATTTGGATTCTGGGCTGGTCTGGTCTGAGTAGGCCGTCGGACTGACTAGGGATGTCAAGCACGAGTGAGCCGATATAAGCCGAATCAGCAAAAGCTCAACATTGGCTCGAGCCACCTTCTGAAAACCTTACCATGGTACTGCTTCGGGCTGCTGAGAAGAGCATGCCCAGACTGATCAGCAAGCACAGGCAGGGTGCGGCATCACTCAATATACACCGTCACATTGGGCAGCGGAACTAGGTTTCTTGGATCTGCGAGGAATGCAAGAGGCGAGCACCGTGATGTGATCAGCCGATTCCACAAGCAGCTGTAATTGAGTCCTGAAGAGTGAGCCACAAGAGTAAGATAAAGATGCTCTTCTGTCGCACGTGGTATCAAGCGCTTCTGTGGATTCGCCTTCCTCACTCAGTCGTTCTCGTCATGAGTTCGCATTGCCATGGCGATTTGATGACCCTGTTTCAGGTGGTTCGCTGACATTCCAGACAATGGCTGTCGGAATCAAGGATCAGGAATGACAGAACACATAGCTGAAGTTGACGCGTGTCTAGCGATTCTCAGTTGAGCTCGGGCCATTTCGACCCACAGTATCTTGCAGTGGCCTGCCTTGCACAGGAGGTTGCTCAACTAGAGAAGCTGGAGAGGGAGTTGAGCACCCTTTGCTGCAGCTCACGTTTGGCTACGTCCGTGCTCCACCGGTTGACAAAGGAGATGTTGGCAAGTTGAAGTTGTGCAAACATCGCAGCTGTTAGAGAGTTTGCATATCGTGGCCCTGCTCAAGACGCGAGGAGAAGAAGGTCCGTGCTGCCTGCTGGCTCCTGGGCCGCTTGCGCTCGGGGCGCCTGGAAGTGAATGGCTTCCACTTTGGAGCAATCCTGGGTGGGCTCCGAGACGAGTGGCAGCTGGCTCTGCAGGTGATCGGTCCCATGGCTGCCATGGACTCGCCCACCTCTGCCTCGGTCATGGATGTGGTCGGCTACAATGCAGCCATGGCCTCCTGCAACCGGGCCGGCCGGTGGCAGGCATCGCTTCTGGTCCTCGAGAGCCTTGACACCATTCGTCCAAGCGAAGGCACCTACAACGCTGGGTTGACTGCATGCAGAAACGCAGGAAGCTGGCACCTTGCTGTATGCCTACTGGCAGACGTGTCGGCGGCAGGATTGACTCCAGATCTCTACAGCTTCAATACGGCCATAAGTGCTGTTGAAGCGGGCCAGTGGGCACTGGCCCTCAATCTTTTCCGCAAAATGGGCTGCCGGGATCTTGTCAGCTTCAACACCGCCATCAGTGTGTGTGGCAAAGCTGGGTGCTGGAGGGAGCCCCTTCAGCTGCTCTCTCAGCTTCCAAGAGCCATGCTTCAGCCGGATGAGGTTAGCTACGGTGCAGCTGTAGATGCCTGCGCACGACAAAGTCTGTGGCAGCAGGCGCTGCAGACTGTGGTTGGCCTTCTGGCCGTTCGAGCTTCCGTCAACACAGTTTGCTGGAATTCGTTCGTCAGCGCTTGCGGGTCGAGCAAGTGGCAGCTCGCATTGTCCGTACTCGATGCCATGTGCCTTCATGCTGCCTTTCTGCACATGAGCATCTGAGCATCTTGCAGTTCGATGTCTTTTGAATCAGAATCGGTTACTTGCAAGGGGATCAGGCTCAGCTCGGGACTCGAAGCTCATTTGGGCCATTCTGGGTTGCTTGTTTCTGCGTGTCACTCCAAGGCGATGCCACCAGATCGCTTTACCTTCAGCGCCCTGATCTCTACTTTCGAAGGGGCCTCGCTTTGGGAATTGGGATTGGACGCGCTGGCTCAGATGCAACGTCGGGAGGCGCGGATTCTAAGTGCGCTGACAGATGGTTCCTGCTGGGTCGCAGCAAGGCTGTATGACAGTACAGTGTCAGGTGCAGCAGGTACTCATTGTGCAGCTAAAACGGGTATGCGTATGCAACATGCCATAAACCCTCTTCAAAAAACTCGGTCAGGGGTCGGTTCCGGTCGACTTGTGTGGAGAAGGGGAGGCGGCTAGTTGTGGCTACACTAGCGACTTACGATTTGATGGTTGTGTGTTACCTTCCCAGCTTTAAATCAGGGGTTGCATGGTGTGTTATCCACGGCATCTGGCGGGGCATTCTAGCATCGATTCTGGCATACAACCGGCGTTTAGGTCTCGCCAAAAGGTGGACAGATCTTCTTGCTGAGTTGGAAATATTTTGAGCTATGCGAGGTTGTACCAGATGTGGCGTGTTTCAACACAGCCATCCGTTCCTGCGGCTTGGTGTGGGAAGTGGCTATTCTGCTGCTGCACAGCATGATGCAACCGGATGTCATCAGCTATAGCTCAGCCATCCGTGCCTGCGAGAAGGCAGGAAGATGGGACATGGCCCTGTGCCTGGTTGAAGCTATGCCATCTCGCTCGCTGGAGGTGGATCTGATCTGCTGGAGCTCGACAATCAGCGCTTGTGAGAAATCAGGGTGCTGGGAATTGGCAATTTGCCTCCTGCATGAAAAAACTCATGGGATGGGCTCAATGGGCTCAATATGCTCAATGGACATCATCACCATCAACTCGGCTCTCAGCGCCTGCGAGAAGGCCGGGCAGTGGCGAGCTGCTTTACAGCTCTTCTCCGGCTTCCTCGTAGAGGTGCAGAGGGACACGATAAGTCTCAATGCAGTCTTGAGTGCCTGCGAGAAGGCTGGGCGGTGGCAGCTGGCTGCGGATCTGCTCCATTCCGCGTCTTCGCAAAGGTTCCAAGCAGACATCGTTTCCTATAACGCTGTCATCGCAAGCTGTGAAGATGGGAGCTGGGAGTTTGCTCTGGCTCTGCTCGGCGATATGGCTGTCGTGTCATTGTTGGCAGATGAAGTCACATACAATGCCGCAATCAGTGCAGCGAAGCGCACTAGCTGGACGCATGCCCTAGCGCTGCTGTACGGTATGGAGTCCGTGCGCATCATGCCTGATGAAGTAAGTGTTGGCTCTACGATGACCGCGCTGCAGCACGGTCGAAACTGGCAAAGCACCCTGTCGCTGCTCAGGCACATGCGTGAGCGTCAGGTTTACCTGAGTCCTCTTGTCTACAGCGTGGCAATTTCAACATGCCAGCTCTGCCAACAGCATTTGCACAGCGCGGCGCTCTTCAGGCATGTGCGTTGGACATTGCTTCACTCAAGTCCGCTAGGGCTGCATCGCCAGAAAAGTCGGCGTTTGATCGTGATGTGTGAAGGCCGGCACGCAGGAGGTAGTGTTTTTGCGGCACGTTCCCAAGTTAAGTATGAAAAGTCTGCCGCCGCTCACGCCATTACCGCGATCATCCAATGCACAGCTTGTGTACAGCCAACACGCAACCATGGACCCATTGTTGGTGCTCCTAGTCTACAGATTATCGCTAGTTCGCCCACATGCCCCTCTAAGACCGTAACGACAGATGTTCTGAGATGGTCTGAGGCATAGGCTAGAATGCGCGTCCTTGCGATGTCGGAAAGACCGTGGCAACCGGTGATGGAGGTTGCTGAGGTTGCGCGCGTGATGCGCTCCCAGCTCAACATGCCTTTTCCAGGACGTGGAGCTGAAATGCTTGCACTGTGACATGGTTTCTGTGTGCGATACAGAAGCATACCGAGGTTGCACGTCCATGGAGCCACTCAAGAGGCTAGTCACACAACCTGCCACCCCGAACTCTCAAATGATTTGAAACGCCCAAGCAGTAAAACGCAAACCCCAGCAACCCAAGCCAAAGCAGGAGCACCAGGACGCCCCGCAACATCCGAGTGGACACGAGCATCGCACCTCGATCATTCGAAAGGATTGAAACTCGCATTTGGCTGTTCGATGTCAAGTGCAGAGCTAAGGGCGGCACAAAGAAGAGCTCAACCACCACGAGAAGCGCTTAGATCCGGCGGACCATGCAATGCCTGCGCCAGGCCGGTAGATACAAGCTATGCTCGTAGATTCGTGTGTGTGTGTGTGTGTTTGTGTGTGCGAGGGTGTGTGTGTGTGTGCCTGTCTGTACACACAGATGCGCTAGTCACCAGCAAGGGTTGGATTCAAATATTTAGACCGTCCAAGGGGAAGCCCCTCCCCCGTACATGGAGTGTATGTGTGTGCGCGTGCTGATGTCATTTGCCAGTAGAACATAGGGCCCTTGGTGACATACCTGCCAATTGAAGCAGCAGCCTGAACAGCGCAGTGAAGATTCGAAGTGCCGAAATCAGCTGACAACAGACCTAAAGATTTATGAACCTCTCTGCGCATCTTTTTTTCAGCTGTTTTTTTGTGTCCATACGGCAAGAGTGAGGAAGCAAGCTGTGCAGACGCCCAAGAAGATGCCATCATTCGGCTGACGTGTAAGAATCGTCGTCGTGGCACTGTTGCTCTGAGGAAGCTTGCAAAGGACAGGGAACAAAAGCCATGCAAATGCTATGATGGACCGGCCAATTGATGTTCATGTCCGACTGCGAGGATGGAAACCCTGAAGTCGTAGATCGGGTGCTGCAAGGCGTGGCGAAGTGTTCCTCGTCTGCAGCCAAGATCGGGTGAATTTGATCGTTTCTAGGGTTGCGTGGACTTCTATGCTGTACCATCTCTGCCCAGTCACAGCAGAGTGAAAGTGCATGAAGTGAAGGCTTGGCAGAGACTGATGTCATCCTCCAAAGTGTGCTGATCACGGCTTGTGCAGAATGCGGTGATTGGCAGCTTGCCATGAGCTCCTTTCGAGCCATGCAAATCCAAGCTCTCAAGCCCGACGATGTGAGCTGCAATTCTGCAGCTTGGCCACGTTGCCATATCTGGGCGCCACTACGCACAGTTTTGAGCATGTGTAGAGATAGAATTTTCGTGTAGGAGCAAAGACGCAGCAGGCAATCTGTCGTCAATGTTGTCAGAATCTTGCTGCTGATTGCCAAGGTGATGCAAGTATCTGGCAAGTCCGGTTCTTGGGAGGCAGGCGCGACTCTGGACAGCACTGGCATTGCAGTCAGGTTGGCTTGGCTTGCTGCCAGGCAGTGTAGAGTCATCATGGGGGACATGGGGGACGGTCTCAGGACGATGATGGAAAGTGATGAGAACAGCCAGATGTCTTCGAAAAGCTTGCGAGCGCCGGTCTTGGTGGGTGGAATTTTTGTAGAGCTCTATACCATCTCGTCTCTGCAAGTCAGTACCTGCGAGACCCTACCAGTGGGCATTTGCCTTTCTTTCAACAATGTGCATTGGTTCTAGTTATATACTAGTTGCCAGGTTGCTATTGCTTTGTGTGGTGATCGTGGCAGATGGGCTTTTGCTCTGTCCCGTGGCAGACTTTGGTGACTCTTGCCTTCTTGCATCCTGCAAGGATGGTTTTGTGGTCATTTGTTGTCATCCGTGCCCAGTGCTGCCCGGGAAAAGCTCGAGGAGTTGCCTCAACGAAGCGTTGCAGAAGCATGTCGAGCCAAGCCTGGGCTGTACCGGGCTCAGAACCCCCCCCCGGGTGTGTGTGTGGAGCACATGCATGTTGCCAGGTGTTTGTACACTGAAATAGGATGATGGATGCATATGTGCATATTTGCACAGGCACATGTGTGAGAGGGGCCTTCGGGGTCTGTTTGGCCACGTGGTTCCAGCTATTTTACCTGTGGTTCTAGCTAAGTTAGCTGTTTCAAGAGCACATGAGTTTAACGACAAATAAAGTGTCTGACGTTGAGCTTGTCGTTGTCGGCAAAATAGACAATGAAATGGGGTGAGGGATCAGCCAGCGCGGCCCATGTTTTTTTGAAATCACAGCAGACAACATCAGAAGCTAAAGCAAATAACCCATCTGATCAGCAGGTAACACTTCGAAAAAGCCATTAGTTTTCGTCCACATAGAGCATAGAGTCAGTCCAACAGAAACCAACAGAATAAGAAAATTAGCATATCTTGAGTGTTTGATTGAAATTGTCTGATTTGTTCTTCTGTACTTTAGAGTTAGATGTTTTGGTCAACTTTCGTTTCTGTGTTATTGGCTTCAAACGTGTTGCAGGTTAAGGTTGTTTTGTCCAGTGAGGGATCAGCCAGCCACGCGCGTCACCTTCAACATTTGTCAGTATTTGAAGTCACCATAGACTGGAACTAACTAAGCTAGTTGCCAACCTGCAGCTACCACGAAGGCCAGCTGCGATTCATGTGTCACAAGAACATTGGTGTAGATTCGTGTATTGCACCTAGGCTTCAATGCAGCCATTGCTGCTTGCCGGTCATGCTGGACCCTGCCGCTGCAGCTGCTGGCAGAGCTGCATAAAGCGCAGGCTGGGCACTGCGTAGCCGAGCGCGACTTGTTCTGCATTTGATGCAAGTGCTGTCAGGTGAAGCCCGACCTGGTCAGCTGCAACGCAGCAATTGCCACAGACACAGTCGCAGGAAGGCACCGAGACTGTTGGATGGGCAGACTTGAGATGATCTGGAGTGCACGGATGTAGTGCTGCTTGCTTGCAGAGGGCCACTTCTACGTGGACCACGGCTGTCCATCTGCTGACATGCTCCATGGGCTTGGGTCTGCAGTTGCGGCAGGTCTCCTTTTGTGCCCTTTGGCTTCTTAGATGAGTGGGAAGTTTACAAGTTGCTTTGAAGGCAGGTGCAGGTTCTGTGCATGAGTGTTTGGACACAGGCAGCCATCAATGCCTGTACATCCGAGTGGAAGCGTGGGCCTCGGAGGCTCTACAAATCTATCTCCTTAATGTGCAAGTACATATACAGACATATTTATGATATTGGTGTACCAAGTTGCCCCGCTCTGCCTCTGCTCTCCTCTGAGCCCCACTTGGAAGCCCAGGCAAGCTGTTGCTTTGCTCCGTGGAGCACTGGACTTCCAGCTTGCGCTCGACCACAGGATGATGACTGCAGCCCTCATGGCCTCTGGCTTGAGTTGGAAGTTGGCACTGCGCATTTGGGCCGATGTCCGCCTCAGCATGCGGCCTGATGTGCTATGCCACTGGGCCGCAGGTTTCGGATGAGCCTCGTGTAGTACTTGTCAAGGCTTCCCTGCTCCTGCTGCATGCTGCCCATTCCTCAATCCTACAACCTGAACCTCTAAAAGCTTGTAACTGACTGGAGTGCCAACCCCCACAGAAGCCCAAGAGCATCCCGCACAGAGTCCTGCAACCCTAGCGAATTCCGCAAAGAGCCCCCAAAACTTCTTGGAAAGCCCAACTCCAGAGAATCCCGCAGACAGTCCCGCCGAGTACGCTTAGAGTGCCCACCCGCTGAATCCCGTCGAGCGTCACCTGAAGGGCACAGGCAATGCAGTAGAAAGTTTCACCGAGTATCCCTAGTTAGAGTGCCCACCCTCAGAGAATCCCGACAAGCCCTTCTCCAGTTCATCCCACAAAGAATCCCGACAAGTAGCCCAGGAGTGCCCACCCTCAGAGAATTCTGTTCGGAGAATCCCGCCCAGCACTGTATCCCTGGAATGCCCACCCACAACAAAAACCGTTCCGAGGGCGGTTGCCGGGAAAAGCAGCACGATAGAACCCTGCCGCAAAGTAGAATTGTTTCCTGTCCGAAACTCGCAGAAAGGCACCCACATTGATTGTCTTTAGGGTGCGCATGATTGAAGTTAGTATGGTTTGTTTGCTTGCTTGTTTGTTTCTGTGTGGGGGGTTTGGCATTTCTTGATTGTGCTGCCCAACAAAGACCATCACATCTGCTGTGAAGCAGTCAGGGACACTTGTTTGTGTACCTGAAGTCGATGCTTGTAGCAATCTTGAAATCTACGCCGTGCAATGGAGCATCATCATCGCTGTTGTTAATGTAGTGAAGCAAGTCTTATCTTCCTGGAGCAAGCGGGCCGCCATACGTGCAGCAATGGTGCAGAGCAGCACAGCATGACCCGGTAGGTGTGGAACAAGTTATGGTGCAGCGGCCTGCGCATCACAGCACAGATCATCACGGCCACACCACACATCATTCATCCCCTACTACATCGACCTTCTGCTCCTCTCGACTAACCTTTACACTACACGCAGTACTGTATACATTAGCATCTACAAATCTGCAAGTTTCAACACTACTCGATTTCAAAAACAAGTGTGTGACTGGCGGTGCTACACGTTGTGCTGGCCGTACAACCGAATGCAACTTAGGCCTCAACAGCGTGCTCAAAGCATGTACAAGCAGCAAGTCCTGGCATGCTGCGGCACGCTGTCTGTACGAAGCGGTCGGCTGCTTGGTGGCAGACAGCAAGACGGTTGGTTCCAAGTGTAGCAAGCCGAAAGACTCGGCCCGTGGGCCCACTGTGTGGAAGGGTTTTAGGCAGTCATGGAATTCCAGTCCCGAAAGTAACAGATTAGAACACCGAGGCCTTCGTCTGAAGTTTGACGTCCCCAGCTAAGTTGCTTGTTGCGGCTACGGCTGCTCAGATGGGGCGCACTTTGGTGTGTGCACGGCATTCCCTCCCCTCCCCTCCCGTCACTCCTCCAGTCCTCGAGGCCCAATCTCAAACCCAACGAAGCCTGAAACCCTTGAAGCCTTAAACCCTAAACCCCACAACCACACCATCGGGGGAGGGGGACCATGGCGGGGCGCCCTGATCATGGTGTCCTTTTCGGGATAGTCGTACTAGAAAAACCCACTTCACATGGATGAACTCGCCCCCCTCCCTCCCCTCCCCCCCCCCCCCCCCCCCCCCCCCCCCCCCCCCACACACATCACATCGCATTCTTGCTCGGCGAACGGCGTCCCACGCGAGTTTTGCACATGGCACTTGAATGGTTGAAGCTTTGTGCATCTGGCGAGACCGGAGCTGCTCAGGAGATGTCCTTCAACACGGTTGCGGGCCAGAGCCTTAGGCCGATGGGCAAAGGCTCGTGGCAGTCTGCTGACGTCAGAAACAACTCAGGTCTCAAGTCATTGGAAGCTATAGGGAGCTCCTGCATGCGGGCTTGTGCGGCTGGCCCAGGTGCCTGCAATGATGCTGGTCATTGGAAGCTTGCATTGGCAATTCTGAGCAGCCTTTTGGTCGCAGAGCATCCATAAAGCCGTATAAAGCCATTCAGCTGCGGGAGGATGGGAGGATGGTAAAAGGAATCAGATTTTGCGGGACTCTGCTAGCATCTGGGGGGCCATCTGGTAGGTATGACTGCCTACGCTGTCGACCTTAGCCGTGTGAGCTGGAACACGGCCATTGCGTCTTGCCAGCTCTGCAGCCAATGGCAACTCGCGCTGTCGATCGTGCTGACGATGCAGGACACTTCAGCTGAAGTTTGCCAGACAAGTGTTCTTGAGTCTTGAGTTCGGATCAGCGTCCATTCCGTCCGACTTGCCAGCAGTGGAGGGAGAGCAAAAGGTAGTATTCAAGTAGCAATCGTAGTCTCATAGCAGGATAGTGGCATAGCGGTAGTTGTCGGAGTCGGAAGGGGAGGGGCTTGGCTCTGGGCAGAGCACCTGGGTTCGGAAGTTCTTCAGATTGATCCGGATGAAGTCAGGACAAGTCTGTTCGGCCCGATTCGGCGAGCTTTGCTTCGGCAATTTGCTGCTGTGCAGGGAAGCAGTGGCGATGGGCGCTGCGTCTCTGGCACATGCTTCGAGAGACTCAGCAGCATGTGTTAAAGAAGGCTATTCTAATGTTCGAGGGCAGAAAGCTGCCAAAGTCACACAGTACATCGCAGCGCGTGTTGCAGCTAAGGATGAAAAGACATCGCCCAATCAGATTTGCTTGAACAGCTTCATCAATGTGTTTGAGAAGAGCTCGAGCTGGAAGCATGCAGTTGAGACGTTGAGGGCTATGCCATTGCACATGCTGACGGCAGATGATGCAAGCGAGCTCCCCAGATTCCAAGCATTCTTCAGTGCGAACCCTGCCGCATCTTGCAGTTGATGCATGACGAAATTCAGCAGTCTCAAGGCTACAATTCAGCAGTTGCAGCATGCCAGCGAAGACTGCAGTGGCATCGTGTCCTGTGGACTTTCCATCACATGGACAAGAGTCCGCTGCCCAGAGTTACGGAGAACTCGGGTGCTTTCTTTCTGCGAACACCATGCGTTCGTTCAGCATAGCTTTGGGTTGCACAAGCCCCAAGCCTAGCACACACTAACGCATGCGACAGTAAGATTTCAGAAACCCTGTTGCTGCCTCTTTCCGGTTGTAGGTGTCAGAGAGAACTGGCAGCTTGAGCTCAGTCTGCTAAACAGCCGAAGCTCGCATCAGGGCTGTGAGGCTGTGGGGCCGGGCATTCACAGTAGTTAAAATTACGGTACTCGGTGCTCACGGGAGACCTGCCGCAGAGTTCCTGAGCAGTGAAACAATCGGCCACAGTCAGTAGCACTCAGACCGTATTACAAAACTAGCTGGATGAGTAGCCGTGTAGACAACTAGGGTCAATGGGTCAGTACGGACTACAAAGCTCGAATCTAGAAACTCGTGTGCAGAGGGCGCCCGACACATTCGCACCACACGATACATGGTTGGCACGCCTGCGAACCTCCATTGCGCAAAGTCCAACAGACAATCACACGCATGCTCGCACCAAAGGGGGTATTCCATTCCTCCTCCACTCATCAAGCAGTGATGGGACAGGACCACTTTTTACTTCTACCTTGCCAGCAAGGCCAGGCAGACCACGCTTACCTCCGAAAACCCACTTCACCCGGTGGCATTCCCCGGTCTCCCATGGCTGGATTGCCTTGCGTAAGGCAGTGTCTCACTGAAGGACCACCGTTGACAAGGGATCTGCCATCAGATAGGGTCCCGCCTGGCACTGACTGGGGATGGCAGTGTGCGACTCAACAATCGGTGGCACGTATTTGCACAATGTCTGTAATTGTGAACCTGATACTCGTTTGCCGGCCCCCTCCCCTGCAACATTCTCGGGCAACACGGAGTGTTGAGGTGGCATGGGTACAAAAGTTGATCGCATCATGCCGTTGGGGAACGTGTCGCATAAGGTCTCCTGGATGAGGTCACCTATAACGAGGCCGTCTCTGCTGCGAAGCATGCTGCTGACTGGCCGATGGCGCTGGCACTTCTGCAGCAGATGCCGCTTCGACAGATAGTAATGGAAGACTGGCATCTTTCAGAGGCTTTGCAGGTAACGGAAGGTGAGCAGTTTGTTGTCGAACTCCAGAAGTTTACCTTGCGACTCCGCCGCGCATGCCGAAGGAAGTTATCGCGCCTCCAGCCGTTCGCTCTAACTCACGAAGCTGCTGTGACCAGCTGCCTGGATCATGCGCAGGCCATTGCAGCAAGAACCCTTCTGGAGGACTCGGGCAAACACGGAAAATGGAATAAGCAACTGGATAGGACCCTCGTAGATGTAGAAGAGCCAACGTTGACCAAAGACTTGCAGGCCCTTGCATTGACTCTGAGAGCCAGGAGACTGGGGTGCAATGGCTCAACATCCTGGCTCGTTCAAGGCCCTAGACGGAAGCTGAATGAGTGCATGCTCCTCATGCTCTCTGGACTCCAGCGCAGCCGTGGCAAGCTCCCGCTGGTGCGCACTGGTGCGGCGATCTTGCGAAAGTGAACATCCATGACGGGCTTCCATGGCGACCCACGCAACTCCCACTGGTTGGACCTGGATCTTCTGCAGTCTGCTTTGAGTGCGCAGCAGACGCTGCGTCTCAGCACAGCTTTCACCTCGTCTCTGTCATGGGCACTGCATCTGTCGGTGCTTCTCTGCTGTTGAGGGCTTGTAGGAAACTCTTGGACTCTTAGGTCGCAGACAAACACAAGCGTGTGAGTGAAAATGTCCTGCCGACAACCTGTAGAGCCCAAGACGATTGAACTTGACCTCTGAAAATACAGGAGAAGAGACTAAAAATAGAGAAGTGAGACGTCCAAGGCATGCAGGAGGAGTGGGAGTTTGCTAGCTTGCTCGGTCGATGGGTATCGCGATTTCAGTGAATGCGTTGCTGCCTTGGCTCACTGCTCAGGGCTCAGCCGTAGCCCCTTCCTCCGATACCGAATTCCCGCTTGTTCCGTTACTTACCATCACTACATCATGCGGCTTGGATGCAAGTCGATGCAAGCTCCGCTGAGAATCTGCCACATCCGGTCCGGGTCTTGTGAGGCTTCCTTCAACTTGCAGGCCTGGAAGCCGATCTGTTGGCTCAGTGTGCTCTCGTTTAGCTTTTGATGCCTGCAAATTGACAAAGGGCATGTAAAGGGAATCCAGGAGTGGCAAAGTACAAGCGTGCGCGAGTTGCCACCTGTCACCAGGATATCCCCAGCACTGGGGGTCTCTGTCTGCCTTGCAGCCTCGGTTACTGGTAGGAGAAGCACCGTCGAAGCTGCGGATCTTGCAACATCAGCAGCCATGATTCCGTGATGCCAGGTGCCATTGCCCTTCTGCTACAGACCTCAACGGAGCCTCGGCGAAGTGTGTTTTTTGCTCATGACATGGCCTTTGCGGATGGCAATGCTCAGAGCCACAGCAGTCCTCGTTAGTTGTGTGTTGAGGCCTGGCCTGCGAGTCTCTTCACGACTCCGTGGAAGGAACATGTGCCCCCAGAGCAGAGCCGGTGGGAGTAAATGGGTTCCCTCCTTGTTGCAGAAGGTATCACAAACCATTCATAGCATTCCTTTGAAGAAACAGTACGTTCCGGCCAGAGGCTCAAGATATTCATGTGCTTCCTATTTGTCGTGAACGGATGATGGCTGATTGCTTTCACCGTGTCAAGGTCCAGAAAGATGGCAAAGTCGTGGCCTACAAGACTGCGTATTTTGGTCAGGTGCTGTCAAAACCTGGCATCATGACCAGCCACTGACGCCAGCATCGGTGGTCAGCTTTGTGCCGGCATGATGCATGACATGGCCGCAGGTTCACGTTGGTGGCCCCGAGCCGCAGAGCTTCACCGTCGTCTTTGACACTGGGTGCCTCGGCGTCAGATGCCTGTGCCAAGCTTTCACCTGTGCTTTGGCCCTCGGCTGTTTCTGGTAAGAGGCTGGGAAGTTTGGACAGTGTATGTTAGCCGAGAATTTGCAACTGTGCTTGTCATGTTTGACCATGCAATATGACTTCAAGATGTACTTGTTGAAGTGTGAATACACATGTGCTATCATGTGCTCAGCTTGATCGGGTCAGGTCCGGACATTTAATCCTGCCATCAAGCAGTTGCCCATCTCCAAGAGTTCTTTCAAGGGCAGCTGGACGAGATGTCGTAGAGCCAATTGCAGTCACATGAAAAAGGCCGTCGGGCTGCAGGTCTCAGCACGGCGTGTGCGAAGCATAGAAGATACAACCGGACCGCCTCTCAAACAGCCGTCGGAGCCTGATATGATTTATTCCGTCGATTCCCTCCCTTTGGCCTAAAAGCCTCGGTATTGCCTTTGAAGGTGGACATTGAATATGACGGAACGAAACTTCGAGCCGACGCCACCGAGCGCGATCAGGCGAGACAGGAACTGGACCTGCTGAATGAAAGTCGCCCTTTTTCGCGAGGTGGCGATCGCCTTCGGAACGGGAGAAGTGCAGGGTGAGTTTGTCAGTGAGGCAGAGACTGGCTGGAAAGGCATGGAGGCAACCTGAACGCGTGAGATGCCTTCCAGGATGTTTGCTTCACCAATGCTGCAGCGGCCAAAGGCAGGGTGTCAAAGGGCGGTGCCCTTGTGAGAGAGACAGAGAGAGAGAGAGAGAGAGAGAGAGAGAGAGAGAGAGAGAGAGAGAGAGAGAGAGCGACCACTCCACCCCGAAACAGGGGCGGGCAAAGATGCCCGGGGCGCAGACCCCAAGCCCCTAGAAAGAAAGAAAGAAAGAGAGAGAGATTCGCAGACGGACGGGGGCGCGCATCTGCGCAGGGGGCCACCCCCATGCCCCAACGAAAGAAAGAAAGAAAGAGAGAGAGAGTGTGAGAGAGAGTGTGAGAGTGACAGTGACAGTGGCAGTGAGAGTGAGAGTGAGAGTGAGAGTGAGAGTGAGAGTGAGAGTGAGAGAGTGAGAGTGAGAGTGAGAGTGAGAGTGAGAGTGAGAGTGAGAGTGAGAGTGAGAGTGAGAGTGAGAGTGAGAGTGAGAGTGAGAGTGAGAGTGAGAGTGAGAGTGAACGAACGAGACAGGTGCGCAGAAAGAAAGAAAGCGAGAGAGAGAGAGAGAGAGACTTCGCGCGCCTTTCGGGGCAGCCCTCCTTCGGGAGGCTTAAGCGTGCGGAGCGAGAGAGAGAGAGAGAGAGAGAGAGAGAGAGAGAGAGAGAGAGAGCGAGACAAAGTGGACAGGACCCTGACCCTGGAGTGTCGTAGTGGAAGCTGAATTGGGATTGTAGGGGAAGGGGAAGCCAAATGTTCCACACCAAGAAGCTCGGTGGGGGTTCGAGAGGGGGGGGGGGGAGGTGAGTGCCACTGGCATTGTCTGGACTGTATTCGCGGCCCAAAGGTTTTAGAAGCAGATGAAGCAGAGACTGCAGAGGTGCGGCCAAGACTGATGGCTGTGTGAATCTGCGCGTGGCGGCGGCCTGAGAGTTGGGAGTATAGAGGAGGAGCTTTGTTGTGCCTAAACGTTTGGGCATTTCCCCAAATAGGGATACCCTGAATATAGCCCCAAATGGTATAATTAGTATAATCCTCATTATAGGAACCCCCTCAGAAAAGGTTACCCCTATTCTCGTAAACCCCCATTTGATTGCGAAGGTCGTGGCGTCCAAAATGACAGAGGACGCGCAAGACATGTCTGAACTCATGGCCTCGAAATGCCTAGACTGTCTAGGCGCGTGATTTTTTGGAGCAGCGCAGGATCCCTTCAGTCATTTCGACTTTGACGGGGTTCTGGGACTTGGACTGGAGTCCCTTGCTCTCAGTGCGCCGGCGGATACCTAGCATAACGTAGCTAAAACACGTCCAGGACTTGTGCGGTGGCAGGTCCGGAGTTCAGCTTCTTTGGGCAGATGCTGGCGCAGAATCCGGGCATGGAGCCGCGGTTTTCGGCCAGAGCCCCAGAGAGCTCGGCCCATGTGCAATTCTTGCCGCCGGCTCCGGGCTGTGTAAGACAGAAGGTCCGCAACTGTAGGAGACCTGAACCGGCAGGTTTTCCTTGCCCAGAATGAGGGCGTGGACAGCATGATCTCCTTCGGCGGGTTGCGCGGCCTTGTCTTGGTAAGAAGGTTTTCGACTCCCAAGCCTCGGTTTCGGAATTGACAGGTGATTTCAGGTTGATTTCAGAGCTGTTCCGTGAAGTCTTGGGGTGTGGTGGTCTGCCAGGCACGAGGAAAGATTTGCGAACAGCGACATTCAATGGGCTGGGGCCTTTGGCCTCACCGGCAGAAAGCGAAGCTTCTCTCAAGCATCCGACGGGTTTCGTCCGTGAGCTGCAGCCAGCAACTGCGGAGGCTCCCGTGGCCATGACAGAACTGGGCTACTGGCAGGCCGAGCGCCTGAGGGCCCTGTCATGCAGTGGAAGCATCGGCAATGGGCTTCAAAATTGCATGGGCAGGCATGTGCTTGAGTTGTTGCATTGAACGACATGAGAATGATTGGAGGTGGAAATCAAGTCCATCAAAGTTGGCAACCAGGCCACAGTGTGCTAATACGTTGGGAACAGAAAAAGAGAGTGCAAGCAAGAGAGAGAGAGAGAGAGAGAGAGAGAGAGAGAGAGCGAGAGAGAGACGGCGAGAGAGAGACAGAGAGTGTGAGTTGCGACTGCAGGTCCTCGAAGAGTGCGAGGATGGCTCGTGCCGGGCCATATTGGACACTGGCACTTCCCTGCCACGCCCCAAATCAAAGTTTCAATTGTTGCAAGAAAGTTGGATCCCAGAGTCCCTGGATCTCGAGGTTGGGAGTCCCGCGGCAGGCCTTCCGAAGCAAGTCATGATGCACAATTTCAGGTCGGAGATGTTCAGCTTCGCCTGCCAGGCCGTACGTGCCATGCACCGCATGCTAGCAAGACCAGTGGCAGAGGAGCATCCGGTTGCGGAGCGTGGTCAGTCACTAGAAGTCACGAAAGCTAGCTCCTTGGAGCTCGCGAGAGTTGTCGTTTACAAGCATTCTCTCTAGTGTTCAGCTGGGTCAAGAAGCGACTCCGACCCTTAAGTGGTATGAAAATCAAAGAGATAAAGGGCTGTGGAGGGGGCGGGGGGCCCCCACTCCCCCCCCCCTTATAGGATTGACAAAATCAATCTTAAGGTGTCCCCCCCCCCCCCCTTTCAGGGTCGCCTTAATTGATTTCTGGGGAGGGGGGGGGGCCCCCCCTTTTTGTTTTGGGCCCCCCCCCCACCCCTTTTCAGGCTTCCCCCTCCGTCTTGGTCAGGCCCTGCTGTCGAGCTGTAAGGCCCCGGGATGAGCATTCGAATCCGCAGCTTCCGACAGCTCTTAGTGCGACCGCTGCGTGTCCCATCATGTTTCGTTTTGCTTACAGTTCAGAGTTTGCAGCGTTGTTGCTGCGGCCGCACTTCTCCTGCCTGACTCGAAAAAAGCTTGCTTGTCAGCCGCGTTTCTAGCTTTCGTGGCCCCGATCTCAAGTTCATTTATCAACGACCAACGCCAGAGCGTAACTGTACAGGAGCAGAACTATGGCACGTATTTACACCTTATGGATACAATTGTAACATGGAATGATTCAATGTAAGGGCATGGCCCCCCCGCTCCCAGTAAGCCATGTCATCATACCAGCCTCCCTCCTCCCCCATGTCTTTGACACCACGCAAGCCAGATACCTGTGATCCAGAATTGCTCGTAATAGGACAGCTCCGGTTACAAATCCCATAAACGGGCGTATATATACCTTCTCATCACTCTGCTGTACAGAAACTCTACATTGCATGGATATCTGACTTCGTTCCCTTCCAAGCAGGCATTGGTAGCACAGTTTTATGAGAATGCTGCATGAAGCCAGGCTTACACTCCAGACTTCTTACGAAGACTGCCACCTGGACCAGAGTCCCTAAACACTTCTCTGTCTGAACCAGCGAACTTGTCGTTGCACGACAATGTGCGAGAAATGAAGCCTTCTGTGGCCGTGGGGGCTAAATGCCGGGAACGGCCCTGGAGTTATGAATTTCACAAGTTTCGAAGTGTCGACCTCAGTCGGATTGAAGGCAGAAGCTTTCCCGGGAGGTTTTCAGGATGGTCTTCTTCAATCTGCAACCTTCTGCTTCACAGCTTTGTCTTCAACACTCCCACCTCAAACCCCCCCCCCCCGAGCCGGTCTTGGACGCACAGGATAGGTGTGTGAAGGAAATATAAATTCCATGCTAGGGTTCGAGGGGTGCCATGGTCGGATGGTACTTTCCAAGCGAAAGTGATGATGCTCGTGTGTTTTGCCTCCTGTCTTTGCGCAGGACACCTCAAGCCAAGCAGGTATAGACTGCCGAAGGCAGCGTGCCAGTCGGTTGGTGTTGCATGTGGGCCGTCCTGCTAGACAGGCTTCCAGGAGCCAAGCTTGAGTTTCAGCTCGCCGAAGCCGTCGCGGGCCAAGCTATCCTCTTGCATGTTCCCCGATGCTCTAATTTTTCGGAGCTTTGACTGCAACGTTAGGCCGTCAGCCTTCTCCCTGAGGACTACTCCAGGCCTTTTCTCAGCACAACTGCCGCATCATGGCAAACCATCCTTTGCTGCCTGTGCTTTGGTGTTGCAGGCCGTCCCCATTCAACATGACCATTCCCAATCAAGACAAGTGGAGGTGCATACTCTGGCTGTGCTGTAAGGGAGGGCATAGCCCTGACAGCCTTGAGACGTTGCGGTACTTCGCAAAGCAGGGTAGCCAGGGGAGCCAGCACTTGATGAGGTTATTCTGTCGCTCGCTGCTCTTGCCCGTCGACATGGCAGCTCCTTTGGGCCCGAAGGCATCCCGAGCGCACCACGAGCCTTGGTACGGCATGTCACCCACAGTGCTGAGGTCTTCATCTGGGGCGAGCCCATGTTGCGAAGGCAGCTTGCCGATCAAAGGAGTGATTCGCCCTCTTGCCGTTGTGTCAGGTACTACACGGTTTATGATTTGGCCAACAAGCGCATTGGCTTTGCCCTGGCCAGACAACCTAGTGGCAAGGCATCACCGAACTCATGTCATGTTTCAGCATGCCAAAACGATCCAAAGGGCATTTTTTTGCAGGCGTCCTCGCCTCCCAGTGTCGGCGCGCCTCCGGCAGGTTCGCTGGTGTCAGGACCGAACTATGGAACCCTTGCAAGGAACTGTTAACGCACAGAAACGGAAAAGTTCCTGTCTGCTGAGATGTCCCACCCGAGCAGTGTCTTTGACGGTGCCTGCTGAAATTTCGATCGTGACCGCAGTGCAGAATGCTGTTGTGAACCACAGCATACCTCGTCCGTCGCAGTCAGGAGCACCATTGCCTCGAGCCAAGACATTAGGTATTCAGTCGTGGTTGAGAAGTTCAGCAGCCTCTGGCTATAGTAGGCCTTATGGCGTTTGCCCCTTTGTGATCAATCTTCTTGAACACGGGCAGCAGGCTGAATGCGAACTAGTAGCACTACTAAGGTCACCGCCTGTAGAGGCCGGCTGATCAGCCATACTGCGCGCATGCTGCATCTTCAGTTCTCGCCATTGCAGGTGGTGGGATGACATGCTGGTTTTTTCCTGAGGCGACAGACATGTCCGCAGTGACGTTCATACTCAGAAGAACAAGCACACATTTGAGCAGGTAGCAGGCTCATTCGCGCATTGCATGCATAAGAAGCACATCCTCCAAGAGCGATGCGCGAAGTAGCGCTTTCTCTGACTGGAGCAAGCTAAGCGGCAGCGGAGCGGGTGCCTGCATCAGGATATGTTGGGAAGTGGGCTCGTGTGGTGAGTTAAGGAGTGTCGACGCCAGCGTCGGCTCAAGAACTTTGGGCCAGATAGACGAAGTCAGACTGCATGAGCCGACCAGCATCAAGACTTGAGTTGATCCACCCCCCCCCCCTCGCCACCCACCCAGCATGTTCTACCCACGCCACGCGAACTCGTCCGTAGCCACCAGCAAGATTCCTGATCTATTGGATCGCTGGACATTCGTTTATTGAAACATGTACATGTACATATTTTCACTCAAGGCACCATGACATGACGATCATGCATTGACATCGCCTCGTGCCATGCGAACTGTAACGCGACTAGCAACCGCGCACGCCAAGCATGTCGCTCGGTGCATCCTTGCTGTACTGGCTTTGCATCACACGCACGAACTAGTAGCACTGGACCCATTGCTTCCGACAGCTCAGGAACATGCTGCTTGGGACTGTAGCTCAGTCCTAAGAAGACTGGCAATCTTCGTACGGCACTTCCAACGTCACCTGAACGAAAAGGACCTTCAGGGAACCAGCGTCATTTTTTTTTGCACACTGTTTCCTGTCCGTGCACTGCCCTGATCCAGGATGTGCATGAGGACTGTATCCTGGCACTGCATAGCCTCCTCAAAGTTCCGGCTGTGGCGCTCATGCTGCCCATGCCGCTCTCTGACGCTTCGCAGAGGGCGCTTCGTGACATCGAGCAAGCAGGCGTCATGCGGAACTGCCCAGTAGCAAGCTCCTGCAATGCTTGCTTCGGCACGATGTTCACCAGGTGCCGAAATTGCCGTCGTGGCTGAGACGAGTTTCTGGGACAGCCCGAGGATGCTCTATATCTTGAAAGCGGCACAGGTCCGCCTCACCTGAGATGTCACTCCAGGTTTTGGCGTTTGCGCGAGCCCCTTGAAGGTCACAACTCAAAGTCCAGTTCTGCAGCTGCAAAATATCCTTGAGGCCGCGTGGCGTCGTCCCTTTCTCTTTTCGAATGTGGTTGAGCATTGCGCATGTCGCATCGCAGGTGGCTACTCAAGCAACGCTGCCTGTAAAGCCGGCTGACGGGCCGTGGCTGTGGGGTTTGCACGAGCCAGCTACTTCGCTGAACGAAGCCTTTGACAAAATCCTTTCACCTCACCCTGCTCAGACTTTTTCTTGCTGTTGGCATTCCTTGTCTCCTCAAGGATGTCTCAGCAGCGCTGCTCATCTGCGAGGCCGGGATGAAAGGATGACATGGGCAGCCTAGGTATCACAGTGGTATACAGTAGCATTGAGAAGAGCAGGCGGTTGCATGTGTGTTGGCACAGCTTTTGGCGCATCCTTTGGAAAACGCCCTTGACAAAACCTGGGTGAAGCTTTCGACAAGGCCCTGGACGACACAGAATCGCTCCTGGCTTGCATGCTGATGCTTTTGTGAGTTTGTGAGTTTGTGATGTGGCATTGTTTTGCTGCATGCGTAGTTCTTTTGGGAATCTAGCCGCTAGTAAATTTTGCTTTGACGAGCTGCAGCTGCAGATGCATGCCCTTGCACGGAGTCTCGATGAGTAGGGAGACTGCCTTCATATGAGAGACAGGGAACTATGACTTTGTCTTCGAACTGCGCCGAAAGTCCGAAACCAGAGCACTAGAAAATTGAAAGAGCTCAGGGGTGACTCGCACCTTTTCGGGTTGCCGTTCGAGTCCCCTGCCCCGACTTCTGGCCTCAGTACGGAGCAGACTGACACGGAGAAATGTTTGTTGTGATACAGTGCAACAGCAGGTGCTTCTCACAGTGCCGGTTAACTCGATGTGCAGTGAAGCATGCCCTTGCAGCGTAGTGAACATGTCACGTCGATTTCTCAAGCAGCCCTTCATCACGATACCTTCCGCAAGAGCGCTGCCATCAACAGTTGTTCTCTCATTTCTAGCAAGTTACCCGGTGTTCTCTCAGCTAAGTTGCTTCTGGCGCACCCTGCGCAACGTGCGTATCCTGACGCCCCTCTGCTTGGAAGAGCAGCTGCGACATGTCAGGGATCAGTATGCCCCGTGCAAATCCTACATCCTGGCTTGGATGAATCTGTACGCACAGGGCATGTGGCCCTTGCTGTTGTTTTTTGTACCTTTCGCGCTCATCTTCGAAGAGAAGCCGGAGCAGCTGGGTGCATCCAGCTGGGAGTTCTACACGCTCCAGGCTGCATTTCCCGAAACCAGAGGCATTCCTGTTTTCAGATGTGTTTTTTTTGTAGGTTTTTTCAACGAATGAGGAATCATCACGCAAGCATTCAGGCTTGGTTTGCAACTGTCATGCAATGGCTTTTGCACCTTGCTCAGCTATGCTCAGCTCGGCGAGGCGGTTGTCGTCTGCTGGGCCGTTGTCATCATCGGTCGCAGCCGGAATCGCGCTCAGTTCCTCGAGACCTATGTGCCTGGAGAGGCCACAGGTTCGTTGAATGCGAGCAAGATCGCCGCTTCGCCGCTTTGCAAAATCGACTCGTTGGCTGTCTTAACCAGTAACCAGACGCCCCCCCCCCCCCCCTACTAGTAGCATTAAGACCCCCCCCGAAACCCCCAAAGTGTTTTTAGTACTAAGGGGGGTTCTTCTCGCGACTGTCCGAACAAACAGCCCGTCCTTCTTGTAGCTTGCTGGGAGACCCTAAGCCAAGGACTGAGACGAACTTGAATCTTGAGGGTTCAGGTTTCTGCTTCAGGGCTTCCGACCCCCCCCCCTAACCCCCCGTAGTTCGGGAGAAGGTTTAATAGGGGCGGGTACACAATCTGGGGTGGAACTCTACAGCAAACTCCGAAAAGTTGGAACATCTTAATCCCCATTCCTCAAAGGTATACCGAAGGGAATCCCAGCTCTAATCTTCCGGAAACCATGTTCCAACTTGCATTCTTGCAGAGGTGTGGTGGAGGTTGGGTGCTAGTGTCTGCGATGTAGACTGCTGCACAAATGTTGAAGCTGCGCCAAGGAACAAGCACATTTTGAAGGAGATCATGTCGCAGACAGGATCAGGCGATGCTTTTTCCAGCGCACCCAATTTGAGCCTGGTGTTGCAAATAGCAGGTTACAGCACTTTGCAAGTGGCATGTTGTAAGTCGAGGGCGAAACGTATATGGTCGCAACAGCGCAGCACGTCAGCACATCTGTGCTCGAGCGGCAAGACAAACGAACCATCAAAGACCGAGATCGTTTGCACAGGGAGCGTTTTTTGACCTGGAGCAGCCAGATATCAAAAGCATACACGAGAGAGAAAGCCATAGCATTGTTACGCCTGGCGTGGGCATCGAGCTTGGCCTTAGTTTCAGGCCTGCCATATCCTCTCATTGTGGCGGTATGAGAGGTGGGATGTCAATAGCAACATGTCAAACCAGAATACCATGGATTTCCACGGGCCACAATCTCGATCATCGCCAAATCGGAAGCCATGGTTCCCCAGCCCAGAACTTGCCAACTTTCAGACACAAACCCTCTTGCAGCCTATCATGTCCTATCACGATTCAGAACTGCGAGTTCCGCATTTCACTAGCTGGGCGATGGTTTCCTGCATCTCGGGCCTGGCCTCCTGCCTCCATGAGTCCCGAATCCGTACGGAATGAGACCCTGCTTCAAAATCACGTCCACTGGCCGCAAGACCAGTTCGTTCATGCTGCCGCCGAATTGTCTTTCGATCTCGGAATCGCGGAAGCAAGGCGGAAGACGCAGGAAGGTCTCCGGGTTCAAGTTGCAGAAAAAGCGACGCCGTTAGGGAGTCGATGGGAGGCTTCGGCATCGCCTCACCGGCGAACGACCACGAGCACTCAGCAGTTTTTTGTGCAAGAAAGCGTGAGAATTGAGAATTGCAATTCAGTACTGAGGACCCAAAATCCGGACTATCAGGCAGCGGCCCATCCCAAGCTTTGGGTAGCTTGGTGCATCATTCGGTCAGGCGAGGAGGATTGCAGAGTCGTGCTGACGTCAGACGAGCTTTCCTAATTGGAGCAGGGGTCTTGGGTGATTATCATATTATAAGAAAATGCGATCGTCTACTATAAAACTACTGAATAAACAGATAAATAAGTATTGCATATAGATACAGATGGTAAAGTACCTATTCGAAACTTCCCGACAGGCGTGGAAGGCCTCCTGTGCCTCACGCTCGCCGTCCTTTTTCTTCTCCTCACGATGGAGCTGAAGTTCCTCCTGCAGCTTGGCTTCGAAGAATCTTCGCGAGACTTCCAAGATTGGGAAATTGAAATGCACTGAGAGTGCGTGAGACTCAGGATATTTGAGTGGGGTGATTGCTACCAGTTGGGTTGCCATGACCCAGCCAAGAAGCATGGCTTCGCTGGCATACTGTCCATGATTGCATGTGACATCCTCTTGGCATTGCTGATTGCTGTGGCCACGGGCGAGCTTTGCAAAGCATTTGCACGCAGCATTGCCAAGTGCCCTGGCTGAGAATGGTTGTGCGCGTGTACCTGGTGATGGCAGCATGGTATTCTGAAGGTACCGTTGATTCCTAGACGCCGCCAGCTGTTGTTTTCAGGAGCTGGAATTTTCGCAGCATGATCGTCCGGTTATTTGTGGAACACTTCACGGCCATCAGTATCGACATCATTGCTACCATTGGTGTGTTTTCTTTCCTGGCCTTTTCTTTCCTTCCCGAATGGGAAAAGACGCCGGAAACGGAATGGTGGGATTCTGCAAGCTGTACGGACTTCTGGGATTTCCAGGCATCCTGAATCCGAATTTATGTGGCGACAGTTCAGTGGTGCGGGGCATCTATGCGTCGTACCAGCTTTGGTTTATCGTTCAACATAACTATGGCCTAAATGTTGGCCCATTTGGCACCCGAAACTTTAATCTCTTGTAACCCCCCCAAGAAACATGGTGCCTGTCAGCCCGCGGCACGAGAAGGCGGAATGACATCCTCAAAAAGCAATCTGAGGCCTGCCGTGCCATACGAAGCTGCGCTGCTGATGATCCAGTTTGTTGCGCGGGCACCCTGTTCTGTGCACGGTCGAAACTGGACTTTTACAAGCGACGACCTCAGCATCGAGCCTCATAGGAGGTTATTTCTTATCATCGCCATGTCTACCTCTGCTGTTTCTGGCATCCATTTTCGTCAGCAGTATTGGGCCGGAAATATGGAGAGCGCGACCGCTCCAAAGTCACAGTCAAAGCGGGTCATCATGAAGCGGCCGAGTTACTCCACAATAAGAGCTTGTTCCAGAAGGCTTTGGGACATGGGAGGGAATCCCCAAAACAGAGCTAACCTGCGGGCGAGGTTGGTTTTCGGGGGGTAGGGCGAAGCCCTTTTCTCGGCGCCTGCATTTCCAAGAAGCAAGCAACCTGGAGCATCAGACGTATGACACATTGTGACACATTGTGACACACATGGTGTCACGTTGTGCGTGATTCAGGAGCTAACGCGGCCCCCCAAACAGCACACAGAAACCCGGCCCGTCTCAGATCCCTCTCTTCCCCTTGTGAGACCCAAGCAGTTGCCAAGCCCAGGAACATCCCAGAACCGTAGAGTTATCAGGCGATCAGCTCGGTCTGGAAGAGGCATTGTGCCCACCAAGCTCTCGAACTTAGCCAGAGAAGACGTACGAGAGACTCCTCTGCGCTCTTACCCTCTCAAGTTTCTTGTGCCGTCGAGGATGTTGGATAGTCAGCATGCCTGTGTGTGACCTTCAAAGTCCCTGCTTCTGCAGGTGTGTTCCCCCTTGAATCCCGGATCTTGAGCAACCCGCTGCCCCCCCGGCAGTTCCCAAGAACGCTGTTGTCACCTCCACATGGCTATCTCCCCGTTGGGAATTACTTTTTTTGAAATTTTTGTTTATTAAAAACCCCAAGAGGATATTAAAATAGTATTTTTGTTAAGGTTCTAAGGGTAGTGGCGGCTTGGGGTTGCTGGTTCAAGCGCGGGGGGGCGAAGAACTGAGCAGCGGACTTCATGAAAACAGACGAGCCTTAAACTCTTAAACTTAAACCCTAAACCCTAAACCCCAAACCCTAAACCTAAAGCCTAAACCCTAAACCCATCAAAGAAACAGATGAGCCTTAAACTCTGAACCCCCAAACCCACGGTTGCAGGCAAAGCTCGCCTGGGAAGCGCTAGGTTTTGTGAGGCCCTAGCCGAGTCGATAACTTGGCAAATGTATTGACCAGAATCAGCAGTGTGCTTCCCGAGACTGGAGACATGCAGGGAAAACTGGGAGTTTGGGGGCTTGAATGTAAAAAGCAGGACAATTTCACAGCTAGAAAATTGCCCTTTATTCAAAGGGTTCCAGTGATGATTCTATGAGAATATATTCAGTTCCGTCATCGTTTTTAAGTGGAAGGTCCATGCACCGGGAGCGCACCTTCTTGGCTGATTAGGGAGGCACCGAAGTCTACCGAGGAGACGCGACCTCTTCGAAGCTTGGCTGGGCGGACTTTTCATTGTCGCCCCATTTGTGGAGATCCTTATGGAGTTCATTGTGCCTCTGATCGTCGGCTTCTGAGTGCATACTGTTCTTACCACTTCTGCAAGACTTGTTCGGACTTGACATTGCTTTGCGACGCATTGGCCACTGAGGCTTATATGATCCATGTGCAAGTTCAGATCTCGCGCAGAGACTTCAAGGAGGGGGAACGTCGACAGCGGTGTGGATCATGCTGTTGCCATTGCCTTCAAGGACAGCCTTCGCCGCTAGCCTTTCCATGTGTTATTCGCCATCTTTGGTCTGGCAGATGTATCCAGCGTAAATTGGCCAGGACTTGGACGACTTCTCGCTTTCATCTTCCTGTTGGATGGAGGCACATAAGAAAAATGCAACAATACTGGAAGCCTTATGCAGAAGAAGGCAGAAGAGAGGCTGAACAGACGTGAAGCGGCTTCTCTGACCAGGGGTCGTGCTGGCGATGTGTGAAGAATGAAATTAACAGGTTTTTGCTTTCAACCCACCAGACAGCGCATCAAAGTTGCCGCAGGGGGTCGGGCTCGACATCAATCAACCCTCCATACCACTCAGCCTCTCGGGATATCCGAGTTTATATGGGAGGAATGGAAACACACAAGGCTACTCTACGGGCCTCGCTGAAGTCTTTTTTCGAGAAGCAATTTTTGGTTGTCATGACGTGATCCCTTGCTAAGCCCCAGCAATACCGGGTCTGATAGGCCTTGGCTAAGTTGCGTTTCGCCCCGAAGGTGTGCTCGGGTTGCGCTACATCTTCAAAGGGTTTCCCTTCAGCGCGCCGAGAATCATCGACGAGCAGGTGACCTCAAAGGTGCTGCGGCAGTCTGTTTCGGTGAGTCCTGGTGCGTTGATGTGCATTGCACAGTCATGACAGTCCCAATTAGCTCTGTCCTAGGCGTTCGGGCCCCTCTGCCTCGTTTGCAACAGGGAAATGCAATGGACTGATGGAGACGCGAACGATGGCTGGACATGTCGACACCATGATGTTTGCGGGCGTAGCAGTGAGAACAAGGGCGCATACCGTTGGTGACCGGACCGCACTCGACACTCGCGGCTTTGAGGCTAAACAAGCGCGCATGCGAGCAAGCAGCCAAGGCACTGCTACAAATGTGGCATGGACATCTGTGGAGACTGCCATCCGCAAGCGGCCACGGTACTTTACGGCCTTTTCGGGCCTCTGGACCAGCGGCTTCTGCGCGAAATGGATCCTTTGAACGAGCTGAAGTTGGTGAAGATGAACTTTCTGATCTTGGTAATGTCACCTGCCTGGGCCTGGACAAATGTGGAGTGTGTCACATCGGCGGATTCAAAACATTGCGTACTCTGAGGTTTGCGCCAATGAGTCCCCTGGGGCTGATCCCTCAGATGTTTGCGCGGCAGCTGGATTTGCACTCCCGGCTGCCTAAGCTGCTCATGGTGCGACGCCGGAACTTTCCCACGGACAACCGCCTAGCTCATACGAGCCAGAGCATGTTCTGCCTGCTGATACTGCCGCTTGTAGCGCTCTGGCACACAGGCGTGCTCAGAACTGCATCAGACCGTATATCATGCATCCGTGGTGAAGTCTCGAAGTGAAGCCCTTGGACTCCTTTCAGGTTTGAGCCTGGTGTCCAAGAACGTGGACCTGCACAGGCAGCCACAGAATGAGATCCTGCTCGCTTGGCTCGGCGCCGGCTTGGCGGTGGGCCTGCTCGCTTTGCTTGGCCAGTTTCTGGTCTCGTGCCTTTGCCACTCGTCGCTTATGTGAGATGTTCACAGGTATTCAGTGATGTTTGTCAACATTTTGTAAGCTGTCAGAAATTAGTCCCTTGCCCCCACGTACCATCGCTATGCTCGGTCAAGGTGGTGATGCGATGCGGCACAAGGTGTTGGGTTCCCAAGTCTCCCCTGAAGTGGAGATCTTGGGAAAAGAGGGAAGGGCACCCTGATTCACGACAAGGAGCTGTTGATTGTTGATACTGCCTTCTCGCTCGCTAGCTCTCCGTCCTTCTCTCTCTCTCTCTCGCTCGCTCTCTTTCCCTCACCGCTCGCTCTGACTCTCTATCTGCCTCTTTTCCCTTCCCGTCTTTCACTTGCTCCGGCTCCTCTCTCTCTCTCTCTCCCTTACAGTCTCGCGGTCGACACAGAGATCGCAAAATGCACATCACCAATCACCAGACACGGCAAGCCCAGCATGCAGAGCTTAAAAGCATGGATTTGGATGACAGCAGATGACAACAGAAGAGGTCCAGCTAGTGCTCTCAGGTGTTGCTGCTCCCCCTCCCCTCCTCCCCCCTTCCCTCCTCCCCCCTTCCCGCCTCACCTCCCCCCCTTCCCGCCTTCCCCCTGATCCCCTCCCCCCCCCCTTCACCCCGCCTTCCCCCGCCTTCCCCCCCCCCCCCCCCCCCCCCCGGCTGAAAAACAGAGCCTTCATTTGGTTTGGTTGAATATGCAAAGGAAAATCTCAATTCCCAAGATTTGAATCTCAAAACCTGTGTTTTTTCCTATTTTCCTTGATTGGGGACCTTTATTTCCTCGGAAGCAAAAAAGCGGAGGGGGGGGACCAACGAGTAGTCTTTTGCCGCAGTCTCGCTTCAGGCGTTGAGAGGGGGCTTTTCTCGAGGGGGCCTTCCGGTGGGAATCTCTGACGCCCACTGCCAGGGCGGAGGCACGAAGTCCACCATGCTCCATCTTGGGGTATCAAACATGTACCAGTCCTAGGTGGAATAACCGAAGCTGCTTTGCCCGCAGGACGCCCTTGCTCTTGTGGAGTACGCTGTGGCCAGGTGACCCAAATTTACGCATTTGAGTCTTCGGTTTTTACTGACAAATTAGGTGTCCGATGACGATAACTTTAATTTAGTATTTTCATTCTGGCAAAGCCAGTCAGCTAACTTTCGAGACTGTGCAAGCGGATGGCCTGCCAGTCTGTTCAGAAACACAACTTTTAAAAACTTCTTTGGCAGCTCAATGCGACACTTGGAACGGCACTTGGCCTCTGTCGACTGGCTGTGTTTCACGTCTAGGCGCAATACAGTTGTGGCTGCCGTGCTTCGGCGCCGCCCATGGCGACCGCAGCCTACAGGCTGTCAGTCTTGCGCAAAAAGTGGCAAAGCGGACGCTTTGAGAAACTACCAGCCACAGTGGGCCGATTCACACCCAATGCTATGTCAATGTGCTCTTGCCGGTATCTTCGGGCTTACTGAGAGTGCCAACACCAGAAGCTGCATGGGTTCCGTTTACAAAGCAGCAGCACTCACGGGACGAGCTTGGTCAGCTAGGTAGTGGCAGTTGACAAACTCGTTGAATCCATTTGTTGCGCATCATGACTGCAAGTGCCAGCACTGCCAGAGTGAAGCTCCCAGCGGAGCAGGGGCACTTAGTCCTGCAAGCATCGGCTAGCTGCGATGCGTCACTTTTGCATTGTGTCACTGATGGCAGCACCTCCCATGACTGCTCCAGATGTTGATGCTTTGCCTTGTGAGAAATGAACAGAAGTGACTAACATTAAGCTCAAGCGGATTCATGAAGCGAGGCCGAGCAAGTCAAGCAGCACCAATGGCATGCTTTCACAGAGGCAGCGCTTTTCGATGTGCAAGCGGGGACGGCCTGTCTGCGCAGATTCGTAGCCCTAATTTTTTCTTGCTGTTTTCGTCAGGCTGTCACGAGCTGCCTCAGAGGCAGAGTCAACCATGGCTTCTCAGCAAGCAATGGCATACTAGCGCTAGCCTCCGAAGAGTGTAGCAACGTGCCTTGTCTTTTGCTCAGGCCACAACCATCCTGCCTCATTCGATGTCAACAACGCAGTTGTCAGCTCTTCCTGATGCCGTGAGGATCCCAGACAAGGTTCTTACATTGACCAGGCATCTCAGACTGCTGCGACTGGGGAGGTCTCAGAGCAAGAGGCTGAGGACCTGAGGAGCATCGACCCGGCCTCAGCGCTGCTTTCTTACGCATCCACTGGATATTGTTGGTGGAATTCATCTCCAAGCCGCAAAGGTGGCGCAGCTCGAAGCCATGCAGGCACAGCAGCGGTCCCCGCAGCAGGCGCAGCGTTGTCGAACGGTCAATGAGAGCCTGCCGGCCTGTCACTGACTTGTGCGCTGCTGCAGCCCAACCTGAAGCTGGACGGGCTCATCTTGCAGCTGATTGCCACACCCTCGGCAATACTGTAGCGGGCTGCGACCGGAAGGCACGGTGCCACATGCTCTATCGGCTGCCAGTACTTCTGCTCTAGTCTGCTGTGCCAACTTACGAGCTGCTAATGCTAACGCTCCGCACTGTTTGTTGTGAGCTTTCTGGTAGCGAGCTAGGAAAAGGACAATTTCGGCAATCCTATCGGCTGCTGAAGCTGAGCTCGACGCGGGGCATGGTTGACAACATCTCAAAGGGTCCAAAACCATGAGCCCACGTGACTTCAACGAAGAATCACAAACGTCCTCCCTTTGCCTCCAAATCCTGAACCTACCCAACAACTCTACGAACTACCAGTAGAGCCGGAAGCACCCAGCAGCCAAAGTGCGCAACCCTTAATGTTGACTTCGCATTAATAAACCCCCCCCCCCTTCATTGATCAATCTCTCCGGCCAGGGCCTCCTCAATAGTGTTCGCCTAAATCCTGGTAGGACGTACTATTAGTTGTAGTATTAGGAAGTAGCACCACGCCCGTAAAAACCGGATTTCCCGGGTCGGATTTTACAATTGTGGCGGGTTACAATATTGTGTTCCGGGCAGCGGGATTTTACAATTGTAGCGGGCTTTATTAATGTCAAGTCAACATTAGGCCTCTCCCGGGAGACGGCCCAGCATCATTTGTAATACTACCATCGAATCTAATCAACACATAAGCAACATACGGTTGTGCTGAACTCTGAGGTTGGACACCCAGAGCGGCGACATCGCATGGTCCTGCGCTCGGATGTATCTCGAGGTGGGTTCGATGCGACTTTCGTCAGGGCTGTCGCGTGTGGGCAAGGCAGTGATGACAAAATCCGCGCTGCTGCGCAAGAAGATCCTCAGCATTGTCCCACCGGTCGCGGGCTTAGGAACAGTAGAGGGACAGGAGCTCAGTGCCCCAGTGGGCCGAACAGCTTTTGTGGCTTTGTTGATTTCGTTCCTTCTAGGCGGCCCGCTTCGCCTGCGGTCTGATGGTGTGCTGTCTCTGTTCAAGTTTATTCACGGCGGGGTAGAGTACGTAGTCCATAGCACAATGGCGGAAGCCGCAATTGGATCTTCGGCTTGGGAGGGCGGAGCGTGAGTATGGTTATTCCTTTGTGTGTTTGCATATTTCTCTATTCTCTATATATATATATATATCTCTATTTATAAATAATGTATGGGTGTTTCTTTTCTTGGGGAGGGGGGGGTTTGGGGTGGGGGGGGGGTGGTAGGGCAAGCCCGCAGTCCATATTGGCGAACGGCAACTCTCAACTTCGGTCAGAATTTGGACTCTGAGTCCTTGTGAACTAGTAGAGCTCTTGGAGTTCAGTCACCCTGCGTCTAGACTAGATGCTGGAATAGTCTAGACGTTCTCGCAGTCTCAGTGAGCCTTAAACTGTGTTCTCAGCATGTCTGCCTGTGACATACTGGTAGCAACTCCGTCCGTTTTGCTCTGATTCTTCACCTGATTATTTCCCAAAATAGAGGTACCCCGTTTACACCCCAAATAGCATAGAACTCCCTTGAAGGGACTCCCAAAAAAGGGAACCCCTACTCTCGGAAACCCCCGCCTTGGTTTCAACATACAAGATACTGAGGGTGGGCGAGCTGTTGGCGCGGCAGTTCTGGGCTCCACCTATGAATGGCGGGGTTCCAGATTTTGCTGACACTCTGTTGTGTTTGCAGTTGTTTAGCTATTTCTGCTGTTGTGAAGTTTGGAGGCGCCAGCGATCCCTGCCAGATGTATTCTCCGATTGCAACTGGCCAAAGGTCACTGGCTCAGCTGTGGATTTTGCAGGTGTTTCTGCCCCTGTGTAGAGCGCTCAGAGGCATCTCACAATGCTTACGGTATTCATCACTTGCTGGAGCCTTGTTTGTTCGCCACGGCTCCACGCCCGGTTGCGGTTCGATGTATCCAGATCTGCGGCACTTCGGCCGTTTTGTCGGATAGACATGTTGATGACTAGGCCTGGTGGAGGAAGCCATCATGATCGACTTCTCAGAAGTGCCTCGCACAGATGACTTGCTGCATGTTTTCGGACATGCAGTTTCATCACATACAATCCCCGTCTCATGCCTCTCTCAAGATCTGAGCAACAAAGGGCGCACCCACACAGGAAAGTGCTCGTGAGGCTGTTCTGTATTTTTGTGCCTAACTACCTTAAAACTTAACGCGCAGCCGTGACGCGATCGTGACACGCAAGCCCAGGCTTCCCAGAGCATGATCCCTTCACCTCATGAAACCTGCAGGCTTTTCCATTTCAGATTTTTGTTTTCCTGGGCTCAGGCTTCCTACAGCTTCTCAAGCCCCACAAACCGCGCGGCTCGAGCAATCGCACAGCTCCTTTCCAAGTCGTCAAAACTTCAGAAGATTCTAAGGCCGAGGTTTCTCCGGAAATGGCAATTCACTTTAGCATTTTCGTATCTACAACATTGCCCGCCTCAAGCTTTGCAGGGCTGTGTGGCAGCGGAAGTATCATGAAAAGATGGGTTGGGTCGCCTGCGGGGACTCACTTACTGCTCGTAGCAAAGAATAAGCTCTGCAGATTGTTGGCGAGTCAAGATGTGTGTGTGGTGTTTATTGCACATTCCTTCTGGGTTGTCTAACGTGTGTCTCAGATTCTTGTGGCATAGGCCCTGCTGACAAGAGGACGCAGCCCAGCTGCAATTGGTCAATGTTTTCGTAGTTTGGGTCCAACTTAACGAGAGTTGCTGGCCTCTGAGGCATCATCCACTCCTCCCGAGCTCAGAATTTCATTCCTTTCCAAGTCTGAGCCATACATCTTGAAGTCAGACTACTTTCCGTGCTTCGGCGAACGCTCAGGGGCGAAGCGCTTCCCCGGAACACATGGCAATGGTGAGTTGAACCCGGAAGAGGCCTCTTGCATCCTCTTGCGCTATTTGTTGGTTCTTCGGCCGTGTGTTCCTCCTGGCTTGTAGCATGTCCGCACCCCACGCGCGACATGAGCTGTCTAAGCCTTCCTGTGTTGCCTAGACACGCTAGAGTCGTCCCTTGGCAGGTGCAGAAGAGGGCCGTTCCAGGGCGCGTGCATTGACAGCCGCGAGTGGCACATAATTAGACGTGAGTAGAACACATGCAGGCCGGGCACCTACATGAAATCAGTTCCGGGCGGCTCAGCACGCGGCTTGGAGAAGCAGGCCCACAGTCCTTCAAGGGTCCGCGGAAATACCACATGAAGCACCAAGGCCTTCTCGGTAGACGGTGGTGAGACTGCAGAAGCCTCAGATCAGTTTTGCATAGCTTTGCAAGCTCCTCCTGCCACATCAATCGAAACACCAAGGTGATTCTCGGAGCAAACCACACCTATCCCTGGAAGAAGGCCTTAGGTAGACAGACCAATGCTCAGCTGAGTACAGTCGCATGTGAAGGCGGAACACATGTAAGGGAGCTCAATGGAGTTGACTTATGATTCGCTTGCTTGAGAAGTGTGTGTTCTCCGCTTCCAAGGATCAACCCCATTGAGTCCGACGCAACAAACCTTGTGTCTGCTCCGTGTGCTACTCATCTACGCGAGTTCTTGTGAATTCGTGCAGCTCAGAGCACGACGAGTCGAATTCGAATGTCTACTGAGTCAACTATAGTCTCATGTTGCCCCGAGGTGCTACACGTTCGCAAAGACTCGACGCACGGTTTCGGACACCGCCGCGGGACATGGGCTTCAGGTACCAGCAACACACCCACACACGCACACACCTGACGCATCGCAGCAGTGCCGAAGCTTCCAAAAATGTAAAGCAGCTCTTGCTCGCTTGGTTCTCGAGTGATTCAGGTAAACAGGGCTAACACCTTCATTCTGGTGTGCAAATGGATATCGGAAGCTGGTCTCTGTGTGTGTGTGTGTGAGTGACTGTGTCTGTATTTGGGGAGGCAGTTTAGTAGCTTGCCTAAAAGGCCTTGGAAAAAATGCTGATGTGCGGACAGGATGGCGGCCCCGTGAAGACGGACACCGGTTGCTTGTCACCAGGTTCCAATGAGAAGCTGTGGTCGTCTGGTCCTGTCTGTGAGAGAATGCAGCTCGCGAAGGGTTCGTGTACGAGCTCCACTCGACGATGCGTCCACTCTATGGCAATCGCACGCTCGACGGAACCCAGTCCTGTGTCAGGACTGGGGTCTCTTGCGCAGAAGCCCACAAGTTGCGGAGCACCACGCAGCCTCAATTCGCTGCCCGTTTTCATTCTTCATCAGCTCCTCGTTGTGGCTCCCCTTTGTGAGGAGAAAGATTCGCCAGCGGCTGAAGGATGGCCACGTCAAGCAACGCGTGCGCTGCATTCCCATGCCTCTGGAGGCACGCGCACGAAAGTGCGTTTAAGGAAATTGCGATACTGTTGATCCTCTGCACGAATTAGAAAGGGTACTGAGTCGTAGTACTGAGTGCTAGTGCGTGCTAGCCTTTCTTGGCACAGAGGCTTCATATCTTGGCTCGAATCTTCTGTTCAGGCACCAACGGAGCCGGAGTGAGAGTTTCACTGTTTCACCTCGCCATTCCTCTGAACCCGATTCCACCGTTCTGCCGTGTGCCGGCTCATTGCGAAGATGCCCAAACTAGGTCCACGGTTGCAAGTTAGCCATACACATCTTGTCTGGCCGGACACATGCAGTTGCTTGTGCAGCCCCCCTACAAAGGGGTTGCTGTGCAAAGAATAAGAATGTGGTGCAGAATGATGGTAACGGAACAAGCCCAAGCCAGTGCGCACGTAGCAGGACAGTGCTGGTTGCTGACTCCTAAGTTGCTAAAGCACTCAGCAGGCGCGATGTTGCGCGTGTACCTTCTTGGCGACGGGGCTGGAGTGTGGGAGGGAGGTGTTTTCTCACTCTATGGAGAACTGGAAGTCTGATGATGCTCATGATATCTCATGATGCTCATGATGCTCTTCAGGAACCTATACATCAGAATGCCGCTGCTTCATAGGAGCACTGATGGCTTGCAACTGCATGCTTCAGCTGTTGTGAGCACTAGCTGCTGGAGGTTTGGACCGCCGCTGGCCTCAGAATTCAGTCAGTCAGTGACAAACAACATCATTCCAAGCCCTAGGAGGCTAGACGTGCTTGGCAGCCACATAGAGGCCGTGCAAAAGACAGCTCGGAACCAACAAGGGAACAGTTTGTCCACCACTAGGCTTCTTTGATTTTGACCGCAGCCATGCCGGATTCTTCGGAGGCTGCTGGTGAGGCTAAGCCTTAAAGATCTTAAAGCCAAGTGTGCTGTGCTTTGCTACTGGATAATTTGGGAAGTGCCCTGACCAGGAGCAGGGCATGGGCGCACCAGAGCCATTCGGCAATAGGGAAGTGCTGACCTCAGGATGGTCCAGGATAGGCCTAGCCAGGGGAGGCGTCAGCCCCGTCTGAACTTGTGTGGTCACTGCAACCTCTCTGCTCGGCTAGTGAGCTTCGCTCGTCTCAAGCATGGGCTTGCGGCTTTGGGAGCTGCATTGGAAGGAAAGGATCAGGCACTTGGAAGGCTCCCCTGAAGAAAGTAAAGTTATGAGAGTCTAACCAGTGCACTTGCTCAACCATGTTGGTCTTTGCGGGCCTCCCTGCATCACCCGCTTGCTTTCAGAGGCGGCAGACGGCCACGAGCACGCGCCAAAGTCCCCAAACGGGGAAGTGGAGCTGCACAGGTGCCGACGTCGCATTCTTGCTTACTTTGCTTTGCGCTTGGGAAATTTTGGGAAGTCTGGGGTTTTGCAGGTCCTTTTCAGCCATCAACGACGAAGCCGGCACTGCCTGGGGTGGTGGCGTGGAGGAGCGACGGGCAGAGCGGCAAAAGGTTTTCTTGATAGCCCCTGCGCTGGCTGAGCAGTACGGCCAGGGTAAGTCCAGTTAGTGGATCTTTCTCTGTGGTTCCGTGGCCTGTGGCCTGTCAGGGCTTGACCGTCAAGGTGGGCCTTCTCGGAGCGGACCTGGAGAACTTGCGAGAGGAGCACGCTGGGATAAAAGTTGCATGACGTGTGTGCACGTCTGTGTGTGTGTGTGTGTGTGTGTTTGTGTTTGTGTTTGTGTTTGTGTTTTTGTTTTTGTTTGTGTTTGTGGAAGACAATGTGGTGAAACGGGATAGTGGGATCTCCCATTTTACATCCTTCGATCTTCAGGGCTGCCAGCGGCTGGCGGGCGAATCTGAAGAGATTATACAGGCAGGGCTCAACAGGAATGACATGGAATGGCGTTGAGCTGACTCTCGGAACTCCACTTTTGAGGCCATCTTCGAACGTCTGGGAATATTGCATTGTCGCACCAGCCGGATCGAGACTGCACTGGGACTGCCGCAAGAGCCTGAAATTTCACACCGTGCAGACAGTGCAGTGGGTTGCCCGACGCAGGCCTTCTGCAGTAAACATGCTCATCTCAAACAGAAGTTTTGTCCACGAGGCCATGGCAGCCTCCAGAGGAAGGTGACGAGGCAGAAAGGACGGCTGCTCCACACTATGCCGTAACTTCCGAAAGAAACCATCGCCATGATCTGGCGAGGACAGCGCAGACGGATGAGGAAGGTGCTGGCAATGCCACAGGTGCACCCTGAAATCCTCGGGGATACTGCGGGTTTACCCGAAGCTCAGTGAGAGATGCCCCGATCATCAGGTGAGGGATCTCAAAACTGTCCAAGAGGAAACATGAAAGCGGCTTCCGGAAACCTAGCGTAAGGTCCGCCCAAGGGTCCTCGGAAGTTCAGCAGGTTTGGCGTAAGCTCGCGCAAGCTCGCATAAGCTATGCTTCGGGATTGCGGTCGGGCTTGCGATGACTAGCCGGTGTGAATGTGACAGCTTTGATACGCTGCAGGTTTGTTTTTGATCAGCTTCAGGCTCCAGGGTTGTTTCGCAGGAGGCCGGACATAGGGCCTAGGTTCGGGATCTCAGGGGTGAGGATTGTTTTGGCGAGCAATCCAAACATCCAGTCCGGCTTGCCCAAAATCCAGAAGTTCGGGATTTTTTTGTGTCCGGTAATCTGCGTAAGATCCGCGCAATACCGCCCCACACACGTAAGGCCAAAAGAAAACAGACGCGCCGCGCAAGCTACGGAGTTTGCGGAAAGAAGCCACGATGGGTTTGGGAGGGAGGTCAGGTAAGCAGCATCGGTGAATGCTGGCTGCTACCAGGGCCAGCAGTTCCGCGCTGCCTGCGAGGGCATGCGCTGGAGCGAGGGTCCCAGCACTCACATTTTGCAGCAGATGATGCAGCATAGCCTAGCACGTGCCGAGCAGCTGCAATTCACTGCGTTAAAGTTCTCAACCTACGCACCCCTCACCAAAATAGGTGCACCTGCGGTGCCTATAGTGAATCAGTAAGTGCATCCACCAAGCAAGGCCAGACGAGGAAGGCACAGAAGGCCCGCCAAAACAGTGCGGCTTCTGCAAGAACCGGAGGCGCAGCACAGCAGGAGTTGCCTCAATTCATCTCAGTTTGTTGGCTCTTTACTATCTTTTGGTTGTTTGTGCCACTCCTACCGGTGGCTGATGTAACTAGACAGTTGCGAGACAAGGCCAAAACTCAGACACCAGGAATCAGGGATAAAACTGGACAGCTCGCTAGTGGGCTCAGAAGCTTGTTCGGGTCAGCTTACGACAGCTTTAGGGTCGAGTTACTTGTGAGTTTCGTCATGACACCGGGACTGCCAGGCAAACACCGTTTCGATGCAGCGAGGGCTGCTACTTCCATGCCTGCCAGGATGTGGTCTCAGCGGTTGCACTGGCGCGCATGATGTGCCGATGTCTGTAAAAACTACTTGTCCTGAAAACGGACCCTCCTAAATGTTCACAAGCTGCTGCATCAGGAGTGCGTGTTTGGCCAGCCAGACGAACGTGAAGGCCAGCTACCCCAAGCGGCAGTGGAATCTGTCTTTCAAAGGGACAGCGCTTGAGAGGAACATGCTGTGTGAAGTGCCGTGTTGGAACGAGGATGCTGTGCCCTGCAGCGCAACCCCCTACCCCAGTGCGGACTGAACACCGATTTTCTGCTTCGGGGGCTCTCTCCTGTGTGGTCTTTGTCTGTCCTGTCCCTGCTGCTCATTGGCGTGGTGGGGCTGTTCTCTCCCTCTTGGTGCAAGGTGATGGTGAAGGCGGAGATGGGCAGCCAGAGGCTACAGGGGAGGCCAAGGAGGCCGAAGACATTGCAATGACTCGTGATGTGCTGTGTACGACTACGTGAAGTTGTCTGAGGACAGGTCTGACACTCCGACGAAAGCTCCTGAAGAAGGCCTGGCTTGTAGAAAGAAAAACGCTCAGAGCCGAGCAGAGGTGTTTGCAGCTCTAAAGACTCTAACGCTTCCAACACCTTCCGAGCCTTGTACAAGTTTTCAGCACTAATCGCTTGTGTGCACGCAGAGGCACTTCCAGGTCACCGCGCGGAGCTGGGATGTTTTTGTGTGTGAGAGATACATCTAGTGATGCTTAAGTGGTCTGGATTACTTTGGGAAGTCCGTTCGGACGACGGATCTTTCTAGAGCCCAGGTCGAATACCTCAGACGAGTCAACCCGGTGTGCAACGACCCTAGAACTCGGAGGTCCAAATAGAATCATGCTCCATGCCAGCAGTTCAAGCAGTCATGCTCCCAAGGAGAAAGGTGACGACGTTTGCTCTCGTCCTTTGCCTCAAAGCCGGCACGCCACCAAGACAAGCAAATCAGAATGCCCATCGCTGCTGCTGAAAAATTACTGGTGCACAGCTATATGCATTGCCAGGGAATGCAGCCATCCTAGCTGTAAATGTCCACATGGACATCATGCACCTCAGTCATCATAGCATCAAAATTGGACAAAATAAGTAAAGAAAGGTTCTTGCCATACTTACGCCATATGATGGTGCCGCATGGATGGCTTCATCGTGCCAGCTTCCTGTCGGCTTGCATGTGTTGGCCGAATCAGGCCACAGACGCCGTCAACAATGATGCAGGAGGACAGCATGTCGCTTATGCATGTGTGTTCTTGAACGGATGTGATCGCAAAGCCTCCGAATGCGGTCTGGCTGCATGTGAGATGTGCTTAAGTGCTTAGGTGGCTAAGGGTGGGGCACCGCATGTCATGGGTCGCAAATTTCAAGGGGAGGGTCTGTTACCAGCATCTAAGGGCTTCACCATCCACAAACGAGGAAACATCAGACGCGGTGCAGCCTTACCATGCCTTACTCACTTAGATGGAAGCACCACCACCGCTCTTTGCAGGACTCTACTGATGCTCGCCTAGAAGCCTTGGGCTGAAGTCAGCATGCCACAACGTGTGATGAATTTGAAACTTCTGGCTTCGTCCTCTGTAGAACCCTGTAGGTCCGTGTAAGGATGTATCAAAAGCGCCTGACGCGAAGGTGGATAGTTTCGGTTCCGATGGTACATCGCCAGAAGTGAGCGACCTGCAGGCCTCCCACATGTCAACTTTTGCTGCCTTGCTCGCGCGTGAGAGAGGGAGGGAGAAGGCTCTCATCTCGAGTGCCAGTTCAAAGGATTTGGCAGCTAACGGATTGCACAATTGGTCAAATCAGATATATGACATATTCGGCAGACCTTCAAGCAACTTGCAGGCGCTGTTCGTGTTTTTTTCGAACGGACCTGCCCTTACTTGCAAGGAGGAGGCTGCGAAGCCTCCAAGGCCTCCGAAAGAGTCAACCAGTGGGCTGAAGGTGCCCCCTGGCTGTCGAAGTGCACACTTCACACAAGAAGATGCTGCGAACTTGTGAGCAGAAGAGTTTGAATGTGAATGGTTGGAGGCGCGGCTCTCCGCTCTGGAGGTGCCCTGGCACCTTGAACGCGCAGTGGGCTGGCTGTGCTACGCTAGTCTACGCTACCTTGATCCCAGGCAGAGGTGCGAGAGCTCAATGTAGCCGGGGTCTCGGCTTGTGGCGCAAAAATGGCAGTGATAGGCAGCGATGCGCTTGTGATCGCTTATGAGTATAAGGCCACTGAAAGTGCAGTCGCCAAAGAAGCAGCTGCAAGAGCGCAGGTGCAAGTCCGCGAAATCCAAACACCACTATCCACCACTTTGTCTGGTGCCAGTATGTACATGTATGTGCCACAGCGTGACTTCTGATTGGCGGGCTGAAATCTGCAGATTCTGCGGTTGCATATCGGTTTCCAGGAGGCCGCAGAAGCGTGTTGCACTGCGCTGCATGAGGACTGCTGCATTTGTTTGGGAGTCGCGTTGTGCTCTGCATGTCGCGGCTGTGAGGACGTGTCGAGGCTGTTTGCGGCCTTCGAAGTCGAAGTGAAGGCCGGTTGCTGTAGGAAAACCCACGCAGTCATGCGCAGTCGGGGCGAGTGCATGGCTCAGAAGTTGCACACAGGAGTCCATACAGCATCTTCAGGGTCAGGCCGGTCTTGCAAAGGAGAGAAGGAACCCAATCCACTGGTGCATAAGAGCGGAAAGCGCCAGGGTTCTGGCGAAGTACCAGACGCGATGGGTGCTTTGGCATGCGCATATCGCTATGACGTGGTTCACGATAGTCTTCTTCCGTAAGCTATCGACTCGGAGACTAACTTCGTAAGGTGCCCGCGAGGAAGTGCAGAAAGATCTTGCTGAGTTCGCGGAGGCAGAATTCACACCGCATTCACTCCATACCTGAGCAGTGAACTCAATAAGTCTCTTGCATTCTCTTGCAATGCAGCCTTTCAGGCAATGCAGCAGAGCCTTGTAAGTACAACCGGATCCTTGCGGGATCTGATCCTGGAAACGCAGGCGAACGTTGAGCTGCAGTGCTACAAGAGCGCCCTTCATGGCATGTTACTGGCGCTTCAGGTAGAGACCGAAGAGCGGCTGATGGAGAAGGCGTCTTGCAGCTGCAGCTCACTCATTCCTTCCTACATCAAGTTGTGGCCAAAGGTCTCCACCCATGGACTGCACCAGACGGTCGAAGGCATTGCAGGGTTAAAAGGGTTAGTGCCATGCTTTAAAGCAAGAGAAATGTGTAGATGCTGTAGCTGCGAGTCCAAGAGCAGTGAGAGCGTCTCCAGGGCTTCACCTGCGCCTTGAAGCGCTCGAATCTGACCTTCCACGTGGGCGGGCCGGGTCTTCGGGCGTGCGCGGGATCACACGGGGATCTCGCGAAAGTTTTGTGCTGTGCCAATCATTTTTATGACTGGCTTTCAGCTGTTCTTGCGTCAGTCTCAGGTTCGAGCCTCCAAGGGTCCCGGTGGTGGACGGAGTGCGCGCAGCCGAGCATACAGTGGCCACAAATGCTGCGCATAGTGTGGGCATAGGATATCAGAATCACAACCTATCATCTGTACTGTCTGAGCAACAAGCGGTGAAAAAACAAGCGGTCAACCGGCATGCGGAACATGAAGCCTGGCGGGTAACTGCCGACAAGTAAGCAGGAGGCTGCTTCACGCGCAGTTTGCTGGCTGGGTTTCCAAGATTCGTCCAAACACAACATAGTACGTACTGTGGGGCCAGAATGCACCTCGGAACTACCTATTCGAGCTACTGTGGCCACCGAGAATGGCACTGCCCTCGTGCCTAGCTTCGTAGTCTATTGCAGTTGTTTGGGCTGGGGAAAGTTCTTCTGGTTCCGTTTGTCAGGGGTTTCAACAAACTAAGCGGTCGACTGCCTAACGAACATTCCGCAGCAGCAAGGAACGGTTTCAAACGTCTGTGCATTTCTATCAAGGGCTCGCTGAGGCAGGAAGCCACTCAGTTGATTGAGCCCCTAAGGCCCCAGATGCGGAATCTGGGAACGCCATCCAGGGCTTAGCTTGATTCCCAGCTTTTGCCTTTTCGACTTTTTCGACTGGGTGCTTGGCATTCGGAAACTGCTCGTGCTTGTGCCCCAGGCCTGCAGCCTTTCGGCCCTTCTCAGGTCGCTGGGGCTCACGAAAGCAGGCGCGCAACGAGCCAACGAGCGAGGTGAAGATGCGCAGCTCTCGTAGCTATCGTAGCTGTTTTGGGTGGATGTCCAGGCGAGCAAGTTGGCCTCGACTGGAGCTGGGAAGAGGCCCGCTGGCCAAGGTATCCCCCACTGCCATGAAGGGTGCTTTCAGCCGATCTTGCGCAGTGATCCACAAGATTATCACAGAAGAGCTCAACCCCTGATTGTCTCGCTCTCTATCTCTCTCGCTCTCTCTCTCTCTCTCGCTCTCTTTCTCGTTCTCTCTGGCTAGGAGAGCTTCCCCAAACCCGCCCAAAACATCCCAACCCTCAAGGGAGGCTCCCAGACATTGGGCCTCGTCTGAGAAGTTGGTGGAAACATTGGGTTTAGAGCCCAGTAGGCAGCTTCCCTTCCTCAGGCTGGGCCACGCATCGAGGAGGCATGGGCATTGAAGGCGCGCGAGGCGCGCGCCTTCCCTTCGCACACGGCAAGTTGCATAAAGTGCTTTGAGGAGAGAGCGTTTACGGTTGGCTGGATTTCCGTGCGCCCTTCCCCGCCCACCCCCACCGCAAACCGATTGTCAGCAAAGTGGACTCGCCCACAAGTGCTTGAAAGGCACAAAGCACGCAGCGGACAATCGGTGCGGATGCTGTAGCATCCCTCAGCTAGTGTAGTATACAGATGTAGAATGATGCATACAGTGTCCTTTTAAAGGTGCGGCACGCTCCAGTAGCTTAAGTGGCCAGCGCTGTGGTGTTGGAAATCCCCGACGATTGTGTTTTCAGATTGAGACGGAGTTTTCTGCACAAGAAAGTGTGTACATGTCTTATGGCGATATTCTGCGGTGCTTGGTTCGAGGTGTGGCATCTCGGCCTGCCACCGAAGCCTGACCTTTTCGACTTCCTTCAGAGCCAGGTGCTCCTTCAAGGGTCTCATCGTGAAAGGAGATCTGGAGAAGTCGGCTCGCGAAAGGCTCGTGCTACACCGTCAACCACTACTTCTCCGGCACCCAGGCTGCCTGACCGGCGAGAGGCGCAAGTACCAACTGTCAGGATCGGTCAGATTCAGTGACCTTTGAGCCTTTGAGTTTGCGTTGCGCTTGCCGGGTATGTGTCGGAGCTGCCAGGCTGCAAGGCTTGCCAACCGACTGGTGTGCTGCCCTCGAATGCCTCGAGAATCCCAAGAGAGAGGGCAAAGGGTGGCATAGGCTATACACAACTTCAAACTCAGATCCTCTCCGGGCTCATCTTGCTGCGGTACTCTCTCGCCTTGAACTAAGCGCTTGCTGGTCTGTAGGTTGGAAGCAGTGCCATTCGCTGCTGTTATCTGCTGCTCCTCAGATTGCTTTTGTCAAGGTACAGTCCTCAGAGCAGCACAGGCACCGAAGCCGGGGACACAGGGTGCATTTTGTGCATTCGGTGCGCAGCAGTGAGGGAACAGGGATGAGAGAGAGCCGCGGGAAGCAGGAGGGTCAAGGCGCATGAATCTCACCACGTATACTTATGCAACAAAGCTCAACAGCCATAGTTGACATGGATTCCTTCCCTGGAAGCGGGGGGCCGGGGGGTGGTGTCTCAAGACAATTGGAAACGAAACTTGTTTATGATCACTCCGGGGCAATATTAGTTCAGGAATCGCGCCTGGTTGTTGATGTTGGCCATCACGAATCTGCCCCCATCTTGCTTGGCTCTTTGAAGCGGCTTGTGAAGCTGAGGCCAGAGCTGACATGGAATCGGAGGCATCTCCACTCCAAAGGCCGAGTGGCAGTTGACATTCGGGGCAGAGTGGTCGCGTCAACGAGGGGGGAGGGAGGAAGTAGGGCCATTGGCCACAGGGTTGACAAGGGAAGGAAGCAGGATGGCTTCGCTTCTTTTGAGGAGCGGCTCTTCCGGCCTCGTGGGCAGCCTTGGGCCGGGGCCCGCAGTGCAGCCGCGGCCGGCGTGCCCGGCGCGCGGCCGAGCCTCCCGAGGCCGGGATGGACATCGTGTTGAAACGAGCTCGCACAGGCTCAAACACGAACAAACCGACTTGGAAGGTTAGATTCTGGTTGCAATCGAACTTGAACCTGTCATTGGGCTGAACAGAAGAAGCTGCAAACATGCGAACAGCATCGCGACCAGTCGAAGGCACAAACACTGCAGAACTCGCACCTGGAATGGTCTGAACTGTCGCCTAGACTCGACATGTTTGGGATTGATTGTCAGCTGGAAGGTGCAGATATGGTCCAAGGCTCAGGATGTTTCCACCTGAGGGCACATGCCACGAAAGACAAAGACTCGAGATACTTGAGGCCTGGGCAGATCGTGGGGATGCGACCGCCCACACAGAAAGCAGGCGGAGCCCATCACCCAGAGTGCTTCATGGTTTGTTGTCAGTTTCTCTGCTTACCATTCGCGACCATGCTCGCGATGCAATAGTCTCGCTGCCTGGCAACGTGAGCCAACAATTGTCCGAACTGCGGCTGGCCTCATGGCTCAAGTGCCCTCAGAGTCGCCGTCCTCGCCTCTTTGCGCCTCAAGCCATGCCGTTTTCTTTCCCAGATGATTACGGCTATGTGGTGCTTGCGCACTGCATGCCTTGGATCTCAGCATGCAAGGGTACCGGGGATGTGCATGGCTCTAAACTACCCAAATTCTTCAAAATGCGTTTTCAGAAGCTCACGCCTGAGGTCCTGGATCTCCAACATGTACCTGACGATCAACGTGGCGAAGATCTCAGATTCAGACCTGAGACACGGCATGGAAGCAGTGCGTTTAGCACAGCGTCAGCAGCACCGTGTTTCGAGAAAAGCACTTAACAGGTGAAGGCCCGAAAGAAGTACGGAGTCAAGTACCCAGCCCTCTACGTGTCTTGGCATGTCTTGGCTAAATTTGCCAGTGAAGTGAAGTGAAGTCACGCCTGCTCGAACAAAGCCAAGGCACCTGACAGCCACCCAAACGCTGAGAGTTTCAACAGCGTGCAGCTGCATGACTGCACATCTGCACACCGTTGCGCGAGCAACACCTGAGCTGACCTCCTCGTTGAATGCCAAAGAGGCGAGCTCATCAGAACACGCTCGAAAATTGGGCACCGGTACAAATCTTGATGGCCTCTGGCTCAGAAGCACGGGGCGCGGACAAAGTGCATCGAGATATATCGCCATCTCAGTAGATCTCAGTAGATCTCATGATCCTGGCGAAGCTGAGGCCTTCAACGGCCTTGCGCATCCTAAGTTTGCAGCTTCTTGCGGCATGATCTGGGCATTCGGCCGCATCGTTTACGGCGCGCGCCCCAAGAAATCGTGACCAGCGGCCCAAAGCATCTGCAGAAGCTGGAGACTACAACGTCCGAGGCTACGGCTATGCCAAGGGCGGACCAGAAGGACGCATGGTGGGAGGAATGCACCCCGACAGAACTACGTGTGTGGTTGGACGCCTCGCCGACTCGCTGGCCTCCATACTCAGGCTATCTCACCTTGGTGACCTCCCTCTCTTGATTGGTGGCTTTGTGCAGCTCGCCTCAGATATATAAATAAGTAAATATGAGTAAATAAATAAAGCAATAAATAAATAAATATATATATATATATATGTACACGCTTCTGAGTTGCAAGCAAAAAGCCGCTCAGCATCGTTTGGTTCCCGTGGCAAGGACCGCGTATGGGATGATCACTTCCCAGGGCGCATCATGAGGTGGGAGCGACACGCGCCGCAGATCTGTGTGCAACCCCTGTACAGGTGGATAGTCGTCACATGAGTTACAGACAAAACCGATCAGCCTACAGCTGCGCGGAGCGCATTGATTCACGGCAGTGGTGGAAAGAGGGCTCGCAGCCAGCTCGTGCTGGAGGGGATGTGGCTGTGCAGCTTCTTTTTGATGTATGCACGTGCAGTCCGCATGAACAGCCTCCAAACCACAAGATCATGAGAGTCAGTAGACTTTCTGCTGAGCATCCCGTCTCCGAGGCCACCCGATCCGTGCCACTTCCGCTGGTGTGCCCTGACAGAAGGGTGGATCCTGGCCCTGGTATGGGGAACAGCCCAGACAGCCTGCCCCAAGTCCTCAGGGTGCTCACATACTGACCATTATTATAATCATGTGTTTGCTTTATTATAGCATTTTTGGCTTGGGCCTTCCTCGCCACTGAGGCGCCCCAGCGGTTCGGCTAGATCATGAGCGGTCGATGCATGTCGACGCCTCGACTCTCGACAGGGTACAAAACTGTACCTGAATCCAAGAAGGAGGATGCCTAAATGACCCCGGAGCCTAACATTGCTTGCCAAGATCTGAGGAAGGTATCTGAGTCTAGTTGCATTCAACCTGACATTCCTACGCAGCGCGTACCTAAGACCTAAGATCCAAGATCCGGTATGTCACTGTCCACCTTCTACTTTCTTCTTCTCCGTTCTACAAACTATATCTAGCTGTTTCGCCGCCGAATCTAAAAGAAGGGTCCTTGAAGGTCCCAGTCGCGGTAGAGACTTCTGCACGGAAGTGTTAGCCAAAGCTGCCATGTGAATACTTCGCGCATCGGCATAAGCATCATGTGACGCCAAACGCTTTACGCCCAAAGAGCAGCTCACTTCACATGGCCAGCTTCCCCAGTGCATGTGAAGTTGCTTGCTTACGTCTCGCAACCAAAGACATCTATCCTGCACTCTCAAGAATCTTCAACACAGCCAGTGATATCTCGCGTTCGTGCTTGCAGCTTGAATTGATTTGGACGCCACACCCCAAACAGGGGCTGTGGTGACCTTTGCCGCCGTTTATTGCCATTCCCACAAAGACGAAGTGTCATCCAGTGCTCGAGGCAGATAAACGCAGGATGTATCACCCATAGACGCTCCAATGGCTTACTTGCCCAATTCGTTCTCCGAGTATCTCTCAAGGCAAAGGGCGCACCCTTGGGACTCCGGCACTGTGGCTTGATCCCCCTCGCACCATGAGTTGCTTGCTTGGTCTTCGGCATAGATTTCGCATTCTACGCGTTCTTGGAGAGTTCGCATGCTGATTGGCTCAAGCAGTGACAGCTGAAAGCTTGTTGATTCGGCCTTCATGAAGAATGAGTCATGACAAATAGTAGCCAGCCAACCATGAGCCTCACACGCATTACCTACATTACCTTGTGCAGCCTAACACCTACGCCCCGACCCTGAACCCTAAACCCCTAAACCCTAAGCCATGCGTGAGTTTGCGATTGCTAAGATGGTGACGCACCTCACGCATGGCGCTTCTCCAAGGACTGCAACCAAAGTCGGTCACCGGAGATATCACAAGTTTCCTGTGGGTTTTACGAAAGTGAGGGACCCCTAATAGAATCCCCAAATAGATAGTAGGATTCCATTGTATTCTGGACCCCAATTAGGGGTCCCCCCCCCCCCCGATTTCGGAGACCACCATGTAGAGATCTTGCTGGTGCAGGATTGTCATGTACACGGTGCCTCTCGGAGGTGCGCAGCCCTGATCACTAAGGTGATTTGGGGGTAGTATAATGAGGCCTATACTAGTTTGGAGTATATTAAGGGAACCCCCCTATGTTTAGAAAGACCCATTTCGGGCTCCGGAGAGTTCAGGATGAGCGTTCTCCTGCAGGTGCTGCTTCTTCGGCAGCGGCTTCCAGGTGGGTTGGTTGGCCCTCCGAGTCGTTCTCCAGCATGACAAGCCAGTGGCAGAGGTGCATCGAAATTGCCTTCCAGCTTTCGGCCGCGAGGATACGCATGGCAGGCAACGGGTGCTGTTTGCAAGTCGCGTGTGGGACATCAATCAAGTAAACATGTGACCAGAGATGTTGAAGACTAGTGCAGCACACTACATCATTGCGTGCACAGTGCGCTTATGCAGGCTCCAAAGGTCAACTGCTATGCCCTTCTCGGTACTCGGCTCAGCAACACCTGCACACCGCCAGCTCTTTCACGCGCAGCGCGCTGGACATCGCTGGACGCTACAGGTGTTCCCGAGACGGCCACTGTAGAGGACATCAGGAAGGCTTACTTGCTGCGTCGGGGGGCCTCGGCGATCTTAGCTTGAGCTCCGCCCAGAGTCCTTTCCTTTGAGGTGCTAAGTCTGCTCATCCGGATGTCGCTGGCTCCAGCCTCTCGCTCAGTTTCCGTTGGACCACTTTGGCATTCCTCAGCTTCTGATGCCGTTGCCATTTGCGCATGCAAAGGGTAGGACAACAAGCAATTCGAACGCAGGCTCGCACAGCATGGTGCAGCTGAATCTGTGTCACGGCCCTACATGCCCATGATGTTCACGTCCAAGTGAAGAGCTCTCGTGTCAAACGGATGGATTTGGGGGAGGGGGAGGGAGTGATATGTCTCGCGAAGTTTTGTTGCAGCTTTTTGGATGACATTCGGGGAAAGCGTGGAAGGCTATGAGGCTCTCACGCAGAAACGGCGCGAGTATGATGCTGCCAAAGGAACAGGCCTGGGTGATGTGATGCTTTGGTTTATTGATTTAGTACAATTTGGGAATTCCTGTGTTCTGGCAGGTCGGAAAGCTTCGACTTCAAGCGCACGTGCTTCCTCCTCCTCTTCCACCACAAACACTCGAGAAGCCTGGTGGCCATTGCCTCGAAGGCGATAAGGCTAATGCCACGGGATGCAAACGATTTGTGCAAACGCCTGATGCTGTATAGTTGGTATGTGAGAAACATTGAGAAATTCAAGGGATCCAGTCGTGGAACTTCCATGGAGTTGGGGCTGCAAGTCATTCGGACCAAGGCGCGCGCAAGGCGGTTTCGATGACTACCAGGATGCTGCACTGTATGCGACCTGTCCCGTGCTGGCGCTCATGTCGACACGAGCAGGACGAGGATGACTTCTATCCGTTCCACTTCCAAGACTTCGCGGAGAAGAAGTGGCGCACGAACCCTACTGGCTCTGATGCTGTAGGTCGCGCTTGAAAGTAATGCGAGAGCACTCTGCGTAACGCGAGGCCCAAGAAGAGACAATGGGAGACGCCGCGGCCCAAGTATGCCGGTCAGGTCAATGAACATGCTGCGAACATGCTTCCGGGATCTTATGGGTTTCACCCCAGGACGGCCTGCCTGGGAAGACTTCGCAAACATGTGGGATGAAGGTGTGGCGTCCCTAGCGTCCAGCTGCGCGTTCCATCAGTCGAACGCCCGGAATGAGTCAGTGCACCTTGAGGACGTAAGGAATATTAGGCACCTGATAATCTGATCCCTTACAGGGTTATGTCGGGGGATATGATATACCGGACCTACAAATGGACTCCTTAGTTCCCAACGGAGTGCTTGAATCGAGGAATTCGAGAGTCGAGATCGAGGCTGGCATCTGTCTGCTCATGGCTTGGTGCTGTTGATTCCCAATAGCCTCGCCGCAGACTTGGTATGACCATCAAAGACTCGCACTCCTCTTGATGTCTTAGTACCATCGTGATTCATGACAAGTCTTGTGAGTCAGAAGAGCAACACGCCCTGCCATCAGTCTGTCAGGGCCGCGGAATAAGCGTGGCCGCCGAGCTTCAAGGCACCTTCATAAGATGTTGGTTAGTGTTTAGGGTTTAGGGAGTAGGATTTAGGGTTTAGGGGCAGGATTTGCAAGTTGTTCATTGCGATGCCTGTGAAATATAGAGCCTTCGGAAGATAAATGAATGTCATGTTTGGTGATTTGCTGGGGTTGCTGGGGAAGTTTTTGGAGGTTGTTGGTATACTTTGTTATAGGGGAAGTGTTTTTTGTCTGCGACTATCTGTCTTTGGCAAAACCCAAAAACCCTCGGGGACTTCGTGCGTTGTCAACTTAGGGAAGTTTACGTGAGTAGTTCTGAGCATGTCCATGTCGCTCGGAGATGTTTTGGGAGTTTCATGTTGTGCACCGCAAGTGACTTATATATTTATATATAGGTACATAGATTTAATCCTAAACCCGAAGCCCTAAACCTTATGCAGCTCATACAGCAAAATTCACGGGCCACGTTGGTTCAGTCAACGAAAATGCGTTTAGATCATAAACATATCGCGTCAGTCGACGGGGAAAGTCATTGTAGTTCGGGGTCAAATGCAGTCCGTAGATTTGTTACGTCGGAACCATTGACTTTTTTGTTAAACATCGCTATTTCGGTCTAACTTATGCAGTTATCAAGTAACTGTTAAGTCGAACCCTTGAATATGTTAGCTTCCCCTTCAATGTAAAGTAAGCGTTAGCTTAAGAAATGCATTCTAATGCACCTTTCACACGTGGGCTGCAGTTTGACTGCATGAACTTACAAGTACCTCGCTCGCCGTTTCATGAAGTAGACTTCTATGAGTTCAATCTGCAACATTCACAAATTTAACGTGGTTGTCTTATTGAAGCTGGTCAAGGTTTTAACTTTATGAAGTATGTCAAGTTGGCGACACTTTAGTTTAGACAATGGGCAGAAGAAATCGCCCCTAAGTTATGTAGATTTCCCGAAATTAATTAAGGAGTTTGAAGAGTTCTTGCGAGAGCCCTCTGACCCCCAAGACAGGAAAGTGGACTGGAGCAGCGACGAGGATGAGGCCAGGCCCGGTACTGTTTGGGCTCCTTGCGGCAAAGGGTCGCAATTTTTTTGCTTAAAAGGCCAGCAATCTCTAAGTTTCAAAGCCTTTGGCAGCAAAATGAACCTTTAAACCCAGGGAGCTCTGAAGTGTGCAGGAGATGGACTGGCGAAGGCCTCGGGGCGCGAGCCAAGCGCGGAGCCAACACTGGCCTCCGCCTCGGCGCTGGCACTCTATTCGACAGGTTTTTTACATGCACTTCCAGCATCCTGTTTGTGTGGAGTTGAGATGCGTGCGGCATTCACTCCGGCTCGCCACGCTGCAGGCAAGAATCGTCATCCAGCGAGGCTCGCTAAACTCCTTGGTCGCCTTAGTGCCACCCTCGCTTTTTGCAGTTGTGGTTTGTACCAGGATGAACGTGAAGAGGCATTTCAGCCAGGCCTGGGTGTGACAGCCTTGCAGAAGCTGCACATCAGCTGCAACACTGCTGCAGTTGAGACAGGAGGCCGACAGGTGGACACCCCAACAGAGCTGTGGGTGCGCCGCAGATCGTTACACAACACGCCCTTATCGTTGTTTTTTGTTTGTCTAAGTCCCCTGTGTGTGCGTCAGGTGGAAGTCTTCCAGCGGGGGCGCAACACGATGCTACCTAAGCTGGACTGAGACAAGCGCAATGTTTGCACACTCGGATGCCTTGGGCCTTTCGATGCCTCTCTCAGGCGATGGGACGTGGTTGGCGGAGGATACTCGAAGCCGGGTGCCCAAGATGCAACGCCAAGCCTCGTGGAAGTGTAAACCAATCATGTGTCGTCATGGCGCTGCGTGGTTCTGTGCCTCAGCTCAAGAACTTTGAAACTTGTCGCATGCACTCCAATCAACATGATGCTTTAGCCGATCGCTGCCGGAAAGGTCATGCTTAACTGCTTAGCCACTGGCTGCACATCCCTTGCAGCTACGTTCAGAACATCTGCAGGCTGTGAGCACGGGCAGCCTCATGACTCTTCCCCAAACCCAACGGCCACAAGCATGTCCTGACAAGGCTTAGGAAAGCAATGGGTCAGGAAGGTGCGGTCAGCCACTATGTCTTACTGGGTGTGGGACATACGGCCTCTCAAGAGGAGGTCAAGAAGGCACATCGCCTTCTGGCTCTCAAATGGCATCCTGACAAGGCAGGGTGTGTAGCTCGGGTTCTCAAACGGTCTTTAGGTCTCAGCGCATGTCCCCAAATAACACACGTTGGGTGCTCGGTCCTTGGCAACTCACGATCGCTTGTGTTTTGCCATCCCTCGTCTTGGCCAGAAAATGAGTCCGAGGCCTCAACGGTCTGAGAATTCAATTGGATCTTTGGCCGGTGCTTGAAATCGTGACGCCTTGTGTGAAGTCGTACCTTTGTGCGTGCACCCTCGGGGGCATCCATTCCAAACGAGATCTGCAAACCAGCATGGGCCCACCTTAAAATCACTTGAAGTTGTATCTCTGCGTCTTCACGCTGGGATGGGGGTTCTTTCTGGGTATGTTTTTTATTTTGGTTTTTTTGGGGTGTTTTTTTTGGTTTTCTCAACCCTAAACCTTAAACCCTAAATCCTAAACCCTAAGCCCTAAAACCCTAAAACCCTAAAACCCTAAAACCCTAAAACCCTAAAACCCTAAAACCCTAAAGCCCTAAAACCCTAAAACCCTAAAGCCCTAAAGCCCTAAAGCCTTAAAACCCTAAAACCCTAAAACCCTAAAACCCTAAAACCCTAAAACCCTAAAACCCTAACTCCTAACCCCTAAAACCCTAAAACCCTAAAACCCTAAAACCCTAAAACCCTAAAACCCTAACCCCTAACCCGTAAACCCTAAACCCTAAACCCAAAAACATACCCTAAACCCAAAAACATACCCTAAACCCAAAAACTTACCCTAAGCCCAAAAACATACCCCAAAAAACACCCCAAAAAAACCTGGCTCCTTCACGCTGCGGGGAAGCATGCCAACCGAGCCTTGCTAAGAAGCATTGACCTACCTTGAATGAAGAAGTCACTTGACTTCGGGCACATGGATTCACCTCACATCGTTGATGTTGTATTTCTGCGCCACCCTGCGGGAAAGTCATAGCCATATAGCACGGCCAGCCCAACCAGCAGTCAGTTCCCTTACCCGAGCTCGCGTTGTTTGTGGGGTCCTGAGTCTTGGGTGTTAATGGCGTAAGGGCAACGTTTAGCCCCACATTACGTCAGCTCATCACACAGCGACATCAGTAAATGCTCCCGCTCCTTACCCTCGATTTTCGCTTTCATCACCCCAGTTTCGCAAGAGCACACGCCATTGAATCGAACTGGTGCAGGTGGACGATCCGGCGGATGAGATTGCCGTCCGTGTGGCAACACAGCAGTTCCAACTTCTACAGGCAGCCTATGAGGTGTTGTCCGACCCACAAAAGCGTCGCACATACGATGACAGCTTAGGGCTACTGGGAGCACCATCCTCCTCCAAGCCGCACGTCCGCACATCTCCCTCCACAGCAAGCTGGGTGCACAGTGATGCCGCCCGGATCCATGTGCCTAGCGAAGTGCCGTCCATAGCTGCTGCCGTTGATCGACTCTCTATCAGCGGAGGTGAGATCCTCGTGGCTGCCGGAACGTATCACGGCCTGATCGTCATTTCCAAGCCACTTGTGCGGATCATCTGCAAGTCACCTGACAAGGCGGTCATCAGAGGCCAGGTCGTATTCAGGGAATGTGCGGGCGGCGCCCAGCTGAGTGGCTTCACCATAGACGCATCATGCAACGGTGGCGCCATTGACTTGAAGGGAGTCGCGGGGAGAATCCAGATTGACCACTGCGACGTTCGAAACGATGCATCTGCTGGAATTGTGATGGAAGGCTGCTCGGGAGATACTTCTATTCAGCATTGTCGCGTGCATAGCTGCAAATACGACGGTTTGGGCCTCCACCTCCTCAAAGGAGACACAACTCACACTGGCTCCTTGTGCATTGAGAAATGCACTTTCGAGGACAACGGCTATGACGGACTCTACTTGGGAGACCCTCGCTTCAGTGCGCGCCTGCACGAAAGCTCTGTTCTCCGAAACCATCGCTATGGCGTACTCGTCCGCGGTACAGACTTCTCAATGGAAGGCTGCACCTTCACTGAGAATGTGCAGGAGCAAGTGAAAATGGAGGCCTTTGTGCACAAGGAAAACCCTCGTGGTACTCAGCGGATTGGGAAGGCTAGGGAAGTTTCTGCAGAACTACCAGAAGGTTGGCGCGCTTTTCGCAACTCGGAGGGGCTCGTCTACTATTACCACATGGCCTCCGGAACAACAAGATGGTCCGTTCCTGGCAAAGATGATGGCGTTGAGCCTGAGCCTCTACCACTACCTGAAGCTGCACCCAAGAAGCGCAGCAAGTGGAGCTAAGCCATGGGTGGCAACTATCTGCAACTTCTCTCCTGGAGCAGTGTCGGACCCGCCCCAGTGTGATCGCGGCGGTGCTCAGCTGGTTGCACGCCCAGTTCCTGCGCTTGAAGGGGCCTCAAACACCTTCGGAAGTTTCCCAGGCAGTGATTGCAACAAGGTGGCATCTTTGGCGGAGTAGAGCATCTCCAGAGCCATCAACATCTTAGGCAGACGAGTGCTGGAGAAGTCCCTGCAGACTGCAAGGGGAAGTCTTCGAAGCAGTGCACGCGCCGCAAGGATGCTTTGTCGGTAAGCTCTGCTGACTCGACGATTCTTACCCTCTTGAGCTTGTCGGACGCAGCAAAAAGACCTTGCGCAGCAGACGTGCCAATGAAAGCCCCTGGCTTGCAGCTAGTTCCACCTGGTTTCTTGAAATCGTGCTGTGAGGGTGGACGCTCTCTTCAATGGTCGACCTGCCTGGCGCTCAGTCGGTATGCAAACAGATTGCAAAGCAGAGGGTGCAAGCGGCAAAGCACTGCAAGTCGCGCCAAACAGGCCTTCAAAAAGAAGGGCGATCATGCTATCTTCATCTTCTGGAGCCAGCAGATCGCCTCTCAGATTCGCCACACCTTTCTCAAAGCCTTCCCGGCCCTCTATCGGCGGATAATGTCGTCACTGCTCGCGCGATTCCCAGGTTTGGTGATTGGAAGATTGCAGAGCGGCTCCAGGATGATGGTGCCTGCAAGCCCCTGAGAGAGAGCACCAGCTGCCCCATCAGTTCATCGAGTTCGGTCCCAGTCCCAACGGCCCATCAGTCCCGACATCTTGGTTTTGTGCGCAAGGCTTGGGCTTTGCAGAAGACATGCGAGGTCGACGCAGGCAGATCTCAAGCACTTGTGTACCTTCTTCACAGCGTCTCTTCATCTCCAGCAAGTAGACATGATGTGCCCAGCTACAGTCAAGTCAGCGAATGCCGCTCTTACTGGTCAGGCCTTGGTTGCAGCATCCTCCTTTGCCAGAAGCCCAGACGCCTCAGCATGCCATTCTTTCATGCGACTGAAGCCTTAAGCACGAGCATTTGTAGATGCTGAGGTACTTGCAACGGGAGTGCTTTCTTGTACCCCCCCTTCAACAACAAAAAACACACCAAACAAGAAGCCTTCCCCACTCCCCCCCTCCGCTTCATCTGAAAAAATGGATCGCGGGCCAGAGCCCGAACTTCAAAAAGCCATGGAGCAGGTGTCCAAGGCCCCCTTTGAAGCCCAGAGGCCAGGGCTCCGATCTCCCTTGTTTGAAAAAATCGGGACTCGGAAAGCTGGCTTTCAAGATGGCAGCCCAGCCGGAGGGTGGAAATTTTATAAGCAAGTACGACTACCACTTTCACCGCTCACCAGCGCCCCCTTGCTTGCGGGCTTCCGCTTTCCGGAAGTACCCGAAATTCCGAAACGCGAGACTGGCCAGCGGCACTGAGGCACCCCGAAGGTTCTTACCTGATAAGAGTTGGCAAGCATCCCGACTTATTCTCAGGGATGTCATATGTGGATGTTGTGTAGCTCAGTTCATGGATGTTCATGGTACACCTCAGGCGATGGCGCCTGTGGGAACCCACAGCACGGCGATTCGTGCCCAAAAGCGACTGGTCTCAAGAAGCTGCAGTGGATTTGCCAGCTGCGGTTCGATGGTTCTCTCGTCTTTGGGACCATACTTCCTGACGTGCACATGTTTTGGCTGACAAGGGCTCACCGTGCTCGAAGGGACGGACGCGGGAGGCCTCAATTGAGCTTTTCCTTGTCAGCTGGGTCGCCTGATCGGCTGGACTGGTCCATCCCGGTGTAGGACCAGCGTGGCAGACTTCTCAGGAGTCGCAGGCCCTAGCATTACATCTTTGAACAATGTTTGGGCCATTTCTGGAAATTCCGTGACTTTGGATAGATGGCCTGTGGAGGACGACTCGGATGATGAGGTACCATGGTCACGGCCACACTGGTGCCAACCTTGGTGGCGCTTGTTGAAAAAGCAGGGTTCTAGCTACCATTGGAATCATCATCATGGAAGCTTAGGTCCCAGTGGTCCACCGCCGATCTAATTCGCGCCTCCGGCTTGTTGACAGAGAGCCAGTACCATTCAGTAGCCTGTATCATAGATTTCATCTTTCCACGCCACTTCAACTGTGGGTGCGGGGGTGGGGTGTGGGTATTTGCCTTTCGCTAGGCTGGTGCGACCGGCGCAACGTAGACCTCAGCGGTTGTTTCGATCGAGAGGCCACTGATGTGCATGTTGTTTCTCGCTGGTTCGTTATTCGTTAGGGAATTTGTATGTGGAAGGGCAGGGCACATCTTGCGTTGGTGAGTGGAAGGGGAAAGGGGCAAATCCCATGTCGTCGACTGCCGTGGTTCAATTGCGCAAGCGTATTTGTTCTCAGAGCGCACAGTGGATACTAGTTCCCTTGCAGAGGCGCGTCCTGCAGCAATACAAAAAGGTAGTCTAATCAAGTACACGGCACGTGGCTTGCTCAAGGGCTTGCAGTCTTGCGATCAAATCGTCACGTGCCGACGCCAATATCAAAGTATGGCGTTCCTACATTGCCCTACGTGTGATTGTATCGTTGGCAAATCATCGAGGAGCGCGGCTCACTTGCAAGGCCCACCAAGAGACGGTGGTGCACAGTCGAGAACTCTGCAGCTGCAAACGCTTCGCGGCGAGCGGAGATGCGTTGTGCCGGATGGATTCGCTACCTCGGAAGAGCTCGAGGGGCGCAGCAGCACTCCACTAGATTCTCCCCTCCGGCGCACGTGTATGTGTGATTGTGTGGCTCCTACACATGCCCTTTCGCACTTGCTGCCCGACAACCCGAAAAGCCTAGAGTGAGAAACCCACTTCTTAGACTACCTTTCATAACTGCTGCAGGCAATGCACAGGCGACGTGAGGGCCGAGATTACTCGCGCGGAGGGACAACTTGAGATACACACGATGACTGCGTAGAGTCCAAACCTGCGTTCTGATAAGCGTTCAAGACACGTCGCATAGCTTTCGCTGCACTTGCTTGATGCATTTTTGGTCTGGGAAAAAAGCGAGGGCCAGTATGGCCAAGCATGTGTGGCGGGTTCCTTGCGAAGGCTGTTGTTGACCGTGTTGCGGCCGCTGCAAAGCAGGCGGGTTCCTGCTAGTGACTCTAGCGTTCCCTGCTCTCGCATGTTGCGTCTGATGCAGAGGACATGGCACGTGACAGCGATGGCTTTGAAAGGAGCTGTCCTCTGATCTTTTGAAGTTTCTTTGACTGCGATTCCGAACGTTGTTACTAAGCATGTCCTTGAAGGAGCGACTCTGTCGGCCAGGTCCGGGTGGCCTCAAGGGCCTGGGAACCCACACAGTCATTGGATCACAAAACGGCTTTCGGAATCTTCTCTGCCCAAGGTGAAGACAGACGGCTCTTACACAAGGCCACCGACACTGGACCGTCGGAATTCCCTATACGGCCGGTGCCACAGACACCGACATTTCGAGAGTGCATGCAACGATCATGCGCTTCGTGGTCTGTACTGCAGGCAATCGCGTTGAGCGGTTCTTCGGTCCTGAAACTGATGTGCTGTCCGGCGGCTCAGAGAGTCGGATTGTAGTATCCAATGCGGGAAGCAGTGTATGAAGGAGTTCGAATATTGACGTGTGTTACCATGACGGTATGATGTGGGCCCTCTTAAGTAATTGTGGGTTTACCAAGTTGCTTCGGCTCTATGTGCCTGTACCTATACGGACAGACAAGGAGACAAGTTGTGCACCTAGGCCATGGCTCTACAGCTCCGGAGACAAGTCCAGGCTCTACGGGGTGTTTTTCGGAAATGAGCTCATGCCTTGGCTTTGGCTGAATGCAGCTTCGGTGCTGAGCTAGCTAGACATGCTAACAGTATGCTAAACATCTGAGTGAGGTTTGCCTACAGCTTGGTTTGGAAGAAGCGGCCGACTCAGGTGCAGACATGTCCCGACTCAAAGCCCTGTCGGTGTGGTTGCTCAGGAAGTTCTGGGGCCGACCCGGACACAGGCTCCTCCGGCCGGAAGATTTGAATGTTAGCACACTACTACACAGCTCAGATCGGTTCATGGTCCTTGAGCCAACGGAGAGTCGTAGGCAGATCGTAGCAGGGGGAAGGGGATTTCAATCGCATGGGCAGGTCCACCCGTGAGGAGCGGTGGTAGGCTCTCGTAGATTTCGGCGACTCAGCCCCAGATTAAGGCAAAAGTCCTCGGTTGCCGTACTGCGCCACGATGATTGGACCATGCCAGCATCGTTTTGCGCAGTTCTGTGTGAAGTCTCCTAGTAGCTCTGCTTCTTCGGCTCTCCGATGAGCACTGCAATGGATTTTCAAGCAAGGATCAGTATCATCGGCAAGCTTGTGGCACGTCAGTACAGTGGCTGCTTTAGTCACAGAGTCATAGAGGGGACACAGGACGCAGCTCCTGCCCAAGACAGGATACCTCAGAGGAGACTGAAAGCCTCAGTCGGTTCAGCCTCTACCCATCCGTGCCTCTGCAGCCTTGGAACATCTTGGAACATGCTGAACGTGGAGGCAACGGGGCCATTCCCAGAAGCTTCGGACAACAGCTGCATGAATCTGTCAGGAGTTCGTTTGCCCAGAACTGCGGCTGGCCATGTGTCATGCCAAGCCGCCGAGATTCCGTTGAACCTCCCGTGAGTTTAGCTTTAGCGAGGGGTTTAGGATGCGATGAGGGGGCATTGCATCAGCGCTATTGTAGTCACGATTCACGCGCCTGCACGTATGCAACTTGCCACTGGTGCCCCATTGGTGCCAGGTCAAAGAGGCCATCCGAATTATCATGCTCGGGCGCTCGGTAGTGTAACGGTAGTGTGCTTGGGCAGTGCTGAAGGTGTGCCTGAGTGCAGTAAGGCATTGCCTTGTCATATGTCGCAGTCTTGGTGGCACGCAGCCAATTGCGGGGGCCACAGACTGTCCAGATCTCTCAAAGCTCAAGTGCATGTACAGTAACTACTGCATAGTACATGTTGCCCGCCGATCTGTGTTTGTGAATTTGCTTTGTGGCCTGGGTTAGTGAGGATCTGAAAGCCGTCGTCTCTGAGCTGTTCGATGTCGAGTATTTGAAGATCAATGACAGTCAATTGGTGCAGGCAGTCTGCTGCCGTTTGATGCACATCTTTAGCACCTGGTTTCTTGAAGTTTCTTGGCTTCTGGGTAAGGAAGTCGAACGCCTGGTTGAAAAGTTCTCGGAGATCCTAGAGAACAATTCCGACAAATCAGGCCCAGCCACCAAGCTAAAGTGTGCAACGACGCAGCTGCTGCCAGGTTTTGGCTTTGTGCACATCATGCGCTCCTAGTAGTCGTTCTGCAGGACGTGCGCAGCTGGTTTTCAACCTCTACACGGCGAAGAATCGCAAGCAAAGCCTTTGGTGCGCTGATGTGGGTGGGTTTTGAGGGCACAGGGCTGCAGGGCACTGTGAGGTCTAGGATCCAGTAGCCCTTGGCCCCTCGTCATGCAAAGTTGTGAGCAGGAACATTCTCGTCGGCAGTGACGAGAAGATTGTGTTCGAACAGTGGCGCATCCCTGTAGCCATGCAGCCTCTGAACAGGCTCGCTTGCGCTGTCTTGCCCAGCAAGTTATCGGCCCTGGGCATTGGACCGGCCATTGCTAACCTCCACGCCATAAGCTGAAGCCAGCAAGAGGTATCTCAATCCTGCCGACAACCTTCGGGAAGAAGCGAATCTGCAGGCAACGCTGGCAGCTGCGGTACTCCCCCGTGGTCACATCATGCTGAGCGGGGAAACTTCCAGCATCTTCCAACATTTGGCAGGCATCTGCTTCGCAGCAAGTCCAGCAGGTTCTCCACTATGTGATCGCTAGAGCCAATGCCAAGGACTGGACACTTGAATGAGCATTGCACACATATTGCAAAGAAACTACCCGCGGGATACTATCCATTGTGATCGTAGCATGTCGTTGGCATGTCGGGCTCTTGACACGTGGAAGGGAAGCCTCTGGTGAGGTGGAGCATCTTCCTCCACCGGACAAGGAGCAGACGGCCTACAACTTTGAAGTGTCCTTTGTGTCCGGTGAGGGCAAGGACGGAGTGAGCAGACGAGCAGCTTTTTACAGTCCAGCAATGTCAGAATGAGCTGCAAGTCCAAGTTGCCAGGAAATCGGGACAGGGTCTCTGCTTCGACAAGGCAGTCGGCTCATGGGTTGGCAAACAGACTGCTTTTAATCTTGGTGCGCCTCGGTTTTACCATGCAAAGCTGTTTCAGGCCTGGGCTCCTCGCTCAGCCAAACCATCCGCCAAATGCCGCAGAACCCTCAGCTTGCTGCTGCGAAATTGTAGCAGGTTGCAGCTGAGGGTTCAACGATTGTGACCAACATATCCGCTCACAAGATTCGCAGTTTTACTGGTTTTAGGGAGACGTGGAAAGTTTGCAGAAGGGTGTTTGGAAGGGTTGCAGAAGAGGAGCAGATAATTCTTGAAGTGGTCGTGTTCTTGGTGTGAGGCTTTTGCACGAGCTGCAGGACAAGGGAAATAATGCCAATACTTTGTGACCATATTTTGGTTTCAGGCCTTGGGAACTCCTGTGGAGGAGAACGAATACAAATGTTTTTTGTTTATCAGCTGTCTAGAAGTGCCGCTGCGAAGAACAAACTAATTCAGGTGTAATTCTGTGACTTAGATGTCAGGTGCTCGAATGGTTGAAAAGCGTGGATCTTTCAGGGGGGAGGTGGGTAGCTACAGCAATATGGGCTGTGTTATTTGATCTATGTTCATTCGGATGGCTCAGGTACATGGCGTGAACGTAACCCCTTTTGCACCCGTGCCGGTTGTCGGCACATGTACAGGAAATTGGGGAGGGGCATGCGGCCCTGCTCTCTGTACATACCCAGCAGCGGGTTACTCGCTGCATGAAGGTCTTCCATGGTCTTCTGCTTTACGTAGACTTCCGCAATGGTGTGCCAAAAGGGGTACGACCTGTGTAACGAGCTGTGCAAAGTCTACGTGAAGTCCGAGAAGATGTGGAGCGTTGCGAGCCCGTAGCGCTGGACGCGGGCGCAGGGATGCATCATACAAAATGTATGATGTTTGCTAACCATCAGAATGCCACAATGACTACTCCAAGCACATGTGGAAGCTGGCATTTCGAACATCTCCACGGTTCGTTTTGGCACTTTGAACCCGGCATTTCATGCTTCAGGTCATGAAGTAAGATCTCTGAGACATGTCGAGACGCAAAGTGTGCAAAGGTTTGAGACACCGTAGCACTGGCTTCAGCTGCTTGAATGAAGTTCCTCCTCTTTGCCTCAGCATGACATGCATCTTGGGAGGCTCACCAGGGTACAGTAGCTTCAGTTTTGTTGTTTCGTGACTAAACTAGGTGCACAGGCTACCAGTGGCAACGAAGCGGTCGGCCGGGAACACGCGTTGTTGGTGTGGTGAAGTCTTCCCCCTGAGGACATGGCTTCGGGACACCTTTCTCCTGACACTGTTGCTGCGTAGCGCTGCTGGAAATCAGCCTGGCTGGCGCGATTTGCATTGACTGCCATCGGGGCTGGTCCGTGAAGTATTACGCATCAACATCTGCCAGTGGCAGGAGCGACCCATGTGCGAAGGCACTGCTTTTGGTTGCCCACCGCGATGACGAGACTTTCTTTGCAGGCCTTGCCCCTATGGTTCTCAACATTTGAGAAAGGTGACAAGACACAAAAACACAACAAAAAGCACGAAGCAAAGATGACACCCACAGAAGTGTTGCGGAAGAAGCTCCTCTTTTTGTGCACAGTAGTGATCACTCCGTGTGCACTCCGAGGCGAGGCGCTTTTGGGACGCAAAGCCTCGCTGCCCTGGGATTGTCGCAGGGCCTGGTGGCTTCATCCTCAGAACGTGAGAGGACAGAATGTCGACGACAAGTTGACAACAACGAATACACTCTGAATCGAAAGCGTCGTGTCGGAGATCTTGCCCCGTTCAGGCACGTGGTCGTGGTTGCTGGGGCAGACAACCCCGCAACTCGTCAGGCGCGCTTTGCAACTTTGGGAAAGTGGAGTTTGTTTGGTGACATGCCGATGCCCGTCAGGAGCTGCACGCTGTCTTGAACATCGCGAGGTTCGGCACATGATGTCCTTGCCTGCTATGCTGCCATGTCCCCCTCCTGCCACAGTTGATTTGATTGAGAATGAGGTCGCACACGCTAGCCGCAATCATTGTGGAGGAGGCGTTCAAATCCAGCATCATGAGTTCCTGGCGACGTGTCGCCGCGTGATCAGGTTTGGGACTATGATGACTGCAACATGGCGTGCTGAACTTAGTCAGGGAATGTCAGGGAAATGCGTTGTTCACGAGCTGCACCGAGCTGCGCTCGAGTTGGTCTTCAATAGTCAGGTCTTCTTCCCGTATCGCCTGTTTTAAACATTAGAAGCTAAGCAATCGACGGGAACGTGCGAAGCTATGTCTAAAGAACTACTTGCGCATCCTCAAGTACGCGATGAAGTTACTCGGAGTGATTGACGAGCGATGTACCATGAGTACATGTCGTGGGTGCTAAGGTACTGCGCACGCTTTGTAGGCCAGCCGCCATGACTGCCTAGCAGCCTGGTCACACATCGTGGCAACTGCAGTGTATCAGAAAGGTTGTCCCCTTGTCCAGTTGCAGAAAATGCGGAATGCACGTGCGCGGGGAGCAAGCAAAGCACCTGGAGGTGGCAGCTTGCCGATAGAGCAGCGCTTGAAGGATCTTCTCACATCAGGCAGGAGCACGAGCATGATTGATCTGGGCTGTTCTTGGCCGGTTTTCGCACGGCCGTCAGCAGTTTCATCTCAGGCAACTGGGACTATGTGGTGACTCACAACGAGCACGGAGAGTGCGCACCAACACGGTTGTAGCACCGAACTAGAGCCGGAGTTCTTTGGGCCTAAATCGCCTTCATGGAGGTATCATCATTGGCAACATGTTGGCAGCAGCCTCAGCCTTCCCATACAGAACACACACAAAAGAGTCGACCTTGAGACATGAACAGAACTCTGTGACATCCAGGTTAGGCAACTCACGCTGGCAACACACGGCGTAGAACCAACAAGCGGCGACTAGCGGCTTGAGTGATAAGGCTAGCACATGGTGCCTTGCCCAAAGGGCAGATTCACAGGGAGTCAAAGACACCATGCTTGGCAGAACACAGCTGAACCCAGCACATCATGAGTATTTTCAAAGGGTGTGGCTATGCTTGTGGGATGCACATCTTTGTAAAGCTGCCTGAGACGAGCTGCATTTTGCCAGTTCTACTGCCGAACCAGGCTCAACTTCACGAGCTCCAGCGTGGACTACTCAAAGTGGTAGTAGTAGTAGTAGTAGTAGTAGTAGTAGTAGTAGTAGTAGTAGTAGTAGTAGTTGTTGTTGTTGTAGTTGTAGTAGTAGTAGTAGTACTACTACTACTACTACTACTACTATTACTACTACTACTATTATTACTACTACTATGAATATTACTAATTTCTACTACTATGAATACTACTACTACTACTACTACTACTACTACTACTACTACTACTACTACTACTACTACTACTACTACTACTACTACTACTACTACTACTACTACTTCGACTACAACTTCGACTACAACTTCGACTACTACTACTACTACTACTACTACTACTACTACTACTACTACTACTACTACTACTACTACTACTACTACTACTACTACTACTACTACTACTCCTACTCCTACTGCTACTGCTACTGCTACTGCTACTGCTCCTGCTGCTGCTGCTGCTACTGCTACTACTACTAGTACTACTACTGCTTCCCCCCCCCCCCCCCCCAGCAAAGAAACAAGGGAGACAAGGGATGAGGGATGGATGATAGACACGCACGGCAAAACGAAAGTAATGCGTTGCAAAACGAAAATTGACGAAAACATCAAACCTGAGTCTCCGTTTTCTTCCCGACTACGATACAAAAACGACACCGGCAAAGCTGGGCAAAACAAGTAGAACATGTCCAGCACCAATGCTGGTAATTGCAGCATTTTTGCGTTGAAAAGTTGAGAAATGAATTTCGTGCGGTTGAGCTCATTTTGAAAATGGTTCTCAAAACATTTCCAAGATGCAGGAAATGCGATTTTTCGGCAAAGAAGAGCAACAAAAACACTATTTCCCGTAGCACGAGGGGGTAGCGGGGAAGTCATACTACTGGTACGACGTCTCCCCCTCCTTCTGCTCGCTGCCGCCGCCGCCGCCGCTGCTGCCACTAGTACTCGTACTCCTATTCCTTCTCCAAGAAAAAGCGAAGGAGCGGCGGGCATCAACCGTTTGTGTCAGCTGGCCTGTCACAGTGGGCATTGCTTCCCTGGTGCCCAAGGCCTGCACATGGCAGTCCGTGCTCACTGCTGAGCTTCCACCGCCTGCAGCAAAATCTTTTTTTGCCCACGATCAGTATCCGACAGCTCCCAGGATGCGCTTCAAACGATGCCGAACCCGCCACAGATGCTGGCGATGGGCTCACTACAGCTCACTGGAGCTCACATCAGCTCACTGTTGTCATCGCTCCTTGCCGTAGGTCGATTACGCGTGCAGTGCCAGCAGTGCACCAAGAAAAGGCATCCTGTTGCATGGGAACTAAGGTGTTCAATCCCATCCCTGAGCTGAACGTGTCTGTAAGCCCCGGCAAGGCTCGCATGCTGGAGGCCGGGTGGGTCATGAGAGCTTCCGGGGCTGGTGTTGTGGCTTCTCTTGTAAAGTTGGGAGCAGCTTGTGGCAAAATGTACATTAAAGAGCTGGAGCTCTCTTAAGGCCATAAGAGGCTGCGTGAGGATCCTGTAGGCAGCTCCATGATGCTGTCTTGCCTCCCTGGGTTGAAATCTCGGGCCCGTGAAAACTTCAGCTCCCGAAGGAAGGAAAGTCTCAAACTGCACGGCCCTGCCTGTTCAAAGCATCCCACCCCCGAAGGCAGCTTAACGTAATCACGAAAGCTAGCTCCTTGGAGCTCGCGAGAGTTGTCGTTTACAAGTCTTCTCTCTAGTGTTCAGCTGGGTCAACAAGCGACCCCGACCCTTAAGTGGTATGAAAATCAAGGAGACAAACGGCTGCCGGGGGGGGGGGGGGGGGGCCCTCTTTTCAGGCCCCCCCCCCCTCTTGGTCAGGCTCAGCCGCGTTTCTAGCTTTCGTAGCCCAGATCTCAAGTATGACAACAGCTGGCCTCAACAAACTGGCGGAAGTGAATGGAGCAGGAAAACTTCACCGCAGTGGGTACTTGTACTTTTTTGAGTTCCAAATAATCCTGTTGCCGGCAGCCTTTTTCTCGAGTTCTAGCAAGATACCCTTCTTTTATGAGTGACTCTCTTCATACTTGCTCAGTCATGAAGAACTGGAACCGCCACCCAGGCAAAAAAACGGCGCTCCCAATAGAAAATTGCAATGTCGAACCTGCCCGCATACCGAGCCCCGCAGAGAGATAGAAAAGTGCAGCATGTGCTGAACTTCATCTGCTCTGTGCATGAGTTTTTTTTGCACGACAGGATTTTCCAAAGGCAGCAGCTCAACTGGAACGACCTGTCCTCCAAGTCGATTCGTAGCCGAAAAAAGACATACGAGTCTGATGGTTGCGTGTTCTCCAGGCGGACTAACCAATCAGCCCATACAGCACAATCGTCGCATTGGAGGGTTCTGGAGGCTTGACATGCTCGAAAGACGCCAGGCATACATGAAGGCGATACCGACTCCCGCGCGCAGGATGACTGTGCAGGGTCTTGGGAGGCATGTCAGCGGTTCAATCGGACTCAATCGTGTGGAATGCCATGATCTGCAATGCTTGTTTGCCGGAGGTACACCGAGCACTTGGTACCAGTGGAGGCGTTCATCCGGCCAAAGCCACTAGGCACTGCCAGCAAAGTTTGAAGATCTTTGAGTTTTTGAAATGACTTCATGAGAGTACAGGAGGGTCGGGAAGGCTGTCTGTAGCGCCCAGTGGCTTGCTGGAGGGATTATTTGGATCATCCGTCACAGAGGGACGTCTCAGTACAAGTGCAAACTCAAAAACAAGTTGCAGGCGTTGCCTTCGCACACAATATGCTGAGCATAGACCTGCCGTTCATGCCCGCCCGCCACATTGGAAGAAGAGAAATGCCTTCCATGTCTGGCGCACCTGAGATGCGGAGGTATAGCTGGGTTATGATGCCCGGTGGTAAACATCCGAAGCGCGGTGCCTAGACTCCTGGGCATCACCAGTATTCGGTTATGTTCTATGTCACACATCTAGACACATTTTGTATTTCATACAGTATAGTACATGAAATTCATCAGAAAATTCCACTGAAAGTATGATCAAATAATAACTTTTATATAATATTATAGTGCATATTGTATGGTAGATATTGTACTATATAGTATACGACTTCGTCATGCAAAACGGTACTCCCGCCGTGTGCAGGTTTTCGTCGCAGGAGTGCCTGGAGCTGGTAAAGGAGCGCACTGCATTGCAAGATGTGTGGGTTTACGAAAAACGGGACCCTAATATAGACCCCCCAAATAGTAGGATCCCCTTAAAATAAGGACCCCAATAAGGTACCCCCAGTATCGTAAATCCCCAATATTGCTCGTAGCAAAGGCAGCGGCTAACATACACGTGCTTGGGTCTAACCGGGTTTCTTGCACGTAGCGGAACTTCACGAATGGCAGTACTGCGCTGGTTCTCGCCAAGCTGGCAGGTTTTGTTCGACCTCACGTGGTTCAACAGCTGCGGGCGACGTCACACTCCACAGCAAGCCACAAAGTGCATGGCTGTGTGCTCGTCGTCGTTTGGACATGGACCGTGCAGTTGCGCCTGTTTGGGAGAACGTGGGCGGTAGAGTCTGCTGCAGAGGTACCCAGAGGTTTGCAGAGAGTTGAAGAAGGAGAAGGACGAGATTTCTCCCCGGCTGGCTACTTTGTTTGGGGACTTTGAGGAGCCAGAGAAGAGCATCGCAGTTTTGCTGAGTGATTTGACAAGCTCGCGGCCCTCGCGCAAACGACAGGACATGGTGCACCTTGACGAGGCATGAGTGAATACGCACATGATGCCATCATGTGCCATCATCATGCGCTGCCCGACGCATCGTGTTGCTGACTGTGCATTCAGCTTGCGAATGTGGGCTCTCTTCAGTGGTGTAGGCTCGAGGCGTCTCGGAGCCCACACCCGGCTCCCCGACTCTCAGGCAGCAGTTTTTTATCTGTGAGATGCACTTAGTTCCACTAAGTTCATGAATTGCAGCAGCATGTCATGTTGAGCCCGGTGGAAGGTGCTCCAGAATGCAACGAATTGGCTCCTTTGGCGAAGTTGTTGGCTGGGAGATTTCTGCAGAGGCGCTCAGACCAGTCCCCCCGACAAAAACGATTAACGACCACCGAAAGGGGTTTGCGCGAGAGGCGTAAATAGCAGGGAGGCCTCGATTATTCCTCTTAGATGCAGAGGAACGAGATGATCGGAGTCATGACAACTCGAAACTTCTGAGTTCAGCGCTCCAGGTACAACAGCCTTGCTACTTTGCATTGATGGTGCTTCGGAGGATTACGGTTGGCTGGAAGAAGGCACGCTGCTTTTGAGCTGTCCATGGATTCCAAGGCGATTTAGATCTTTTCTGTGTCAGGGCTACAAGGGCCGCACATACAAAATACTTCGCCCGGACCTGAGCAGATTGCTTGTTCCAGAGCCTGGCTGGGCAGCGACTGCAGTGAAATCTCCAGAACGAGCACAGGAACAACCACGCCTAAGTTGCTCACCACTGTTCGCAAGGCCGTCATTCTCCACTGAAGCGGCTTGAAATTTGTTCAAGCATAATCAGGGCCGTGCTTCTGCCTTGCAGGAGGTGCACTGGCCAGAAGTTGATCCCCTTCGCGTTCAGCCAGACGATGTCGCCCCGGCCCCACATGAACAGCGCGGCATTTGCTGCGGGTCTTCGAGATTCTCCGAGCCTCAGGTTGGTTGGCAGCTTTTCCTACGGGCTGGTGATGACCTGAACTTGTACCCGGCAATGCCAGAAGACATGGCAGATGAGGCTCTCAGCTCGAAGCTTCTTAGTGCAATTCATTGCAATTCCTCCTCTCTTTTTGGCTCATGCCAGTTCTGCATTGGTGGACGGGGCTGTGATGAGGCCGCATGAACTACTCACATTCCTTCAGATGCAGGGGCGCACCACGTGCCATGCGTGAACTCAGGCCGGCCTCTGCACTTTCGACATCAAGCCTCCCGAGGCAAAGCAAAGGGCTGGCATTCAGCACATTCAGCACTTTTTGGTGCGAACGACATTGCTTTCAGTCTGCGCCTGCCGCGTTGTCCCAGGAGCTGATGCCAGATGCACGTGTGCAGAAGGCTCTGTGCCACTGCCACGCTCCGCCGCAGGAGCAGGCTAGCAAGGCAATTGCACAAAGTTGAAATTGCACAGGTCTCAGTTCGAGTGGCCCCACGGCGCTGGCAACGACCATCGGAAGCGAGTCCGTTCTTCGAAGCCGGTACCTCGTTTGAATGCATGGCATTTAGGACTCGCTATTCTCCCGATGCAGGTGATGCCCGCTTTGAACATCTCTGAGTATGTCGATGCCGATACCACATACGAGGTGTGACCTTGCGCCCTTGCAGCCATGGCGGATGAGTGTTCAGGGTTCATTGAGCGCTTCAGGAGCTCATGACCATACGGCAGAAGCTTGTCAAGAGCTGAGTTCAGCTATACGAGTTCCTCTTCAAATTCTCGTGGGAGTTCGTGTTGTGGATGTCAGGACCATTCTGATCTGGGCATCTTCGAGGACTGAACTGTAGCGCCGCCCAAGGATGTGCTCCGAGTTTACTGCTCGTCGACAGCAGGACAAGATCCGCTTGCGAACGGAACTCTTGCCAGCCGCCGGAGTTCTTGCCACACCAAGATCTTGCCTTGGCTTGTCAGATCTTTTCAGGGCAACTCACGGAGGTCCTTGCTCGTTGAAGGCTCAAGTTGAAGGAGAGACGTGCCCAATTTCCCACATGATTGAGGCATACACCTTTCCAACACCGACTTCGACATTGCCCACCTCATAGAAGGGCGGCACAGCTACGTGGTCTGGTCCTTGCGGTGCTTGTTGATGCACTGTGTAGAGTCGGGGAGTCATTGGGGACTTTGTCAGGTCAAGCCATCGCACATGTCCGAGTCGCAGAACGTCTTCGTAATGCACAATGGCCAGGTGCCTGGATGCCCCAAAGAAATCATTCGCGAAGCTGCAGGCCACCGAAGCGTCCGGCACGCAAAGTGCATCCCAGCATGTGTTGTGATCTACACGAGTGTCTTGAAAGTGTGCAGTAGTGACAGGAAGGGGAGGGAGCATGCAGGAGCCACACCCGTGCCGTTCATGATGCCTGTTCCTGAACGGTCTTCTAAAGCGTAAGGGCTGTGTTCTGGCACCGTGTTGTTTTCTGGCAGCACTGCTCAGCACCCAGTGCTGCCTCGTGACGAATACAAGCGAATGTCACGCAATATGATCTATTCCAACACAACATAGTAACATAAGCATAAACGCCAAACCCCTGAGCTCCCCTAAAATGGCCCCAAGGTATCAACCTGCTGCGTCAAGCATGGGGTTGGCCGGGGCAGTCGCCCATCGAGGAGATCCAGGTCGGTTTAGAGCCCAGGTTTTGGGGCTTCAAGTTGTTTTAGGGCTTTTCGGGCTTAGGGTTTAGGAAACCAACTCGTGGGCTCTCGTTTCCCAGTTTCCGAATCTACTGCTGACCCACCCCGGTCGGTTCACTTTGCCACGCGCATCCAATGGATGTACTGCAAGTTGCGTCGTGTTGGATCCTATCGTTACATGTTGCTATCATGTCTGATTGTTCGGTTGATATCATGTGCAGAAGATTCGCACGGCGTTCCTTGGCACAGGTCAGTTCTTGGCACACTGAGCTTCTTCATGCCTATGCCATGCCCTCCCGAGTTGTGGGGCTCAACACAACTTAGGGTTTGGGGTCTAGGATGAATTCTAACTATGAGGGGCTTTCTATCATAGAGACTGACAAAAAGAGCCTGATCAGCCACCAGTCGCATTCACTCCTCAATGTTGTTCTTATTCAAGAAGTTCGTAATTAGGCTGAGTCGCCCTTGCGTACCCTTGGCTGGGAAGGGGAACCCTGGGCGGAACTTCAAGCCCTAGGCCCTAGAAAGCCTCAACCCGAAGCCCTAAACCCCAAGACACAACCACCCTTTGGAGGGCAGAGAAGCCCGCCATAACCGCCCCCCCCCAAAAGCCATAACCAGAGAAGACCCTAGCAAAGCCCTAGTAGGGGAATGATGGAATGATCCTGTGTGGTGACAGGCGGCTGTCTACGAGTTCTCCCAACAGAAAGCGCTTGACTGGGAGCCGCTCGGCCTTGAGACGCCCCAAAAAAAAAGTGAGCGGTTTCACGGTTTGGTGAGTTTTGGAGGGCCCACTGTTAGGGTTTCAGAGGGTTTTAGGGGGTGTCTAGGGTTCTAGAGGTTGTGTGAGGGTTTTCGCGTTTTTAGGTACAGGGCTTGGTGTGTGTGTGTGGCATTGCTGTCAAGGTGCAAGGCGCTGGTGGCGACCAAGCCTGGAGTTATAGTGGAGGAGCTTGTTCTTGCTGAGGCGCTTGCCGGACAGCGGGAGATGAATATTTAAGGATCTACCGTGTAACGTTCTTCCGTCGCGTCTGCTTCTGAAGAGCTTCCCTTGGAAAAGTTAGAGAGTCGGAGGGTCCTTGGCACGGAACAACACCAAGGATGAATGGTACCGAAGACATTCGTGTATTCTTACCTGATAGCACTGCAGACTGCAGCAGGTGGATGGTGGCCGCTTCACTGTTGACGAATTCAAGCCTGAAGCTAAGACACCACAACAGAGTTCTCGGATTCTGAAAGCTTGCTTCTATTCAGGTTTTATACTGTTTTTGGCCAAGTGGCTTTTGGAGAGGCGCCATGGCGAGCATCAAGCGGTCACATGAAAATAGACCCCCCGCCACCCACAAATGTTCGAATACCGGTTGAGCGCCAGGAGATCTTTTCCTCGGCGGGCACCGTCATGGAGATTGACCGTGATGGGCGGATTCTAACAAACAAGGCTCGTCCCCTCTGTAAATGATGGGTGGCCGCTTCAATGCAACAGCCTAAACGCTCTGGCCGCTGCCTTTGCCAGATGGAGTGCCCTCCTTTTTGTGTACGCTCCTGCTACACACGAATGGTGGAGATCGCTGAAAAGGTGCAATGGCCGCAATGATGCATTCCTTCGGTACTGCGGGTCGCTCTCGTGGTGCTGAGGTGGCAACTTATGCGCGCGCTGACTTTCTACGAGTGGATGTGCTGGACTCCGCCCCAGTGAGGCTCAAGGTAGCTGCGAGACACCTAGCCAGTCTGTGGAGGTCGAGGGGAACTGCGACGGTCTGTATGTAAGCGAGGCAAGCCGCCATGAGAGCTCTAAAGATTGCTGAGGCTGTTGAAGCACAATGAAGCACAGCTCAAACATGGCGACTCTCGGCAGGTGGAGCTTTTCCCGGCGAGTGATTTCAGCCCTTTCCTCAAGGCCTCGTGGTGCAAGCCGCCCCGCAAGCTGTTTCTTCCATATGCATGCTGCATGCAGACGGAGCCATCAAGATCATACTTGCGCTATCTGGTCAGGCCGCTGTTGCGGCTCGATGGCGTCAAGGCTATGCCGCCGGGGTCCGAGGCAAATCCGAAGAAGGCTTCCAAAAGTCCCCCCAAGGCCTCTGCGAAACCTCCAAAAGCCTCGAAACTTCTGCTTCGCGACGCTTCGTAAAGTGTGCATGGCTTCCGCACACGCGCTGGAGACATCAATGTGCAGATTCCGTGCCCTGTGTGGTGAGATGGGACAGCCAAGGTCTAGGGCGAGCCAGATGGCAGAAGGTTCCATCGTCTACGATGGCTGCATCGAGCAAAATATCAACAGACACAAGAAGCATGACATTCAGCTCCAGCAACTTCGCTTTCTGATGTAGCACATCTAACCGTCTTTGCAGCGCAAGCGTCCAGCGCCAGACGAAAACCAGCGAAAGCAATGATGGCATGAGACGCAATATCTGCAAAAACCAACGCCAAGGATCCCAGTCCCTTGCTTTCATGTCGCAACTTCTTTGCGCAGCCGTTGCTCACTGCGGGAGTGTTTTAGGCAGAGCGATGGCAGAGCCCATTACGCTTCAGGACGGCCCTAGAGTCTCGCAGCAGTCTAAAGCGGCAAAAGGCAGATGCTGTGGAGGTGGAAGTTCCGGAAGGAATTGGACCAGGCCTTGCCCGACACCGGAGGTTCTTGCAAGAAGTTCAGACTTCCAAAGCAGCTTCAGGCCATAATTTCAGCGTGAGCACCCCAGATGGGCAGGTGCCTGCACCATGCATGCACAATGCACCATGCTTGAGAAAGAAGGCAAGGCGAGCATGGACGATGTCGAAGACTATCACCAAAGACTACTAAAGACAACTACAGCAACACATCTCTCAGACACCCGAGAGACCCTTCTTGCCCCACTTCTCAAGCCTAGTTCAGGTCTCTAAGCCTTCTTCGATGTCCCTCTGAACCTCTCCAGCATTTAGGCTCCCAGGCAGCCAGGTCTGCCGCTTCGCGGAGCCATGCGTGGGCTGGCGGGTCCAAGGCGTCCTACGAGTGACATAGGCGGGGCAGGGGGGGAGGGGGGACGAAGGGGGGCCTATAGATTCTTGGGCCTCTGCTTTCGCATGATAATCGACGCTGGTTTGCAGGCTCTAGACGATTGTGATATCTTCTTCATGTTTGGGTTTGGGCGAGCCTATGAAGGGTTTTAGAACGTTGTTCAACTCCCAGGTCAGCTTACGACAGCCATTGTGGACGCGGGCAAACTTAGTTCCTGGCGACGGGTTCTGAATTTGGTCACACGAGATGATGGGTTGACTCGTGCAGCACAGCAGCATTCAGCTACCTTCGACTAGACTTGTGATTGACAGCTTGTTTTTTGTGCAGTGGATGTAAGTGAAAGCCGACTTCTGCTGAGGACTTGATTTGCTTCGGCGCAGCGCTTGCAGCTGTCAGTCAGGAGCGAACTCTCAGCATGATTGCAATGCGAGTTTGACAATGAGATACTGTGCGTGCGTGGGTGCGTGCGTGCGTAGCGGGCTCGATAGCGATGGGCAGGCACACCATTGGGAGGCGACTGTATTCTTGCTGGATCTTATGCGCGATGCCGGAGTGGAATGTGATGCACAAGGTGCCTCGAATGCATTCTCAGCTTCTCGTGATGGTTGCCTGTAAGTCCTTTATGGGGGCCAGGCCTCAACGCTGCCTTGAACGCCTGCAGCAAGAGTGCTGCATGGGAAGCAGCGCTGAGTTTGAGGCCATGGGCAGAGACTCGTATAATGCATGGATGCACGCTGTCTGCACGCTGTCTCGCGCTCTTCCGCTCGCCGCTTGCTCATCCTTGCTTTCGTCGTTGCTACGCCGTGCTCAATGCTGAGATGTTGCCCATCGAGGCAAAGTTCTGGAAGTCTGGCCAATGTGATGAGCAACGGCATGGTCATGAACGCCTGTGCAAAGGCCAGTGCACGCATGTAGGTGCCAAACAGCAGTCATGGCTCAACTACCCCCTACGATCAGAAGGGTTGGCTCCCACGAGTCAACCGATTCAGGTCTCAGCTTGGGGGAGAGCTTCTGGGGATCGTTCACAGGGACTGGGATCGGATGTTGTTGTTGGGTGTGGATTCTGTCAAAGATTGGAATTCAGGGGCAGGGGGGGTGGGGGGTGGATGAGATTGTGCCGACCCGACCGTAGAAACGAGAGCATGTGAGACCGATGGAGCACAAGCCTCGGTTCTTCGCTCTTGGGGTCCTCTTTGGTGCACAGTTTGGATACCCATTCTGCTGTCATATCAGGCCGCAAACTGGAGCTCGGCCTTGGCTTTGCTGACGGATATTCTTCAGTCAAAGCTACAGGCAAATTGGGCATCCTAGCAAAGTCTAGAGCTTCGAGCGATTCAGACATGTCTCCTCTGTGCTTTTGCAATGTGACAGATCATTTACATGAACACAGGCGAACACCATCATTTTTAGTTCTGCTATCAGCATCTCTGTCGCATCTAGCCTGAGGGTCTTCCAAAAGCAGTCTTCAGCATGTTCGAAGATGAATGCGCATGCTGCCGCATGCCACCTGAAGATCAAGGTGCGTGCGCGGCTGATGGCATGTGGAAGTCATGCTTGGCCATGCTCGACACCATGAGTGAGCAATTCGTAGAGACGAACGCCATCACTATGAATGCAGTGCTGGGCTTGGCTGTGTTTTTCAGAGTGCGGGCAATCGGGGTCGAGTTGCCGGGGGCGCTGCGGGGCGCTGTGGGAGGCGTGGGGGGAGCTGTGGGGAGCCGTGAGGAGCTGGGAGCTGTGGGGAGCTGCGGGGAGCTGCGGGAGCTGTGGGGAGCTGTGGGGAGCTGTGGGGAGCTGTGGGCAGGTATGTATAGAGACACCCACACAGTGGACAAGTCAACTAGAAGCGCACAACACGCAGCCGCAGTAGTCGCTCGATCGTGTCCATGCTTCAGCGCCCGTCAGCGTGTCTCAGTGCTCCTCAATGCTTCTCAACGCTCCCCGACGCCCCGGTGGCCCTGAGCGCACCCTTCGCCCGTTGCGGAAAGCAAGTGCTGCAACTCCGCGAGCAAATCACACGATATCAAGCCTAGAGCTGTAGCATCGTGAAGATTCGTAGTGTTGAGACGGGTCTAGGCTTCGGCCACCATGACTGCGTGCGCTGACTAAGGCATGGAATATAGAATAAGGCGTCGGAGAGCATTCGCAGGTGAGACAGTTGAATTTATGTGTAGGCATCCTTTCTCTTAATGGGTAGTTTGGCATCCTCAGCATTTTGTGTTTGGAGTTGAAGAAGACAGCGTCCAGCGTACGTCTGAAACCGCACAGCGAAAAGGATTTTTTTTATCGGCTGCATGCTGATGTCGTCACGTCCCCGCCGCTCCCCGCCGCTCCCTGCCGCTCCGCGCCGCTCCCCGCCGCTCCCCGCCGCTCCCCGCCGCTCCCCGCCGCTCCTCGCCGCTCCCCGCCGCTTCTCGCCGCTCCTCGCCGCTCCCCGCCACTCCCGGATTCACCGACCCCAACAGCGTACGCAATGGTATTTTTCGCAAGTGCCCTTAATTAACCCGCAGCAGCACCACTTGATATGTATACATATATATATATTTAATGGCTACCGCCAGTGCCGCCGACCCCACACCCAAGACAGTCGCATTGGGGCGGAAGGCAGGGTGGAGCGCGGGCAGGCGGGGGGGGCGGGGGCGGGGGGGGTGGGGGTGGGTGGGGGTGGAAAGGGGGGCGGCGGTGGGGTGACGGTAGAGGGTTGGTGTCGGATTAGGGAGTTGGGGGCGGAAGGCAGGGGTGGACTGGGGGGCATAGAGATGAAGAAGCGATGAGAGCGGTGAGAGCGGGGGGGCGGTCGGATGGTGCACGATGGTGGGAGGGGGTAATGATGAGGGCTGGGAGGGTTAGGGAGTGGGAGTGGGAGAGGGTGGGGGCTGGCGGAAAGGGGGGCCTGACTGACCAGCTCTGGTGAGAGGGTTGGGGCGGAAGGCAGGGTGGAGCGCGGCGGGTGGACAGGGGAGGTGACGGTCGAGGGTTGGTGGAGTTGGGCGGAAGGCAGGGGAGTGATGAGAGCGGGGAGGCGGTTAGGGCGGGCGTGGATTGGAATCCCTCAAAGTAGAGATTTGTCAGGGGCGGAGTAGGGGGTGGGGGGGTGGGGGGGGTGGGGTTTCAGAGTCGAGGTTGAGGGCAAAGGGTCGGTGTCAGGGAGGGGTGGACTGGGGGGCATAGGGAGGGGGAGTGATGAGAGCGGTGAAAGCGGTGAGGGCGGCATGGACTGGAATGCTTAAAACGTCAGGGGCGGCGAGGCCTGCAGGGTGGGGGTGGCGGGGGGGTGGGGGGGGGGTGGGGGGGGGGGGGGGGGGGGGGTGGGGGCGGTCAGGGCAGGCGTGGACTGGAATCCGAGATTGGTCCAGGGGTGGAATAGGGGGCAGGGGCGAGGCCTACAGGAGGGTGGGGGGGTAGGGGGGGGGTGGGGGGGGGTGGGGGGGGGGACGTGGGCGGGGGACGCCAAGTTGGAACAAGCAGGAGGAAGGGGGGGGCAGAGTAGGCGGCAGGGTGGGGGGGGGTGGGAGGGGGGGTGGGGGGTGAGAGCGGGGAGGGGCGGCGGGCTGGATTGGAATCCTGACATGCGCAGTAGGAGACTACAGGCAGAGGACAGGGGAGTGGGGGGGGGGGGGGGGGGGGGGGGGGGGGGGGGGGGGGGGGGGGGGGGGGGGGGGGGGGGGGGGGGGGGGGGGGGAGGGGGGGGTGAGAGGGGAAGTGGAGAGGTAGGTGGAGGAGGTGAGGTAAGTGGAAAGTGGCTGGAGAAAAAGTGGCAAGGGCAAGTGAGGCAAGTGGGAAGTAGCTGAGAAAAAGTGGCAAGGGCAAGTGAGGTAAGTGGGAAGTAGCTGGAGAAAAAGTGGCAGGGAAGGAGGACGGGCAAGGGCAGAGGGTGGGGAGGGGATAGTGATGAGAGCGGTGAGCGGTGAGAGCGGGGAGGGGCGGCGGGCGACATTGGTCAGGCGGAGTAGAGGCGGGGTGGGGGAGTGGGGGGTGAGAGGGGAAGTGGAGGGGTAGGTGCAGGAGGTGAGGTAAGTGGAGAGTGGGTGGAGAAAAAGTGGCAGGGAAGGGTGGGTCTAGGCAGAGGGTGGGGAGGGGGTAGTGATGAGAGCGGTGAGGGCAGGGATGGGAGCACAGAGAGGGAGTGGGGGGCGGGTGGGGGAGGGGTGGGTGGGGGAGTGGAAGGAAGAGGACACGCAGGGTCAGAGGGAAGGGGGGAGCGGAGCAGGCGTGGGGGGGGC